GTGAGTGGCAAACAATTTAAGTTGGCTTGCCATCTGTTTGGCTTGCTCGTGCCCATCCAAAATTTTCTCTTTTTGTTCTGAGAGTGGGTAGGTCGTGATTTCTGAATAAATATGAGTGGATGGGGGTGAATGGCTATGATTGCCAAAAACTAATAATGGGCGCCAAGCCCCTTCCCCCTCGACGACAAAATTGTTTATTATTAAACTTGTGATGAGCAGAGAGCTCATTTTTCTCCAAACTGCGAATTTAAAACGCAGAATACTATAAATTGTAATTATTACTAAAATGGATATTAGTAATACATATATTGGAGATGGCAATGGTAAACTTGTCATTATAAGTGAAATTGGGTGAAATCTTAATGGATTAAAATTCCATGCTGAGGATTTTTCACCTTTACTTGATTGGATAATTCGCTCTTGCTTCCACTGTATTGGAATAAATAAGAGCTGTCCTTTGATGTGTAATTGACTATTTCCTCCTGGGCACTTGACTTGACACTCTGTGTCAATTTTTGATCTATTGTAGGCAAAATGCGCTGCTCCTTCAGTTCCATTAAAGGAACAGCGAGCAATAAAGTGAATTCCATCATCACATCTGATATCGGCAAGTGACGACCCAAAATCGGTCGAACACGAATATTTGATTTGAACTCCTGTTAAACAGCGATAACAGCCACTAACGTCATTTACTACAATTCGACAAGTGGACTCGGTTATTTCTGTCACTAACTGGAAATTATTCATTTGTAGGTTGATCTGTAAGGGTGTGTATGACTGTTCGACGTATACTTGGTCGTCTTCAGTCAGAAAAGTGTGTCGGCCAATAGTTAGAGGTAATCGTTTTGCGGGGTCTGCCAAAATTGCTTCCCCGTCAAATTCTCTACACTGGCATGTAATTGATCCGTCGGGTGTAGGACGGCAATCTTTACAGGTATTTGCTGAAATATTGCAGCCAAACCTGGCTACACTTGGTCTATCTTGACATTTGAGGTCTGTTGGAACTCCATCTCCTAGAGCAACCGAAAATCCATGAGTAAGGAATGGAGTGCTCAAAACCGGAGCTGGAGGGTTTGTCACTGATATTGGCGTAAGAGATATGTTGGCCCAATGATGGGTTAATCCCGGATGTAATGTGACTGTCTCCTCTACCATTTGGTCATTAACAGTGAGTTGTAATGTCGTCTTTATGTGAAAATCCCAAGTAGGACACTCGAAAAGTTCAAAAACATCGAGAGTCATAGGGATAGCATACCAACGGTAGAAATAGCAGCTGGCAGTTGGAAATCCGCATCCTTTACTCCATAGAGCGGAGGATTCCAAACAGCCACTGCTCCCGGGCTTGTCCATAACCTCGACTAGTTCGGGTATGTGTGTGTTTGCTCCTACTTGTGAACAGAAGCTACCAGAACATGATCCGCCACTTGGGCATCTCCATACTGATCTGGTACTTATACGGTAGCTTCGCAAATATGTGAGTGTCCTTGGATTGCAATTGATCGTTAGAGCTTTGAGGGTGAGCATTAATGCTCCCAAAATGTCTCCTCTTCTATCCTTGATTAGAAGAGTGGTTGGTTGCCCTGCTGGTAGTAAGCTCAATGTTGTGGAGCTTAAAATCGTGCAAATTCGAGTACCTTCTCGTACTCGACAATTCTCTGTTTGTGAAATTATCGAAATTGGTTCTCCGATAATTAAATGGGCGATGAGCAAGAGGAGAGCCGGTATTATGCCATAACGTGCTAATCGAGCAAGACTCGCTTGCCTCATTTCCTTGCCCCTCTTTTGAGCTCCTTTCTTGAATTTTCGTGCATTTTCCTTAATGTTTGTTTGATTTTCCCGTACATATTCTCGTCCCTTGCTTAATGCTTTGCTCCCTCTTCTTCTCCCCCAAATATAAAGGGGGCGCGTGAGTCTCCAAATTACTCCTAATGGACGGAGCAGTGTTTGGAGTGATTTACAGCAACAACTTAATACAAGAAGGAGAGGAAAACAAATTCCAATTAGAACCAATGCAGCAGCCATTGGATTACACGTTGGATTTGTTAGTAAATCGAGGCAAAATGTGCAATCCACTAGTTGACATTGGTGGAATGCTAAACATTTCGTACTAACTTCAAATGGTATTTCTCGGTTTGTGTCCCAAAATTTGGCATGACAGGTATAGTCATTAACCAATATTTCTTTGGGAAGCTGATGAATTGTTTCTTCTTGGCCTGGTAGTAATTGGCATCGGTCTAAGCAACAAATTTCGATTTTGCTTATTTTTGGCGGTGAAAGGACATTTACCCCAGCCTTGCTACAATGGACTAAGCATCCATGGCAAGTTGGGCAGCCTTCACATTTAATTGGCGAAGTGAATCCAAATATAGGATTAATTATGAAGGTTAAAAGGCAAGCGGCTAAAATTGATTGAATGCCTAATTTTGCCTTTCCTCTCGTGACCATCTTGTGTTTTGAAACCAAAGCTGCAGGTTCTTTTGGTTTCTGATTAACGATAGTTGTGGGAGGCTGATTCTCGATCAACTGATTATCTTGCTCTTGTGGTTCAAGGAGCCCAGGCCCCTCTACCTGCTCCTCCTCAATAGGAGTAAAGCTTTCTACAGGATTACTGACTGGTTGTGTGTCGGCTTGTTCTGGCCCTGCTTCGAGTGGGCAAATCTTGTTAACAGGTCGTGTTGTTATTCGACCATTTGGCATTTGGAGCTTAACGCTCCTTATAGGGCCTGGATGACCATTTAGCCCTATAATTCTGGCTAAAAGCCATGCATTTCTTGGTCGCATGATGTCTTCTACTAACACTACTTCTCCCAATTTAGGAGTTGAGTGTGTCTGAAGTCTTGGGCCAGAGTGCTCCCATTTAGAGCGATCACGCAGAATAACCAGATATTCTCTCTTCCACCGTTCCCAGAAGGAATCAAGATTTTCTAAAGTGCTCTTCCACAATGTAAGGAGCTGGTCGTGAGGGAGAACATGTTTGTCCCTTTTGATTTTCTTGAACGTGAGGTCATAACTGAGTGTAGCTCCAGGTTGGATGAAATCCACCGGGCGTAAAGGAAGAGGAGCTCCTTCCTCATCTGATGTGTGAGTTAAAGGTCTTGAATTTAGAGCGGCTTCAACCTCAGCCGTGAATGTTGCGAGTTGATCATATGGGAGTACTTGTCTTCCCATCGTCCTTTTAAAACAAGTTTTTGCCATGCCTATGAGCCTCTCATAAATTCCGCCTGCCCAAGGAGAGAGAGCTGGAATAAATTTCCACTCGATTTTGTTCTCTGCTAGGTGGGAGACGAGAGCAGCGCTCAAGGCTTTTTCTGCTAAAACAAAATTACGTCCATTGTCACTAAGTACGCGATCTGGACGTCCACGCCGGCTGATGAAACGGCGAAAAACATTGAGAAACGAGGCGGCTGTTAAATCCAATGTAGGCTCAATATAAACTGCTCCTGTCGTGAGGCAAGTAATTAAGACTAGCCAACACTTTACGAGGGAGCCTTGGACTTTAGTGAGTGTCGGACCAGCATAATCCACTCCAATTGACTGGAATGGCAATCTTTGCTGGACTCGGTCTGCTGGAAGTGGTGGCATTGTTGGTAAAGCATATTTGTAGGAATTCATCCTCCTACAAGCCATACATTCTGATATAACTTTGCGGATAGCTTGGCGAGCTCTTGGCTGCCAATAGTTGTTCAAGAACTCTGTAAGAGTCCAATCTACACCTCCGTGACATAACCGTGTGTGGATGTCTTTCATTATTGATTTCCCAACATCTGAATGTTTTGGGAGTAGGACTGGATGAATCAAACCCTCGGGGCCCTGACTATTCGTCAGGCGAGTTTGAAGATGCATGATCTTATTATTGTCGATTATGTGGCGGTATTTACCGAGTTCCTCGCCACACTCTTTCTGTTCCCATCTTATTAAATATTCTTCAGAAATTTCGTAGTCGCGTGTCGAGGGGACTCCATTTAAAGAAATGGAATCCAATCTGATGGATTGTGCTCTCTTCTTCCCGAGCACTATTTTGATAAACCGAAGGATGTATAACATAACGCGCCTTGCTTTACCCCAGGAACTCACACGTTTCAATAGTTGATGAGTTCCCTGAGAGGTCTCTGGAGCCGCAAGGCATATTTGAGTATTAAAGGGATTTTCTTCAAGTTCCTCAAATTTATTGAGGTCGCAATTCGTGAATGATTGGAATGTGATATCCTCAGGCCAATTAGCCTGTGGCTGAATGAGCCAGTCCGGTCCTCTCCACCACCTTAGGTCGGAACGGAGCTCGGTGGGAGTGGCTCCTCTTGTTGCTGTATCTGCCGGATTTTCATCGGTCCTTACGTAATGAAAGTGTATATCTTCGTGCTTCTTAATTTCGTTTAGCCTTCTCTGGACGAAGGTTGGTTGATTTTGCGGTGATTTGACCCATGAGAGCGCTATTTGAGAGTCGCTCCATAAATGAACTTGGTCAATTGGTTTCCCTATCTCCTTATTAACGTAAGCCAATGCTCTTACGCCAATAAGTATAGCTATAAGTTCCATTCGTGGTATTGTGAGTGTTTTGCCACCCTTTTTAGGTTTAAGGCGGGTTTTGGCAAAAATAAGGTTAGAGGAGGCTGAGCTATTAAGTTCTCCTCTCAAGAAAATCGCAACAGCATATGTGCTTGCAGAGGCGTCAACAAACGCGTGGATCTGTATGTTATCGTGTGATTTAAGGACTTTTCTGGGCAGACGAATCTCCTGAACTTGCCAACCCTGGAGGAAACTCTCCCAAAAGGATTTTTCCTCCAAGGCAAGTGGAGTGTCCCAGTCGTGTTTGTCATCCCATAATTGCTGAAAAAATAACTTTGCGGGCAAAACAGCTGGACACAATAGTCCCAATGGATCGTAGATGCCCGCTAAAGTGCTTAATACTGTACGTCGTGTTGGATTGGGACTGATTTGACTACTCGGCCATTGAAATCCGAGCTCGTCATTTTGTATATCCCACTGCATTCCTAGTACCTTAACCTCTGATTTGTCTAGTCGGTCTTCGTCAGGAATAGCAGAAATTGTCTCTGGTGAATTCGAGGTAAATTCTCGCAAGTTCATCTTCGCCTCCGAGAATATCATTTTGGCTTGATTGCATTTCCTGATTAATTCTTCTGGAGAACTTGCTCCTAAATGAAGGTTGTCCACATAAAGGCTACTAGATAATTCAGTAGCAGTAGTCGTGCCGTATTTCTCTAGATGGTGACGTATTACTCCCGCCAGAAGGTAAGGGGAGCAAATAACGCCAAAGGCAACTCTCGCAAAACGATAAACTTGTATATTGTCGTTAGATGGTGGCTTATCCGGATCCTTCAGCCAAAGGAATTTGGCTACTTCCCGGTCTTCTTCGTGTAGGCCTACCATAAGGAAAGCTGCCTCCAAGTCAGCAATCGCCACAAATTTTGGTAGGCGAAATCTGAGGAGCAATCCTACTAATTCTGGTAGGAGCACAGGACCACGGAGGAGGCAATCGTTTAATGAAGGTTGCCCCCTTGGATGTGCACTTGCGTCGAATACTGGTCTCACCTTATGAGTAATAACTGCATGGTGAGCCAGATAATGTTCTTGTCCTACTGGATTCTTTCGTGCTGGCTCGATTATCCCTCTTTGAAGATAATCGACAATGATTTGATGATATTTGTCTAAAAGGTCCTTTGATCGTGCAAGCGAGCTGTAAGTTGAACAAAGTCGACTATAAACCATTCTGTAGTTGCTTGGTGGTGTTATCTTTGGCTCTCGCCAAATCCAGCTTACCGTGTAACGCCCTTCGTTATCTTGGGCAATCGAGGACTCTAGCTGTTTAACAGCGATTTGGTCATCGTCAGCTCCGGGATCCTCTGTAATCCCTATCCCCTCCAAATTCCAGAATTCTTCTATAATATTGGAAGGAGGCATTTGGTCAATATTAGACTTGCCGATCGCTATCATAGAGTGTGAAGGTCGTCCTCCATATGGACTCATATCAGACTCCCCTCCAACTACTGGACCAAAGGCAGTCTGAATGACATAAATTCCTGGAGCGACTTCAGTTCTCTCCTTGAAAAACTTCCAAAAGTGTCGTGTTCCCAGCATAATTCCTGGGACTTCTGATGATATCTTGAGTGCTTGCTGGACTTCTGGGTGATCTAAATCTTGAGTGGGCATTTCTGTCGTCCATTGAACCATCTCGAAAGGGGTACTTATCTCCTTGGTCCAATTGAGTTCGAGCTCTTCCCAACCACCGTCCTCTCTTCTGATTGAGACGGCATATGTTGGTGAGCGGATTCTGATTGGATCTCTCATTGTTCCGCCAAATCCGTGTACTTCGACGTCGTCGATTGATATTTGAGGTGGACGAATTTTGTCCACTAGATCCTTGGTGATGTAACTTAGCTGACTGCCCGGGTCAAAGAACACATAAGCAAGTGTTCTGCTTTTCTTATCTTTTGGCGATTCGATTGCCAACTTTCGTGTCATTAGGTACGCTGATAACTTTTTGCGTAAGTGAGGAAATGCCATGGCTGTAACTGTTTTTGTTGGATCACTCTCCGAGTCGAGAGAATCCTCTTGTGTTAAATTAGCTCCAGTCAATGGAGTCTCGATCGTAGTTGTCATTTGGGTAAACTGCCTATTCGGCGCAGTGCCCTTCTTGTTTGTCTTGTTAGGTCGTGTTTGGTTCCTCGTTGTCGACGTGGTACAAACAAGAAAACTATGTTTGCCCTGGCAGATACGGCATAACATAGGAAGGTGGCATTCCTTAAATGAGTGGCCCTCGCGCAGACACCTTATACAACGGTGCTGCTCCTTTAACCGATTAAAACGCGATTGTGGTGTCGGATATCTTGGACATTTGCTTGGGAAGTGTGCTCCTTGATGACATAGGGAGCATTCTCTTTGTCCAAACTTCCCAAACGGTCTATTCTTGTGTACGTGAGCCGGAGCAATAAATGTACGCGATTGCTCCTGTACTCCTTGTCGTGGTTGGTAATTTCCTCTTCTAGAAGAAATGTGATTCTCAATCGTCTCAGTTCTTGTTTTGGGCGCTTGTGAGGTTGTACATCGCTGAACCTCTTCCTTGATTTCGACAATGTTGATAAGCTCTTTTCTGAGCTGAGCGCAATTCCAACGAGATTCTGCCCCTCGCTCTTTCTCTACTAGTTTAGAGACAATAGAGCGGGGCAACTTGGACTTGATGGCTGTCGATATAAATGGAGATTGATCGACAATATTGAAAGCTTCCAACTGACGGCAAATTCGTTCAATCGAATCTACGAAAGATCGAATTGAATGGCAGGACTCATTTGGCGGGCTCAGATTCATGAGCTCCGACTCTAGTGCTTCAGTGATGGCTCGATTATCGCCATATCGTGATTTGAGCAAATCCAATGCTCTCGTGTAATTCTCGTTGGATAAAATGAATCCCGCAACTAAATCTTTAGCGGGACCTTGGAGGAGGGTGAGTAAATAACTCATTTTCCTAACATTGTCCATTTGGCGTTGGTCGATGTTGATTGAAAATAATTGCCAGAAAGCTGGCCATTTCTTCGGATCTCCATTGAATGGCTCCATTTTGAGCTCTGGTAAACGTGTGTCTGGTAATAAAGGAGTGTCCTTGACCTTGTTTTCTCCAATGCTTTGTTCTTCTTGAGTTCGACTTTGAATGCGTTGTGACTCTCGTGTTCGTTCACTACGCTCACTAGCCTCTGTAATTCTTTCCTCCATTTCCAAAAGGAGGAAGTCTAACTCGCCTATAATTCCTCGGGCCTGTTCTGCGAAGTCCATGAAATGGACCCACACTTGTCCTTCCTGTACATTAGGAGGAAACGTATTGTACAGCTGCTCCTCAGCTTCCAAATCTCCTCCATCCAGGAGATCAATAAATCCTGTCCACTCGTGATCGAGAGTTTCTATTCGCTCAAGTGTGCGAATCAACTGATGTCTTTCAGCCCGGAGGCGTGCCGGGTTTTGTGCTTCTTGTTCATTACCCAAAAGGGTGGTTGCCGCGATAATATGATCCTTGAGGGCTCTCAGAGCTAGCCCAATTTTCCTTCGAATATGTCCTGAAGATGGCATTGTGATAAGCGATTATAATAATCTGCTTAAAAGCGTTGGACTAGCTAATTTAGTCCAAAAACGCAAAAGCTTAAGGAACTTGTGCCTTTAAGCTAAAAAAATAAACTCGCTGAAGACTGACTATCAAAGTCAGAAAATTGATGAAAATATGAGAAGAGAGCACTTTTGGTATATTTTGTGCTAAATTGATGTTTACCGCGACTGGTAAGTGGCAGCACAAAGTTCTCTTCTCAAAAGAGAAAAATAAACGCAGATGTGTGAAAAATGTAAATAAACACTAAAAATGTAAAGTCAGTCGCTCTGACTTAACCGTGTAATTGGCCGACGGGTTGGCCAAAACAAAAGAAATGACTTGCTCACAGAGCGAAAAGTCAGTGTTCTTTAAACTCGTGTTGCCGCGCTCTAAAATGCGCCAATCGTGTGAATGGCCAAAGTTATGGCCAAACAAAAGAAAAGGCTTTCGTGTCCCTTTTCTTCTCAAAAAATGTGCAAAAATGCACCAACTTGTAAACTTGTTGATTGGCCGATGATTTGGCCAAATAAATTCCTTTCTTGTTTTTCGTGTAAAATTGTGCAAAAATGTGCACAACTGATGAAATGTGTTAAGACCTAAGTTTTGGTAAACAAAGGAATGACTTCTTTCAAGAAAAATGTGCAAAATAAGCACAAAAAAATTGCTAGCAAAGAGCAAAGATTGAAATTGTAGAAAAGGGGATGAGCGGGTTTGTTCGCGGAAAAAACTGCGTCCTTCAAGGAGCGTGAATGTATGTCGGTCCGCTTGAGGGATCACGACTTTGCGCACTTTGTTGTGCGGGCTTGTGGGGTAAGGCTGTGAATCGGATAGTTTCCGACTTAAGGATTACTCTCCAGGAGTAATAGATGATGAACTCGTGAACTGCTGACTTGTGAGAAGATAAATGTTGACTTACTCTCCAAGAGTAAGTATTCGTGTGCTGCTGGCTGATGAGCAGATAACGGTTGGCTCTGGTGGCCAAAACCGCGTGTTCAGGATGAGAACACAAAATTTAGCCTAAAAAGGCAGACGTGTTGATTGGCACAATTGCCTGAAGAAACGGGGGCAGTGCGATTGGACTGCGGACCCGTACGGGGCTCCAATTTTTTATATGTGCCCAAAAGCCCTTTCGGGTGGACACACAATTTGTACGGCCTCCGGCTATGGGAGGGACGGACGCTTATAAAGGGAGGACAGAGAACTCAAAAGTTCTCTTAAACTTATAAGCGATGATGACGACGACAGCCTACCCAAAATCCCCAAAAATACACACACCAAAGAAGAAAAGATTTATTTAATTAACAAATAAATTTAGCGGTCCGATAACAGCTCGGGATCCGCGGTGTGAATAAATTGGTGATTAAAATATGTGGTGAAAATGCGAACAAATAATTTAAGTTAGTGCTCCGCTCTCCTGCTCCCAGTTGAAGGGAGAAAAGTTGGTTTAATTGATTGGGTTTAAAGGAATTAGAAAATTATAAGATTTTGAGAGAAGTTGGAAATTGAAAGAAGATTGAAAGAAGTGATTTTAGGGACAGCCGAGCGCTAACTTGACAGCCAAAGGTAGGCGTGGTTAAAAACAAAATAAATTGCGGGCGGTAAAATTAAATAGGTGAGAGAAATGGAAAAAATAGTGGAGGGCTTATGCCCTTTTGGGCACAGTTTGTTTTCTCTTTTTTATTCAAAAAATAAATTTCCCAAAAAAATTTTTTTTTATTTTTTAATTTCCGGCAAACACAAAATAATCCCCGTTTATAACCTTGTATACCCGCAAAACTTTAAATACAAAATTTGAATAAAAAAAAACAAAAGAAAAAAGAAAAACAAACAGAAACTTTTCCTTTTTTTGTGGATTTTCATTAAATATTTTCTTTTCATTTTTTTTGTAAGTTTTGTGTTTACTTTTATTTTTTTCCTATTCATGTATATATGTAGAGGAGAAGAAAAGCATGCGCGAAAAAGGAAAACTAACAATAAGTTGAGGACAAATAAAAAAACTGAAAATGTTTAAAAATATTCCAAAAATAATTTTAAACCCTTAGCAGTTAAGAATAATTTTAAAAGATAGACAAAAACGATTTTTAAAATAACCGACAAGTGTAGGGGGTCGAACTCACGCTCAAAATTACAGTCCCCTAAACACATCCTAAATCACTAACCACTCGACCATCTAAGATTAAACTTTAAATTAAAATAAATTAAACTTATAACAACAATAAAGTTTCAAGTTTAATTAAAAAATGAGTGAAAATAGATGAAAATAAATTTTAAAAAATAATAAAAAAAATTTTGAATAAAAAAAAAATAAAAATTTAATTTTAAACAAAAAATAAATAATCTGATTTATAAAAAAAAATTATTATAGGGGATACGTACCCTCTTAAGCTTTGATTTATAAACAGTTAATTGTTCGTGTCATGAAGTTAGTTGTTCATGCCAGCTTCCGAAATGAACTGCTAGCTACCCCTTTTTTACATAAATTATAAAAATTAATTCTTTCCCCTTAATTTATGAAAAAATGAGGAAGGAACGAAAAAAATTATTTTATATATAATTTACCCGACAGCCGTTCTTTCCCTCTTAGCCTCCCCCCCCCTACCCCCAACCCCTCCCTCTTCCCCCATACTCGCGTTCCTCCTTATTTTGCATGAATTATATATAAAAAAATTTTTTTTCGCAACAAAAGTTTATCAGTACAAAGACAAAAAAATATTTAAGGAATACCTACATTTTGGACGAGAAAAATAACAAAAAAAAAATTTTTTTTAACAATAAAAAAAGGCAAAAAATAAAATTTGGTGTAAGTGTGTACATGTTACTAACACACCTCTGATAACTTAAAATAAATAATAATTTAATAAAATTATTATTTTTTTACAAGACGAGACAAAAATTTTTTATTTATTTTAGAATTTTGATTATTTAATAAAAAATAAAAAAGATTGGGTGAAGGTAAGAGAGTACAGGAAATCAAGAGAGACAACAAAGAGGTTAGAGAAAAAAAGGAAAGTTGTTTTAATGAATTTAGAAAATTAAAAAGGTCAGTTTATCAATTTTCAAAAATCAAAAAAATCACAATTTAAATTTAGGGAGAGAGTAAAGGAAACAAAGAGAGATACAAGAGAAGTTAGAGAAAAAAAGGAAAAAATTTAAAATAATTTTAAAATTAATTTTAAAGGAAAAGTAGAAAATCAAGAAGGTCAGTTTATCAGGTTATCAATTTTCAAAAATCAAAAAAATCACAATTTAAATCTAGGGAGAGAGTAAAGGAAACGAAGAGAGACACAAGAGAAGTTAGAGAAAAAAAGAAAAAATTTTTAATGAATTTTAAAGTAAAAAGTAGAAAGTTAAGAAAGTCAGTCTATCTATAAAAATCAAAAATAAAAATTATTGTAAATAAAATTTACCGAAAAAATTTTAAAAAAAAAGTATCCCCTTCCATGGAAGAAGCCTCCCAGGAGAAATAAATAACCTCAAAAAATCAAAAAAAAAATCAAAAGGAATTAAGGTACTTTATGGATATGTCACCCCCCCTCCTATTTTGAGTCTCAGAGTTTTCCTTAAACGTAGAAAATGGTCAGAAATTATTTTCTTCTCCATGTCAATCATTTTCCTTTTTTCAAGGAAAACAAGTGAAATGTGATAAATGTAGAAACGAAATGAGTGAAATGTAAGTACAAAATATGTGAAAAGGCAAAATAAACCAGCAAAATACTTGAAGAAGAAAAAAATGATTGACACGGAGAAGAAAATAATCTCTGACCATTTCCTACGCATAAGGAATACTCTGAGACTCAAAATAGGAGGGGGGTGACATATCCATAAAGTACCGGAATTAAATAAAAATAAAATTTTAAATTATTCTTTTTTGAATAATTTTATAATTCACACCAAATGCCACCAGATAAAATTTAAAAAAAAATAAAAAAAATTTTAGGCGCGGCTTCTTTTAATTATTTAATAATTAAAGGAAAAAATTAAAGGAAAAATTAATTTTTTCTAACAGATTTAAGCAACATCTGTATAAATTACAATTTTTTTATAATCGAGAGAAATATAAAAGAATTTTAAGAAGAAAAAAATATAGAAAAAATTAATGAGCCCGGTCAAAATCAAGAAGAGGGAGGAGGGTCAATTTACTTTATAAGGAAAGTGACGGCACTTTAAAATAAAGAAAAAAAATTAAAATAAAAATGTCATAAATCTGTTGTTATTTTTGTATGTCCCTTTGTGAAGTTGTGAAAATTAAAAACAAAAAAATTATTAATGGGACAAAAAAAAATTAATGGGACAATATTAATGAACTTATATCCGACCAAAAAAACACAAACTTAAAAAATTCAAAGAAAAAATTTTTTTACACGCAAAAATTTATTGAAAAATCGCGGACACCTCGGTTTTTATATACCCCCAAGATTTAAAAAATTTAGTTTGTCACTGTATGAGAAGAACCATATAAGCAAGAATAACCACGTTAACCCTTATAAGGACAGTATAAAAGAGCAATTTAAACAATCTAAGGGTGTATCTAGAAACGAGATTCACGAACGCATTTCGTTTCACAAAATGAAATTCGGCCCTATCTGAAAACAAGGGTTGTAAATTCAACGATGAAGAAAAGGCTTACCATTATGTCATAAATTGACGATTTTAAAAAAGAAAAAAATGTTGGAAAAAACCAAAGGACCCTTGTTTTCAGATAGGGTCTAAAATTCTATTTAAAAAATAAACCAGCCTCGAACCATTGTCCTGAAAAGACTACTTCTACAAGCAAGTGTTGAACAACACACAAATTGTTGTAGACAATTAAAAATTAAATTGAATTGTTGTTGAAATAAAATTAATATTTTAGAGGAATTATGGGAAGAGACGAGAAGCAAATTGAAGAAACTGAAGAAATTTTGGACAAAAAATTCTTGAAAAAATTTTCTTAAAAATAAAATTTATTAGAGAGAAAAGTTTAAAACAAAAAATAAAAGTAAAAAAAGTTTAGGAAGAACAAAAAAAGATTTTTAATAAAAGTACTAGAGGTCTTCACGGGACAGGATCCCGAACGGGATTTTACGGGATCCTGTCCCGAAATCACGTATTTTAAGCAACAAGCGGGATTATCGGAATTTACGGGATTAATCCCGCGGGATCCTGTCCCGTAAAAATTTTTGAAAAAAATCCCGTTACGGGATCCCGTGAATGCGATTTTACCGACCTCTAAAAAGTACTAAATAAAATAGGGCACTTATTAATAGCCAAACAAACAAAAAAGAAAAAAGAAAAATTAACTGACCATCACATAATTAAATAATCAATTACGTAATGAGTGGGAAATAGAAGAAAAAAATGTGTGAGGAGGGTTAATAATAAATGGAGACTTAAAAAGGCATCAAAGAAGTTTAGGAAAAATAAAAAGAATTTAATGGACGCGGCATTTACTTAAAATAAAAAAATAAAGAATAGGAGTACTTTTTATGGCTGAAAAACAATATAATTAAAAAGAAGTGGGTTATTATTTAAGAAAATAAAAAAATGAAGCAAATCTTGGCGGACTTTGATTAAAAAATAAAATAACTAAAAAAAATTAATATTGCAAAAAAATATTTGGCGAAATGTCTATTTTTTAAATTAAATGACATTTTATCCAAAACCTCTCCAACTGTCTGTCAGACTCTCTCACTCTTCCGTTGGTTTACTGTGTTTCAATAAAAAATCAGAATTTAATAAAAACATTAGAATCAGAACAAACTTAAAACATTAAAACACACAAAAACAAATTCTAAAAATCAGAATTTCCATAAAACAAAAACAGAACAACTTTAAAAAACACAAACAAATAACCAAAAATCAGAATTTAATAAAAACATTAGAATCAGAATAACTTTTTAAACAAACAAAAATCAGAATTTAATAAAAACATTAAAATCAGAACAACTTTAAAACTTACCTAAACATTTGTAAAAACATTTAAAAACTTGGCTTATAAAATTACAAATTGTAAAAATAATTGTAAAACTTTTTTTCTCTAAACTAAAAAATAATTTAAACAACAATTTTGTACAATAAATTAAAAAAAACTAAAAAAATTTCTAATTTTGACTAAAAAAATATTTTTTTAAAGATCCTCTTTACTTTCTGCTGAATCTAATACTGAAAGCTCTTGTGCACACTGAATTGCACAAGTAGCATCCTTTTTTTAAAAAAATTAATTTTAAAAATTTTTCAACAAAATTGTTAAGAAAAACCTTTAGAATTGATTTTTTATCATATTTATTAAAAAGCTGTGAACATTCAAAGCTATCCATTTGGACAGGTTGACATTCAGGCTTTAAAATATTTTTTTTCTTAATTTTTAAAAAAAATTAAAAAAATTTTCTACCCCTTCAGCTGTACAGGTACACGTCACACAAGGTGTTGTTCTCCTTTAAAAGTAAATATTAAAAAATAAATAGAATTGTAAAAAGTTTTTACAAAACTTAATAATTGTAAAAACTCAAAAATAAACTTATTCTGACTAATGTTAGAAAAATAAAACTTGAATTGTAAAATTGTAAAAATAAATTGTAAAATAAACCTAACTGATTAAAAAATAAACTTCATTTGTAAAAATAAATAAACCTATTCTAATTAAGTTTGTAAAAAATAAAACTTGGATTTATAAAATTGTAAAAATAAATACAAAAATAAACTTATTCTAAATAAACTTGAATATTACAATTTGTAAAAATAAAATAAACCTACCTATTTTCTCCTTGTTCAATTTTCAGACCATTAATTTCACAATATGCTGCAAAATTAAAAAAATAAACTTGAATTTGTAAAATTGTAAAACTTAATAAATGTTTATTTAAACTTTACAAACATTTTTCCTTCCAAGCTTCAAGTTCAATTTCTTCCAAATCATTACAATTAACTGGCGCATTAATTAAATCATCTTGTATATCAAATACATTTGGCTGTATTTTTTGTATAATTGGTGAATTTTGACACAAAATTTTGGAAAGATGAATTTTACGAATTTGTGAAAGTTGGGCTTAAAAATTAAAAATATTTTTTTTTATTTTTTTTTAATTTACCAGGCGTAAATTTAGCAGCAAAATTATCATTTTCATAATAAAATCTATCACATTTTTTTAAACGTCTAAATTGTTCTGCTAAAAGGCATGACATTGTATGGCCTAACTAAAAAATTAATTAATTTTTAAAAATTAATTTTTTCCTTTTAAAATTAAAAAATGTTTGTAAGTTTATCCTCAAGTCTTACTATTAATTTTATCAAAAAATAATAGGAAACCAAAATTAAATCTCATTAAGTACACCTATCAGAAACCATTGCGTTGAGAGGTATCCTAAAGAAAAGGTCACAGTTTCCCCAATCACCAATGGCCAACCAACCTTTTAAAAAACGATATTTTATATGGGTGATATAAAAAAGCAGAAACCGGCATGGGGAGGGGGGTTATACTCGAGAAATTCGATAATCAAGACTTTTGTTTGAGATTTCGAATCGGTTAAGTATAACTTGCAGACTATTTTAAGAAAAATTTAAAAAAAAATTAAAAAAACCCAAACCAAAGCTCCTTGTCTAGGCCTTTCACTTGTTAATCCAGGAAATAAATCAATATCATCAACATGTTCATAAACTGAACGAAGAGCAGAAATTGCTGTTTCGTCCATTACATCACGTAAATCTTCAAAGGATTGAGCAAGTGGAAGTCCACAAAGAGGTCTTTAGAAAATATTTTTTTTAATTTTTGAAAAAAATTTTTTAGAATTTTCCAACTAAATTCTTACGAGAAAAATTTCTTAAATTCCTCCTAACCTTCAGTATTTTTTTAAAAAATAATTCAAATAAAATTTAAAAAAGCACCTAAATTTGTTGTATGGCTGAACACCATGATCTCGGGCCCTTAACATGTTTATAGCAATCTTGAAAAAATAATTTCTTTTAAAAAAATCAAAAAATAAAAACCAAATCCATTCCAGAAGTAGGTTCATCACGCCTAGCAAACAACATATCTCTAACTGCATTTGTAATGTGTCTATCAAAAGCCATTGCTGGGGTGCCAAATAAACCGAGAAGCATTGAATCGAGTCCTTTTTTTGAAAAAGAATTTTTTTTTGAATTTTTAAACTTTGAAAAATTCAAAAAAATCTAAAAAAAATTTCAAGAAATTTTTCAAAAAAATTTCCAAAAATTTCAAAAAAAATTTTTAACCCAAACCTCCACTAGTTTTATTATAAAGAGGCTCAACAAATCCAAAATGTTTTGCCAAATCAACAGGTTCACTCATTTTGTGGAAATTTGTATCTAAACGTGGAAACATTCGACGAATCAAAGTATGACCAAAACGAAAAGCTGCTGTAGCAAATGGGTGAGAAATTGCCTGAAAAATAAATAAATGTTTGTGTAATTTATATGAATTAAAACAACAATTAAAACATCAAACATTAATAGATAAAAACAAAACAACAAACAAAACATCAAACAAATAATAAAACATTAGTAAAGCAACAATAAAACAAGCAACTAAACAAATTTAAAAAAACATTATTAAACAAAAAACATTGAACAAACCAAACAAAGAAAACATTGAATAAAACAAGAAACAAACAAAACATTGACAAACAAACTTAAAAACAAAACATTGTTTAAAACATATATTTAAGAAAAACATTGAATAAAACAAACAAGAAAAACACCAAATAAAATATTCAAACATTTACAAAAACATGAAACAATTAAAAATGTTTGTAAACTTAAAACTTACGGGATCACAAGTTTCATCATAACGAGTGTAATAGCCCGTTTTTAAAGGTACCTATAAATTAAAAAATTTTTAATTAAAAAATTTTTAAATAAAATAAAATTCCACACCAAGTCATATTCATGTAACAAATCAAAACCAATAACTTTAGGTAAAAATTCATTAAAAACTACATGCTGTTCTTGTGCAATAAAAATCCTTCTCGTTTCCTTGAAACAAAAAATTTCAAAAAAAAAAATTTTTTTTAATTTTTTAAAATTACTTGAAAAATTTTTTCATCATCCCAATGTAAATTTAATTTTGCTAACTTCTCAGCAATTCGATTATGTTCTCTTAACATTATTGTATGCATTGCTGTTAAACCGGGTTGATGACTATTACGTTCATCACCAGCAACAAAACAAGGGAAATTTGGTAATGAACGACAATCTTTTTCCTTTAAAGAAAAAAATTTTTAATGGCAAATTAATTGAAAAATCAACCTGAGACCCTTGTGGCAATGCCATAGGATTCCAAGTACCAAAATCAGTAAAATTAAGCAATCCACGTCTAAACAGCCTCAATTGATTTGATTCACACCTAAAATAAAAAAAAACTTTAAACTTGACTTTTACAATTCAAGTTTTATTTTTTTACAAATTGTAAAATATAATTTGTATTTCTTTTACAATTTGTAAAACTAGCGGAGTTGGTCGGCCTTCGGCCGCCCCACCCCGCTAGCAAAAACAAAACAAACCAAAAAACAAACTCCAAATCACAACCTCAAAATTGGCCCTAATCCAATCATAATCAGAAAAACCCGATAGTCAAAACATTGACCAGCATTAAAACAATACCTTATTACCAAAACATTTAACAAAGCAAAGCATCTAATAGGCGCACCTGATAGGGTACACACAGGTGCTCGTGTGACTCCGCTAGCATTACAAAACAATTCAACTCAAGATCCGATTCAAAAGCCTTTGGCCGGCCCATCTCGCTTACCCATTTTTTCTCCTCACAATTTCGCCTGCTTCACAATTCCCTCTGTTTCAATATTCCGCCTACTTCTCAATTCCCATTGTCTCACAATACCGCCTGCTCTACAATTCTCCGCTTCACATCACCCTTCATTCTCCTGCTTCAATATTCCGCCTGCTTCACAATTCCCCTATTTCAATATTTCTCCTGCTTTACAATTCATCTTGTTTCAATATTCCGTCTGCTTTACAATTCCCCTTGCCTCTCACAATACCGCCTACTTCACAATTGCACCTGTTTCAATATTCGACCTGCGTTACAATTTCCCTGCTTACATATTCCACCTGCTTCACAATTCCCCCTTCGTCAATATTCCGCCTGTCTCACAATTCCCGGTTTCAATATTCGACTGAAATTTGACGCCTAGCACTTCAAATGAACGTTGACGCCTGGCGCTTCAAATGAACGTTGACGTCTAGCACTTGACACATGAACGTTGACGTCTAGCACTTGACACATGAACGTTGACGTCTAGCACTTGACACATTAACGTTGACGCCTAGCACATAACAAATGAACGTTGACGCCTGGCACTTCAGGTGACGTTGACAGCTAGCGCTTGACACATGAACGTTGACGTCTAGCACTTGACAAATGAACGCTGACGCCTGGCACTTCAAGTGACGTTGACAGCTAGCGCTTGACACATGAACGTTGAACGTCTAGCACTTGACACATGAACGTTGACGCCTGGCACTTGACAAATGAACGTTGACGCCTGGCACTTCAAGTGACGTTGAACGTCTAGCACTTGACAAATGAACGTTGACGCCTGGCACTTCAAGTGACGTTGACAGATAGCACTTGACACATGAACGTTGACGTCTAGCACTTGACAAATGAACGTTGACGCCCAGCACTCAAGAGGACACAGGACCCCAGCAAACGTAGTCGTAGAACAGAGCGCAGTAAAGTTGAGAAGTGTTGAAAGCAGTTGAAGAATGACTAAAATACCCTGCTTTTATACTATATTCCTACCCTTACAACCTATTCAACTGGCAACGCTTTACTATAAAAACCCCCCTTTTCCTCACTCCCCCAAATCATTTTACTATAAAAGCCCACTTGTCTATAAAAGGACAGACAGACGGACAAACAAACACACAAACCCTTCTCAATTATATAATAAGATTGTTTTAAAACTTTACAAATTGTAAAATAGGTTTATTATTATTTTACAAATTGTAAAATAGGTTTATTATTATTTTACAAATTGTAAAATAGGTTTACTATTTTTACAATTTGTAAAATGTTTTGTTTATTTTTTACAAATTGTAAATTTGTTTAAAATTTTAAATGAAGTTCACCGTGTAGAACCATAAACAACAGAACCATCAATAAATGCACTTATTTGATTCATTTGATTTCTATATCCAAGCTGAAGCTGTCCGAGAAGTGAGCGAGCAAAAGGTAAACAACGAGGCTCTCCATTAGGTAAATGACTGGGAAAATGTGGATCACCATCCTCCACTCTAATAGGCATGCAATGAACAGAAATTGTTTGGGCAGAATCACAAGGTGTACAATTTAGAATTTCATCATTTGGGCCTCTATTTATTGGGGAGTGTGTCATTTCATGATCGAGTAATTGGCCAAATTGCATTACCTTAAAAACATTTTACAAATTGTAAAAAATAAACTTTTATTGTAAAATAAAGTTTAGAAATTGTAAAACCCTTATATTGTTTTAAATAAAACCTATTTTACAATTTGTAAAAAAATAAAGCTTGAATTGTAAAGTCATTTTAAATAAACTTTACAAATTGTAAAAATTAAACCCGGAAATTATAAAACTTGTTTAATTTAATTTCAATAAAACTTATTGCAAAACAAAGTTTACAATTTGTAAAAAAAGTAAAGTTTATTGTAAAATGAATTTTACAAATTGTAAAATACTTATTGTTATATATTATTTTAAATAAAACCTATTTTACAATTTGTAAAAAAATAAAGCTTGAATTGTAAAGTCATTTTAAATAAACTTTACAAATTGTAAAAATTAAACCCGGAAATTATAAAACTTGTTTAATTTAATTTCAATAAAACTTAAATTGAAAACACGTTTTACAAATTGTAAAAAAAGTTTTAAAAACTTGCCATATGTGTAAATTTTGCATGTACAATTTCTCTATCAATATGAACAGCATTAGATATACGTCTAGGTGAAGGTAATGGGCGACCACTTCTAGCACGACTTCTTGGAGCATCAAAACCGTCATCATAAGCAGGATGGAGTAAATGTCGTAAAGGTGTAAAGGCATTTCCATAATGTGGATATCTTTAACAGAAAAAACAACTTCTTAAAATTTTACAATTTGTTTTTACAATTCAGAATTTATCAACTTGTTTTTGTACAACAAAAAACAAAGTTTTAAAAAATATATTAAAACTTGTTGCTAGTTTTACTACTAGGTAAAAACAAAGTTTTAACAAACTTCCAACTTGTTTTTACAAATTGTAATTGTTTCGCAAGTTTATTTTCAAACACTTACTTAAGATTATTACACCACCCAGAAAATGTTCGATAACGGCTTGAATGATCACAGGGCAATAATCTAGGTAAACAATCGTCTTTAGTAGCTTGTCCATCTTCACTTAGAAAAGCTGTATAATTTGAAACAAAACGACCAACTTCAATATTTGGTAATAAACGTTGAAGTGAATCTTTAAATTTTATTTTTTTTTAATAAAAAATTAATTTCTTTTCCGAATTTTACCAATATCAAGGGAAGGTAATTGTTCACCATCTACCAATTTTTGACTAGAAAAAAAAATTTATAAAAAAATTTTTTTGTTATATTTAATCGAATTTTTATATTATTTGATCATATTTAAATAATTTATTTATTTATGTTTCTACCCGCTAGCAAATATTCGAGTTGATTCAAGCAAAATAGCTGAAACACGTGCATGTGCTTTTGAATGTGGTTTAGCACGCATCATCTTAAAAAAAAGATTTTTTTATTTTTTTTTAAATTAAAAAAAAAGATACATTAGAATAAGCAAAAAGCGGATCACCAAAACGTAGAGTTGATTGATCTATAAGAAAAATAAAAATTTTTTTTAATTATGATTAATGCATATTGTGTAACATTTTCGTGAGAGTACATAAAAATACCCGAACAACAAATCGAAATTTTTTTTTGAAAAACCCCGAGAGCCATACGAAAAACTACATAGGACAGAAACCCTTTCCCTCCTCATCTACAAAAAAAAACTTTTTTTTTGGGTTGGTAAAAGAAAAATCCATTTTTGAGTGATTTTATGGAACCTAAAATGATTGTGTCTTTTGCCCCAACTTTAATTTCAAAATTTTAAAAATTAAAAAAACCCTGTTACTTTTTTGTATATTTCTAGCTTCTCTACGTCTTTGTTCTTGTAAATTTAATTCTGCCAATTGTACAACTTTTTTAATAGTTTCATCAGTTATAGGTAAACGTAATGGCGATTCTGGATCACGCCAAGGTTCCAAATCAAAATTTGGAAGAATTGATGACTCACAAGGTAAAGGAGTATTTCTACAAAAATAAATAAAAATATGAGTGGAAATTAAAGATAGCCCAAATCCCGCATTATCATTAGGGATAAATGGCAGGTTGAGAAAAGAAAAAGTCGGATCGGGTTTGATCCTTATGATCTCAGAAAATGAGATTGAGTGGATTGAGTTTTCAAAACTCTCACGATCACACACATCTCAGGGACAAATCCATTTTCAGTTCGTAGTTTAAAACTTTGGCTCCCGTGGACAAGACCCCTTAAAATCCATACGGGATACCAATTTCTAGTAAATTGGTATTTCTAGAAATTGGTACCCATGCCAATTTTTTAGTAAAAATTATTTTTCAAAAAGAAAAAGTAAGAAAACAAACTCAAAAATATCAGAATGTAAAAATGAAGAAAGTTGTATTTGTTTAATGTTTGTTACATTACAAAGCTTTAAAAATAATATTAAAATTAATTTTCAAAAAAAAAATTTTTTTTTCTTACCACTCTAGCCCAGGTAGTTTTCTTAATTTGTGCCAATTGTTCTTCACTAAATGCTGTTGGAGCAAAAAAGTTTTCATACCAATAACGATCACCAATTTTTGTCTAAAAAAATAAATTTAAATTAAAAATTTAAAAAATATTTTTGTTTACTCGTTGAAATTGACGTCCAATAATACAACTTAAAGTTTGACTTAAAAATGCTCCTTTTAATGGACGTTCAGCCAACACTCCAACAAGTAAGTCAATATCTAAAAAATATTTAAAAAAATTTTTTTAAATTTGAAAAAAATTTTTCTGGGTGCTACAATTTTAATTTATTCTTCCCCAATTTTTCCTTAATTTTACCTCTGATTTTACTTTTTAATTCCTTCCTCAGGTTAATGCATGTATTGAAGATCTCTAGTGTCAGTGCACGACTCGAGGGGCACTTGAACTTTTTTATAGAAATCCTGTGTATGTATGAGTCATTTAACTACACTCCCTCATATTTCTGAATTATGCTGGAAAATTTTGGGAAATATGGTAAATGCCTAAATGAAAAAAGAAAAACAAAGAAGGAAAGAATGAAAAATGGGCCCTGTAAAATTGAGAATTCATGACTCATTTAAAATTAAATTTAAGAATTATCAAAAAAAAATCCCCAACCATCAACATGTTCATAAATTGTAGCCAATTGATCAGCTACAGATTCATTAATTAATATTAAACGCATTTCTCCAAAAGATTGTAACTTTTCAAGTCCACAATTAACCCTCATTAAATTATAACTTGGAAGGCCATGATCCCGTTCTTGTTTAAGAGCTATAGATATCAAGTCTAATCCAACATTAGCAGTGTTTGCTTGAAGAAAATGACCACGAAAGTTTAAATCAATTTTAAGACCGGGACGTTCAGCTTGTCGACTATGCAGTTCGCTTAAAATTTAAATAAAGATAATAAATTTGTTCCGAAAACAATAAAACCAGAACAACTGAAAAATGACGACAACAACTAAAACATCAAAAAAAATCAAAACTTTCTCTTGGTAAAAATAAAACACAGTCAGAAAACAACAACAACTTTGTTTTTGTCAAAACATTTTAATATAAACTCAGAACATTAAAATCAGAACAACTTAAGAACAAAACATATTTGCAAAACACTTTAAATAAATCAGAATTTTACAAAAAACATTCAAATCAGAATTAAATTGAACTAAACAGAATACAGAAAAAATCAGAATTTAATAAAAACAACTCAAAATCAGAATATTTTAAAAACATTAAAAACATCACCAGTAAAAACAGATGTTTAAAAACCAAAATTTAATAAAAACAACGAAATCAGAATTTAATAAAAACACAAAACCAGAATTTAGTAAAACAAATGTTTTAAAAACCAGAATTTAGTAAAAACAACAAAATCAGAATTTAATAAAAACACAACAACTTCATTAGTAAAACAAATGTTTTTAAAAATCAGAATTTAATAAAAACAACAAAAACAACACACAAACACTTTTGCAAAACATTTAAACACAAAAATCAGAATTACAAAACATGTTTATTATTTTACCTAACAAGTTGTTCAACTCCTTGTTGTTCATATAGACGAGAAGGATTATTAAATAAATTTGTTGTTGTTGTTGTTGTGGACGAATTATTAATAGATTGAAGTAATGAAAAAGCGACAGGTATTACAATTGTTGCAAATTCATTTAATGTTGTTGCATCTACATCAATATCATAATCACTGCTAAATGAGCCAGGAGGTGTTAAATTAAGTTGAAATTTTCTGGAAAAAAAAAAATAATTTTTTTTTCAAAATTTTTTAAATTTTGAAAAAAATTTCAAAAAATCAAAAAAAAATTTTTAATTAAAAAAATAAATCCAAATAACCTGACAGCATCTATTCCTAATAATAAAGGAAGAAATTCTGCATAAGTAATATGTTGCATTTGAGCTAGAAAATTGAAAATTTGAAAAAATTATTTTTTAAAATAAATTTATACCAATTACAATTCGTCTAGCTTCATTAAATATTCTATCACCATTCCAATGCCTATTCATTTCCTTTATGAAAAAATAAAAATATTTTTTAAATTGGAAAAAGTTAAAGAAGATTTCCAAAAATTACTAGAAAAATTGAAAAATTTTTTTTCGAATTTTAAAAAAAATTCAAAATTTTTATGGGAAAAAAAATTTTTTAAATAAAAAATTCCACAAAACTCTAAGTCCATCAGCCAATTTATTGTGTTGTCTAACCCAAATAGTGTGTAACAGAGTAATACCAACAAGTAAATTTACATCGGGAGTTCCACTAAGAAAACAACGTTGTTTTTGTTTGTCGGGAGATTGGCAATAATCGCTGCTTAAAGGATCCTAAAATTAAAAAAAAATTTTTCTTCAAAATTTTTAAAAAGATATTTAAAAAAAATTCCCCAAAAATTGCCAAAAAAATAATTAAAAATGTTTTTTAATTTTTAAAAAAATTACAAAAAAAAACTAAAAAATACCAATGTCAACAAATTATTTTCGTTATTAGAAATTAATAATCGGCCAGATTCTCCTGGTGCTCTAAGACGTTCCAATGTTTCGTAAGAAGAACCTTTTAAATTTTGAAAAAAAAATTAATTTTTCCACAAAATTTCAGAAATACCTAAAAAAATTTTTTTGAAAAAATTCCTTAAATTTTGGCAACTAAAAACTTTTTGGGTCAGAAAAATTTTTTTGGAAAATTTCAAAAAATTCCAAAACAATTTTTTTAAATAATAAAATATAAAAACCATATATTTGACTTCCATCTAAAAAGCTTGAAACATGGTTGGCTTGTTCTCTGGGACCCAAAGCACATTGATCACGCGGAGCAGGTAAAGTACGCGAATGTGGAATACAGGTTATATGAGCGGGTCTAAAAGAAACAAAAAAAAAATTTTTTAATTTTCTAATAATCAAAAAAACATACCCATATATCGGGTCATTAGAAGGTATATCAATAGGATCACAATCGGCATGGGCAAACCCTGGAGTACAACAAGGAAAGGCTACAGAAGTTCCTTTAAATTAAAAGTTTTTAGTGAATTTAAAATTTTAAGGTTTCCAACAGGAATGTCACGGCCAAAGAAAAAAGTCGTAGGATTTCGTATCGGAGTTCTCTAAACATTTTTGGATCGGGTATTTAATTTCGGATCAAAAATTTGTCAGTGGATTGGAAGCCAAATAATCCCTGTTTTCAATTTATTATCAACTTCCCTCTTTTGCTACCTCTAAGACATAAGTCAATTAAATCGTCAGAGGTAATAAGACCATAAAAAGAAAGAAGAAATGAAAATTGGGTTCCTTCAAAATCGGAAAGTTCCCAAAAAAATAAATTTCCAATACAAAAAAAGAGAAAAAGACCTTTAATTAAACATTGATTAGGTGCAATACTAGCCAAATCTAATCCAACAAAATATAGCCAATAAGCAACAATTTCGTTTACTCCAAAAGGATTTGTTTCTTTTGGATTTTGAAAAAGTTCTAAAGAAATTTGACGAACAGAAGGAAGTTCTCCACCACCACCGCTATTTCCTCCTCCAAATTGAGAAATTTGCCTTCTAGGTTGTACACCCAATCCATTGTCAGCATAAGTAGGCGAAGAAAAAAGGCGTGATAATGGTTGGCCTGCTGCACCGATAAATGGACGACGAACATTGTTACACTGACCTATATAAAGTTTAAAAACAAGTTTTTACAAATTGTAAAATGTTTCTAAAACATTTTACAATTAAATTGTAAAACAAGTTGTAAAATGTTTATAACATGTTTTTTAGAAAATGTTTTGTTGATGTTTTAAGTTTATACAAACATTTGTCAATGTTTTGAGAGGGCGGTTTTGTAAATGTTTTGAAGTTGTAAAAACATTTGTAAATTTTTTCAATTTTACAAAAACATTTGTTAGTGTTTTTATAACTTGTTAAAAATTGTAAAACATCTATCAATGTTTCCAAAACATTTATAAATGTTTCCAAACATTTATAAATGTCATAAACATTTTTAAAAATGTTTGGCTGATCCAAAACATGTTTATTACATGTTTTATTCTGATTTGTATTTGTTTAATTCTAATTCTGAAATTGTTTGTGTAATTCTGATTTTTCAAAAACATGTTTATTTTCCCATAAATATTTAATTGTTTACATGTTTTTCTGGTTTTAAAAAATGTTTGTTTCAAATGTTTTTCAATACAAATTTACTCATTTTATCAGAATTATAAAAATTACCAGAAAGCGATCGAAAAAGTTGTGAATTACTAGTTGGACAATGTGCCTCTGCATCTGTTGGACATTCCTTGCCAAGTGATGTACTATTTTTAACTCGTGCCAACAGTCCTGGAGAATGTAATAAAAGTGTGTGTGATGGAACTGAAGCAGCCGTTCCCTGCATTGTTGTTGAAGTCATTTTTTGGGAGAGACGGCGACTTAAAGCAAGTGCAACATAAGCATATTGACTAAACTGAAAAAAAATTTTAAATTAAAAATTTACGTTAAAATTTAAATTTTTAAAATTTTACCAGCTTTCCTCGATCAGTCAGTGGATGCATTCTACTATATTGCATTAATGAAGCAGACAATGGGTTTCCTTAAAAAATGTTTTCAAAATATTAAATGTTTTAAACAAGTTTTTTTGGTTTAATCATGTTTGAATTTTATTCTGATTTGTACATGTTTAATTTAAATTCTTAAATGGTTTAATTCTAATTTTATAAAAACATAGCTATTCTGACATCGATTGAAAATGTTTTTCTGCTTTATTTAAATTTTGATCAAGTTTAGTTCTAATTCTGAAAAACAGGTTTTTCTTATTATTGTCCACAAGTTTCCCTTTTAATTCTGATGTTTAGATTTAATTCTGAAATCGTAAAAAACATGTTTTTCTTAAAAACATTGTTTGTTTTTCTGGTCTATTAATATTGATGTTTAAATTTAATTCTGAAATTGTTTGTAATTCTGATCCTATTAAAAACAAACTTACTCGAATCCAACAATTGTTTTACACCCGATTCATTGTACAAAACATCAGTTTCTTCATGCGCTTCCTTTGCTGCTGTTCTCAATGTTTGATCAGAAATTTTAGCATCTTGATGTATTGTAATTCCATAAAGTTTTCTTGTGTTTGTTTGTTGTTTTGTTGTTGTTGTTCCTTCTTTTTCTCCAAAACATGGGAAAAAACTTTTCCCACAAGGTATTTGCATTGCCAAACATGTTGTTGTTGTTGAGATGAACAAAACAACATAATAAAAATAAAAATGTTTTTGCAACAAATGTTTGTACAACAAATGTTTGTGCAACATGTTTGTTTGAAACTAAAATGTTTTTAAAAGATAATAATAATTTGTAAAAACAAATGTTTAGAAGAAAATAAACAATAAAAATTTTTAAACAACATTTATTCTGGTTTTTGTACATGATACAAACATAGGTATAATAAAAACATAAATGAATGTTGAAATAAATGTTTGAGGTAAATTACAACAACTAATTTTTTAATAATTATTAGCCCAAAAAATTCTGATTTTTAAATTCTGATTTTTTAATTAACACAAATAATTAAGCGCTAAAAAGATAAAAATCTCTCTCTTATTTTTTCATGTCCACAAATTATTAATTAATATAAATTTAAAAAAAAAAGAGAAAAATATCTCATTTTGAGGGAAGGAAAATAAAGGGGTTTTTGAGTGACATGTTCATTGTTGTGATCGCTAAAGGGGTTTATTTATTCTCCATCTACCTAAAATTATTATATCCATGTTTCTCACGTAAAAATTTTTGCGAGGGAAAAGTAAAGGAATATAATACAAGTTGAAAAAACAAGATATTATATTTATTTTACCTAGTTTCTAAAATAAATTTTATTGAGACCAAATTGCCTAGGAAAAAGCAATTTTCCCCGTCAATAAAAAAAATTTTTTTTACAAAATATTCTTTAAAAAATTTTTAAAAATCTAAAAATAAAAAAAATTTTTCTTTATTCTAATTAACAAAATGAGACAAAAGTCTAGAGGGTGGGCTAACTAAACTAATCCTAACCCGTTTTTAATATTTTTCTAAAAACTAGCCCCTCCCAAATTATCATTTTTGACATTTTTTAGTTGTTTTTTAAACAAAAAATGTAATCTGTGTGGACAAAACACAAAAAAATATTCCCCCTAAAAATGATTCACCCAGACATTAATGGACAACAAATAAAGTTGTGGACTGTGGACACCCAAAAAAGGAGAGGGAGGCTTTCTGGCTCTTTTTTTTACACAAACCCATCTTTTATTTTTGGAAGAGCCGCTAATAAGTTAAACAAAAACCAGTTTTTTAACTAAAATTATGTAGGTAAAGATGATTATATTATTCAATCACCCGCCGCTAGAACAAAAAAGCCCTACTACTATATTTATGTTTATATATCCAAAATAAAAAATTTTTTTTCTTTTCTGCGTGTTTAATTTTTTTGGCTCCTTATTTGGCTTATTTTTTAATCTCTCTTCCCCAAATTTTTTTTCAAAATGGATTTATTGTTTTATTTTTCTAGCATGTTTTTCATTTTTTTTTTATATTTTCAAGGCTAAATTTAATATAATAAAAAAAATTTTTTGTTTGAGAAAAAAATTTTTTTTGAGGAGAAGAAATTAACCATATTAAATGTCTCTTCTTTTAAAATTAACTTCACACAAAAAAAATTAAATTAAAAAAAATTTCAACTTAATTTACTTGATTCAACATTGCTTCTTCGTTTTTCTTCACTCCTTCTTTTCTTTGCTTCATCTTCTTTTCCTCCTCTTCCACCACCTTCACTTCCTCTTCCTCCACCACTGCTTACTTCATTTCCACCTCCTCTTCTTTTCCTTCTTCTTTCCTCTTCTCTTCCACGTCTTTGTTGTTCCAATTCATTTTTTGTTGTTGTTGTTGATGTTTTATCCTTTCCTCCACCACCTCCTCTTCGTTCCCCCTCCTTACTATTATTATTATTAGATTTTGAAATACTTCTAGTTGACAAATCTTCTGGCAAAGCTCGTTGTTCCTTCTCTTGTATTTTAATTTTTTCTTCTTTCAATCTCAATTCCATTTCCCTTACTTTTGCCAATTCCAATTCTTTTGCTTTAGCTATCTCCAATTCTTTTGCTGCTCTAGCTTGTTCTTCCAATCGGTCATTTTCTTGTTTTTTTATTTTTTCTATTGATGCTTGAATTTGTTGAGCTCTTGATTTTAATTCCTAAAAAATTTAAAAATTTTTAAAAATTCTAAAAAAATACCGGAACATTTTCTGCAGCTACTTGTATTGATCTTCTTAGAAAAACGGCAATAGCATCCTTTTCTGAAGGTTTTTCAAACATTTTCATATTGGCGTCTTGTGAAGCATGATTCTTTTAAAAAAATTTATTAAATTCAAATTAAAAAGTAATTTGCTTCCCAAAAATAAATTTTACAAAAAATAATCTTAAAAAAATAAATTCACAAAGCAAGACTAGTCTACCCCGCAAGCTCGCAGTGAACCGGAGAGAAGTACATAACCAAAAAAATGTAAAAAACAACATTTAAACGTGATAACATTTAAAACTCTTACTAGACGGATATTTAAGATTTATTTTAAAAAAAGTAGGAGCGAAAGTGCGCTCACCAAAGTGCCTCTGGTGAGCGAAAGTGCCTAGGAATAACTACCGTAAGGACTTCCCGGCCCTAAACCTTCACGGACCTAAACGTATACTTCTCTCTTATCTAGAGCTGGCTAATCCTGGGAAATCCTTGGATATTCGGATTCGATCTGAAAATTCGGATATTCGGTCTATTTTCTTTCCGAATCCACCCACTCTTCCTACTGTCTACTTCAAATTAAAAAATTAAAAACAACAAACTATATGTTGATCACTATTCATTAATAAAAATCTACTAGCCATCCATTGATAATGTTCATCATTTACAGATTGATATTTTTCTTCTACTTGTTGTTCTGGATCCAATTCATCCAATGCTTCTTCCAAAAAACTTTTCAAATTTGGAATACAATTACGTTTAACATTTTTGCAAGCAGTTAAATTATCCTTTTCTATTGTCCATAAACGTGTTAATTCTGAAAAATTTTTAGTTTTTATTTTTTCATTTTTAACCTTCAAACTCCTATTTAGAGTTTCAAGATTAATCCTTTACCTTGTAGTTAATCAAAAGGCTAAAAATTAAATCAGAAAGATAGACCCCTTGATAAAATTGAAAAAGAACAAGAAAATGACAGCTTGGAGGGACAAGCTAGGAAGTTGTAAGGAATCCGATTTTTTAAGGATAGAAACTGACAAAATCCAAAGAGATTGAACTGGTAAACACAGCTAAAATTAGGAGATAGAAAAAACAAGTCGTTTTTCTTAACTTTACTTTCCTTTGATTGTCCCTTTGGAAAAATAAAAAAATCGTCAAGATTAATCTCAAAACTCAAATATAGGAGTAATGAGGAAATTAAATTAAAAAAAAAACCTGAATTTCCAAGATCAATAGAATTAGCGACATAACGTGTAGAAATTTGTTTTCTTTCAAATTTAATATCATCACAAGAGGAGGAAGATTGTATGTTGCTGTTATTAAATAAATCTGGAAAACCATCAGCTTTCCAAGAACACCATTGCTTTTCTCGAAGTAATAATTTCTGAAAATGTGAAGAAAAAAAAATAAAAAATCTCTCATTTTTGGATATCCATTAGAGAAGGAAATTTGTAACACATAATTAGGTGTATTTTAATTGGGAGGTATTGTTGATTCAACAACAAGACAGTGACCAAACAAATTTAAAAAATGTATCTTAACCAGTGGTATGGCTTTGAGAGCTAGCCAACTCCGTCCGGAGTTAGAGCTTGTTTTGTCAAAACTAGTTAAAGTTTGAAACAAAAATGCCGTCAAATACCCGGAACAAATTTAACAATTAACTGACATGAGGAGTACCTAATAATGGCAGTATATAAGAATAAGATTGTAATGATCAAAAATTATAAATAAAATTATTTCTAAACCTTAACAGAAGAAGCAAAACGAGATCCATTTGGATAAGTCTCCCTCAAAAGATTGTAACATTTATCCATTAAACCTTGTAAAGTTTCTTCTTGAGTTGAATTCAATTCTAGAGCTCTATAAAAATATTTATTTAAAATTTTAAAAAATAAATTTCAAAAAAAAATTTTTTTCGAAATAAATTTTTACAAAATTCCAAACTCTTTTGGTCTCGTTCTAGAAGCCAAATAATTGCTAATAATTAAAAATTGAAGAAGAAAATAACGTCGAAATTGTGAATCGGACATTTGGAAAGGAAATAACTAAAAAAATAAATTTATTATTAATTTTAAAAAAAAGTAAAAAAAAATTTTTTTTCAAAAAAAAACCTTTTCACTAGTCAAATATTTAGCACAAAATGTTCGTTCAGATAAATCAACATTTAAACGTTGTCCAATATTTGAATTATTTTTAAATGAATTATCAGAATTTTTGTCGTTTAAAATAATCATTTTAACATCATTTTTATTATCACAATCATAATCTATTTCGATTGAATTCTTTAAAAATAAAAGTTTTGTTTAATTAAATTTAATTGACTTTTGTAATGGAAAATATGTTTTAAATAAATTCTGATTGTTTTAAATAAAATGTTGTGAAAAAATTCTGATTTTATTTATAATATTGATCGTGTTTTGTAGGAATTCTGATTTTATTAAACATGTTTTTAAAAAATTCTGATTTTTTATTAAAAATGTTTTAGAGAAATTCTGATTTAATATAAACATGTTTTGAATGAATTCTGATGCTAGAATATTTATTTAAACATGTTTTGTAAAAGTTTTGGTTTTTTCACAAAACGTGTTTTGCAAAAATTCTGATTTAATATGAACATGTTTTGAAAAAATTCTGGTTTTATTAAACATGTTTTGAAAAAATTCTGATTTATTAAAACATGTTTTTATGAATTCTGATTTTATATTAACACGCTTTGTAAGAATTCTGGTTTTATTATTTAAAATGTTTTTAGAAACATTTGGCTTTGTTTATTGAACATGTTTTTAAAAAAATTCTGATTTTTATAAAATGTTTTAATTGAATTCTGATTTTATTTATTTTGTTAAAAAATCAGAATTTAATTTCAGAATTTAAAACAAACAAAGTTTTAATTCAATTTACCTCATGTTTGTTGTTGAAATCATTATAAACTTTTCCATGTTGGGGAGAACCAACATCACCAGAACATTCCTGACGTTGTGGTTTTTCAATTTTATAAGCAGAAAATAATGCAAAAACATTAGAAATATCCTAAAAAATTTTTAATTTTCTAACTAAAAAACAAACATTTTCCAATTTTGTAAAATTATCATTTTCAAACAACAAATTTGGATTAGAAAAAAATCTTTGCAAATCCCAAAAATTGAAATACAAATTATAATCCATTGGAATTGTTCCTCCAAATGAATCTCTACAAAAAATAAATTTTTAATAAAAAAATTCAAAAAAATGTACCGATGATCTCTAATTTCCCCAACTTCTATATCATCATCTACTCCTCCAGCAGTTGAAGAAACTGATGGAAGTTGTGGAGGCTCTTCTGGTCCTTCTTCCATACGTTGTTCGTTTTCTTCGTGTTGTGGATGTTGATCTTTCTTTAAATAAAAAGAATTATTTCAGATTGCTAAAAAGCAACTAGTATGCCTCTTAAGACTAACCCGGATTATAAATGATCCCACTTATAAAATTTGGGAGCAACACGGAAACAAGAGGACTATCTCGGATGGCGTAAAATCCATCGAGAGAAAAGAAAATTTTCAAAAGCTTCCATAATGATTGGAAAATTATTTTATAGTCCTAATGAAGAATAAAAATTACTCTCTAAACAAAAATCAGCCAAAACTCTGGTCGACACTAAAAAATTTTTTAAAGCTAATTGTAAGGTTTATTGCATCGAACTTAAATGAACCAAAGTCAAAATCACTCTCTTACATCAAAAAATTAACGAAAATTCTCAGCCGACCCTAAAAGGATTTTTAAATGAAAAACCACGAATTTCTAAAACCAAAGGGTCTAGGAACACTATAATTAATAAAAAAAAACAAAAAAACCTTTTCTCTATCAAAAACAGTAACATTTTGTGTATTAAAATGTCCAGGCAAATTTAATCCAGATTTTTCATTTAAAGGTAAAGATTTAGCCAAAAGTATTAAAATACGTCCACAAAATGTTGTATCAATAAAACGAGAAAGTCGTTTAAGTAAATCATTGCATAGACGTAAAATCATATTTTTGCATGAAGAAAAGAAGAATGGCTGGAAAAAGGGGAAGAATAATGTTAAAAAATTAATAATTTAAATAAAATCTGGCTGATGTGAGGTACTTTTGAATTAGTATTTTAGACAAATTTTAGAGGCAAATTCTTAAAGGAATGAAGCAATCAAAAGATGATTGAGGAAAGAACTATTCTAGAAGTTGGACACAACAACTAGACATTTCCTATCAACTAGGAAGCAAAAAATAAAAAAAATTCGTCCAAAATCACATGAGTTCAAATCTAATAAAAGATTTGGAAATAAAAGTTGAATGATGCTGATTATGAGTAGAGGTCGGCGCGGGACGGGATCCCAACGGGATTTTCCGGGATCCGGGATTTATACCTCGGGATCCCGGCCCGGCATCGGTTAAGAAAAAATCCATCCCAACTCTGGAGACCGGAAGTGATATTTTGCCAACCTCTATTGTGAGCGTGCATTATTTCTACATATTCAATTATTTGGGATGCAACCCCCTCTAAAATCTTAAACAACTGGCGGTGGCCTTCTTTTCTCAAAATAGCCAAAAAAGCATTCTTTAAAAAATAAATTAACCGTTTTCCAAATATGAATATTATTTTCAATAATTCCAAAAAGTTGTTCACATCGTTGAGTTGTAGAAACATCAAAAATGTCTTGAAGTATTTGAATTGTTAACGTTTTTGTGCAAATTTCTGAAAAATAAATAGGGAAATGAATTCTATAAGTTTAATATAAATATCAGGAAATTGGATAGAATTTGGGATAGAATCTTTGGGCTAGAACTGGATAAAAGGTTAATTTGGGTATAAATTTCCCAAAAACAAAACAATAATTCAGAAAGTTCTCAATAAATTTAAGCTTAACTAAAGTAGAATATTTTTGTAAATAACCCAATCAAACCAAAATGTCTGACGATAGAGAAAACCTAGGAAATCATATCCCCAAATTAAGCCCGTCAAAAAATAAACCGTCCTGAAAATTCCCACAAATATTAACATTTAAAAATCCCCCAAAATAATAAATATACTATTGTCTTTATCATTTTCTTTAGAAACTCCGATATCCTTTTCTGCCAATCCAATAACAAATTTTACAAAAGCTTCAACATCTGCAACAGGAATATCTGAACGTCCAAATTCCAAAGCTTTAGTACGCAAAACACGTTCAATTGATGATTTTATACGTTCCAAATCTGTTCTAAAAAATATAAGAAAATTAGTATACGTAAAAAAGACGAGGGTTTTTTGCGGACTTTTTCCTAAATTATTCCCTTGGTTTGCTTGTTGGTGTTCAGTCAATCATATTAAATTACTTTGATAAGTACAAAAATTGATGGAATGCCCTCACGGTTTTCGACATTCAACCAATCAATAAAAAATATTTTTGGCAAGTATAACAATTAATTTGAAAAGGTCTGCAAGTTCTGTCGCAAGTTAAAATACTGCGAAAAAAAAGACAGTCGAAAAAACCTTGTATTTGCAGCCAAAAGGACTTAAAATCCTTTAAAAAATAAAATTAAAAAATACCCTTTATCTTTTAATGAAGTAATTGAATCCTGAACGGCGTCAACATTTAAAGTTTCAATAATTTTTATTAGAGACAAATCCATTTTTGATTAAGAAAAAAATCGTTTTAGAAGCAAAAATAAGAACTCCCCTAAATTCGATATTAAAAAAAAAGAAGAAAATTAACAAAAAAATAAAAAATTGTTCTCAAACAAATTCAAAAAAATTAAAAAAAAATTAAAGATTTTATTTTTAGAAAATTATTTGAAAAAAATTTGTAAGTATTTATAAAAAAAGACATAAAATCAGAGTCAAAAAGAGGTCCTTATATGAGTAAAACAATAAAGACACAAAATGAAAGTCAAATAAAAATAGGTATATATTTTTTGAAGTTTATAAATTTGTGGAAAAAAATAAATAGGTATTTGTCTAAAAAAACTTTTAAGTAAAAATAAATAAATATTTGTGGCTTTTGTTATTGAGAAAAACAATAAAGACACAAAATCAAAGAGAAAAAGAGGTCCCTATAAATATATGCAAGGACAAATATTGGAAAAAAATTTTTGAGAAAATTAACTATTTTTTTGGAAATTAAATGAAATACCTAGAAAGATGTCAAATAACTATAAAAACAATCATAATACTAGCTTAACAAACGTGTTTACCAAACTTTCGGAATAGAAGCAGTATATTCAAATTCAAAAATCCTTCCAAAAATGCCATCTGTGAACTTGTTCTTCTTCTCAAAAGTAATTCCTCTATGAAATGAAGTATCTCCAGGTTCCTTGGGGAGATAATTTTTAAGATAATTCCATACATCATTCGCATTAATCAGCCCAAAATAGTAAGCGAACTCCTTAACATTGTCGATGAATTCAAAAACATCGTCTCTACTAGCCACTCCAGAATAGAAGTTTTGATGGTCACTAAAGATTAAAAAAAATTGTGTTAAAAATTTCAACTCTGTTCTAGAGTAAACAAAAAAATTTTTTAAATTAAAGTCCGAAAAATATTTGGTGGTCGTGTGAAACCCATAAACCAATTCAAGATCAGAAAAAACTTAATGCATAAAATTACCGATTCATTAAGGTAATGACTGAACCGAGGAAAGGTCCTTCTATGGAAAATCTCGCACCCAAAAAAGCCAATTTAAAACCAGCGTTGTGTGTAGTAAAGTTGATCTTCAAATCTTTGAATAATAATTTAACAGCCAGACTGAAGGCACCCCAGCACTAAAAAAAATAAAGTGCAAAATAATTTTAATTAAAGCAATACACATTCGCAGGTTAGGATCCTGTTCGCAACGTTGAAAAACTTTTTCGCGTCTCTGATGAATTCATTAGGATGTTCATAAACTTTTTGCCCGTTCTAAATATAAATAAGGAGAAAAAATTATGAAATAAAACCACAAAGATGTCATTTTCATGGTTGTTTAACTGAGCAGACAGATATTCATTAACATAGTTTGTACATTGGAGTGGGTAATTGAAGCCAAAGAGATTGATTTGTCTAAGATCCAAAGGTAGCATAGGCGTAAATGAATCCGAGCTAGAGATGCCAGAATCTCCACTAGGAGGACGATGATCCTAAATTTAAGTCTTCACAAACGATATAAAAAATAGAAAATCGGAACATTCAAAGAGTCCGAAAAAGAAATATATATATATTTTTTTCCAAAAATTTTTTAACTTTAAAAAATCTAACCTCGACAACATTATCAATTCCTTCCTCTGCTTCAGCTTGTAAATTATCCAAGTGTCCATTCGGTTTTATTCCATCTTCGCCAAGACCAGAACTTGCAGATTTATTTGCCTCCAAATCATTGCCATTAGAATTTGAGGGTGAAAGTTGCTCCTGACTAACAATTGTGATCTTAGCTGGCTAAATATGAAAATTGTTTTAATTTGATTTTCGTTTAAAGAAAATAAACCTTTTCAGACTTGCTTAAAGACATAACCACTGATGAATAAGAACAACCTTGAACAAAACTGCTCTCATTTGTAGATTTCTTTACTGTGAACCCAACAACCTTTGATATTGTTTGAACCGGTTTTGGCGGGTTGTTCTTGTCAACAATTGTGTTTTCAGTCTAAACTCTCAGTAAATTATTTTACAAAAATTCTTATTAAACCTTTCTCGAATTTCCTCTAGACACAAAAGATCCTTGAACACCTCCACGATTTGATTGACGGGCATTAAACTTTGACGTTGAAGGCTTCTTCTGTTCAGCAATTTCCTTTGCCTTCTAAATTAGTAGAAAATTATTTTACATTAGAAATTCGGGAAGCTTCTAGTTTACTCCTAGTGAAAAAACAGGGCAAAAATAAATCAGAAAGTACTTTTTCGACATTTTTGGGGTCTGTCAGAAGGCCAGTGACTCGAACCGAACAAATTCTATGCCAATATCCGGAACAGAATCGGACTCATTGCCAGCACACTAGACATTGCCAGCACACTGGACTACCTACTAGCAAACCTACTTATTGGTATTTTTTCCCGAGGGCAAGTAAATTAGAAAATTATAAAAATTCCTATTTAGCTATTCGTCACAATTAAGGTAAAAAAACCTTTTCATTTTTTAATGTCCTCTTAGACACAAATTCTTGCCAACCAACATTGTCAACATTTTCCATCTTTAAATTATTGAATTTAATGAGATTAATGAACAAACGCTCCAAAAAGCTCAAGAGAAATATTCTATAAAAATATAAACAAAAATATCAATATATAAATTGTAAAAAACAACGAAGTCAAAGTTAAACAAGAAAAGCATCTTTAAAATTTATACAAGAAAAACAAGAAAAAATTATACAAAAATAAAAAAATTTAACATAAATAAGACTCAACTGTACTGTGGGATTAATTGTCATTTTAATTTATAAAAACACAACGCCAAAAAGGTGTGAAATTCAAAATATGGTCAATCAAAAACTTGGACCAATTAATTGTTTTGTTATTATTTGTGTCCTTGTTTACTAAATAAAATCAGAATTCATGCAAAACATGGATATATTAAATCAGAATATGTTCACAACATTTAAATAAACTCAGAATTTTTTAAAAACATGTTTAAATAAAATCAGAATTTTTTTAAAACATGAATAAAATCAGAATTTTTTTAAAACATGAATAAAATCAGAATTTTTTTAAAACATGAATAAAATCAGAATTTTTCTAAAACATGTTTAGATAAAATCAGAATTTTTTTAAAACATGAATAAAATCAGAATTTTTCTAAAACATGTTTAGATAAAATCAGAATTTTCTAAAACATGTTTAAATAAAATCAGAATTTTTCTAAAACACAAATAAAATCAGAATTAATTCAAAACAAATCATAATAGGTATTTTCAAAACATGTTTACATACCTATGTTGTATCTTCTATTAATATTTTTTAATTTTTTTAAATAAAATTTTTTTTTTCAATTTTTAAAATTTCTAAAAAATTTTCTTTTTATATTTAACAGTATCTTCTTTATTATCTTACACTTTTTAATTTATTAAAAAAAAATTTTCTAATCCTAAAATTTAAATACGAGTGTCGTCTTTTCTCTCTCCCTTTCTTAATTTTAAAAAGAGATTGAAAAATAACATTCCCCCTTTATGTAGAATTAAAAAAAGATTTAAAAAAATATTTTTCTTTTTAAAATAATTAGTTATTTATTATATAAGCATCGTCAATGTAAAAAAATTATTATTTATTTAAAAATATTTTTTTTTTATCTCTCATCTCCCTTAATATTAATCTTTTTTTATCGTCATATTCTCTGTAATATATTTTTTAAAACATTTTTATATTTAATGTTAGCCTATTTTATACGACACACACATACGCTTCTTCAAAATAGCTTCCCTTTTTAGCTTTTCTCTTTCATTTTATTTTTCTTCATTTACAATATTTTTAAGGCTTCTTTTTAAATATAATAAATATTCTCCAATAAAATATTAAATAATTACAATCTCAAGTTTCTCGCAATTTTACAATCTCAAGTTTAAAAAAAATAAAAACATGTTTTAATAAAAAAGGAAAATAAACTTGTTCCAAGTTTACTTATTTTTAAGTTCAATCTTAAGTTTCTCGCAGTAACTTGTTTTAATTTTACTTATTTTTAAGTACAATCTTAAGTTTCTCGCAATTTACAATCTCAAGTTTTCAAAAAATAAAAACATGTTTTAATAAAAAAGGAAAATAAACTTGTTTCAAGTTTATTTATTTTTAAGTTCAATCTCAAGTTTCTTTTAATTTTGCAATCTCAAAGTTTTGAAGTTTACAAAAATGTTAGACAAAGTTTTAACAACAACAGCAGAAAAATAAACTTGCTTCAAGTTTATTTAATTTTTAAATAAAATATTTCCGCCTGCTTCAAGTTCGTTTTTGAATAATTAAAACCGCCTGCTACTGAAAAAACATTTCATTAAAAATCTAAAATTAAAAAATGTATCGGCAAATGATGCAACAAAGTCCGCTTCCTTCAATTTATTGTACAAAAGAAGAATGGTGTAATTTAAATTGTGGAAAGTTTCATGCGCGGCGGTTAAGCTTTATTCGTGATAATTTAAAGAGACATGCTTTGACGCCAATAAATGTTAAAATGGCAACAACTACGGCAAATGAAAATATTAATAGTTAGTTAAAAAATAAACATATGAAATATAATTAGAATTATATCGGAAAATGAAGAAATGCGCAAACTTGAAGCATTTTAGTTAAAAATAAAACTTGAAACACAAAATAAAACTTGAAACTTAGAAGTAAAACTTGGAGCATAAAATTAAACTTGAAACACAAAAAAACTTAAAAATAAACATTAAAACTTGAAACACTAAAATTAAACTTGACACAAAAAACTTGAAACTTAAAAATTAAAACTTGAAACACTAAAATAAAACTTGAAACATAAAAATTAAAACTTGAAACACTAAAATAAAACTTGAAACTTAAAAATTAAAACTTGAAACAAAAGCTGCTTCTCCCAAACTTAAATATTTTATCTTTCTCTTTTTTACCCAGAAACCAACCGAGAATCAATTCCGAATGGTTCTCTTATGCCAACCATTCAACCACCAACAATAACAAGTCCGGCTGTAAGCCAAACAAGTCAAGCAAGCGGGTTAAGCAGTTCAGTTACTTTAGACGATATAATTGGTATTTTAAATAATTTCAATCTTCGAAACATTTTTATTTTTTAAAGCTTCAGCACGGCGTAAAATTAGTGATGAATATAAAGAAATTAGACTACCTTCACCTGAGGTCCTCAAAATTTCGAGAAAATTTTTAAAAAATTTTGTTTTCAGTTTGTTGAAGACGATAATACACTTTGGGATAAGAAAGCAGCAAAAAAGCAGTTACTCTTCCAGGGAAGTTCTTTGGATATTCCAACTATGGAGAATAGCGGAATGGAAATATTGAATAGAAACCATTATGATGACCAGGATTCTGAAGTAAATAAACAAAAATTTAAAAAATAAACTTGAAGCAACTAGTTAAAATAAACTCAAAAAAATTAAGCAAAAACATGAGAAAATTTGAAGCAAAAACTTGAAACATAAAAATAAAACTTGAAACAAAAAAAACTTGAAACAAAAAATTTTGAAGCAAACTTGAAACTTAAAAATCAAAACTTGAAACAAAATTAGAAGCATAAACTTGAAACTTAAGAAATAAAGCTTGAAACAAGAAAATTTGTAGCAAAAACTTGAAACAAAAAAATTTGTAGCAAAAACTTGAAACAAAAAAAAATTTTAAACTAAAATTAAACTCGAATATTAACAGGCAGAATTGATGATGATACAACAAAAACCACCCAACTTTATTGTAGATGAGGAAGCTGAAGATTTTGAGGACATAATAGAGTTTAATAATTATTTTTAATTTTATACACATTTTCCCCTCAAATTTAAAGTGCTAGCAAACCACCAGAAGACGCTTTTAGTAACCCAATTTTACTTCGAGATTCTGATCCTTTAACAACACACAAAAAACGTCGACATTACCGACTGCCTCAACGACAACAAAGTTTAAGTCGAATCCAACTTGGCGGTGGGGGGCAATTAAGTCAAAGTAGCACACCTTCTGGGCATCGTACTGAATTTGAAGATACTGCTGACAATTCTTCTATAGGTGCTAATAATATTTTTTAAATTAAACTTGAAGCACAATCATAAAATTCAAACTTGAAGCAAAACGTAGAAATAAAACTGAAGCACTAACTTAAAAAACTTGAAGCAAATCTTAAATTCAAACATAAAGCACAATCTTTAAAAAAAACTTTAAGCAAAATCTAAAGTAAACTGAAGCACAAACATAAAATTAAACTTTAAGAAAAACGTAAAATTAAACTTGAAGCACACTCTTAAAACTCAAACTTGAAGCAAGCCTAAAATAAAACTGAAGCACAAACTTAAAAAAACTTGAAACACACTCTTAAAATTCAAACTTGAAGCACATACTTAAAAAAAACTTGAAACACACTCTTAAAACTCAAACTTGAAGCAAAACGTAAAATTCAACTTGAAGCACAAACTTAAAAAAAACTTGAATCTTTAACTTCCAGCTTTTTAAGTTCAAACTTGAAAAGTTTCAAGTTTTAAAAATAATTTTCCTCTTTTTTCATTTCAGATTTATCATTAACAGAAATTTCAAATGCTATAAATCAAGGGAAGAATTCTTCAACAGACAGCCGTAGTCCCTCAAATATTTTTAAATTTATAGAAGAGCAGAAACAAAAAGCTTATGAAAATGCAAATAATGCTTCAAATACAACAGTTAATGAAGTGACTGAATTATAAATAAATACGGATTTTAATTGAGAATAAAAGCAATAAAATAAAATCTCTAATAAAAATACTCTATTTTTGTAATAAATTCTAGTCTCAATATAAATTAGTTAAATTTCTTATTGTTAGTACTAAAAACTTGAAGCATCGAAAAATAAACTTGAAGGAAATACAAAACTTGAAGCACAAACTTGAAACTTAAGGATAAACTTAAAATCGCAAACTTGAAAAATACAACTTGAAAAATAAAACTTAAAAATAAACTTGAAAATAAACTTAAAAACAAACTTGAAAACAAACTTGAAAAAATAAACAAAATATCAAGCACAAACTTAAAAATCAACTTAAAACTTGAATTGCAAACTTGAAACAAAAATAAAACTTGACCAAGTTTTAATTTTTTATCCTTTATATTTTCTAAATAAAACATTGTTTTTCACTGTTTTTTTTCTCTCTCTTTTTTTTAAAAACACCAAACAACTATCACTCCGCTTAAGCATCTTTAAGATCAATTCCAGAAGATATGTAGGAATTCCTTTAAAAATAAATTTCTAAAATTTTCTTTTTAAAAAATTAACTCGTTTCTGCACATCAAATAACGACTGGCCCTTGGATTAAATGCTCTCTCTCCACGATGGCTATACATATGGTAGGCTAATTGCCTTTTTAAATTAAAACAAATAATTTTTTTATTTAATTTTAATAATTAAACCAACCGACTGTCTGAATAACTCTACAAAAAAATTAAAAAAAATTAAAAAAAAATTTTTAAAAATTTTTCACCCAAAAATTCCCAAATTATGTAATTTAATAAATACTTCCTTAAAGAGCACTAATCCAAAATTTTATAATTTTTGGACGTTTCCGAACCATTTTATCCATTTTTAAAGCATCAAAATTTAAGGGAAGCAAATACAAGTTCATTTTCTCCTTATAAAAACAATGGTCTAGTGGTTAGCGTTTTTGACTTTAGGGGTAAATGGGTGTGGGTTCGAGCCCGTTTGGGTGTAAATTAATTTTTTAAGTGTAAAAAATATAAAAATTAAATTTCTAAATTTTTTTAAAAATTTTTGATCAATTTAAAATTTTTTCCCACCGTTTTAAACCAAAATAAAAATTTACCTTAGAGCAGTATTGACAAATATACGGCTTTGAACGAATATCAGTCCATACACGATTTTGATACTTAAAAAAAAATTTTTTTTATTTAAAAATAAAATTTTAGACTAAGAACCTTAGGTTCAAACCCCTTTTCTTTAAATTCTGGTGTCGGCAATTCCATTTCCCTTTCTGCCTTTAAAGTTGCTGATGAAATTAATTGAGGTAATGTTTCGACAAGTGAAGGTATTGGGGGAACTGCTGGTTCTGGTGGGTCCTCTCCAGGGTGACGATGATTAAGAAGATCGGTGTACTGAAATAAAAAATAAGAAATGGAAAAAAAAATTTTTTCACTAAAAATCGAAAACATTCCCCAAAGACCCCCACACCCAACCACCTTTCAAAAATCACAACTTTTCTTTAAATAAAGCTACAAATTTAAACTAAATCCAAATTATAGAGAAAACTCTTGGCTATTCAATAAATTTTATTTCAACTCTATTAATAACAAAAAAATTTTATTATTAACAAAAATACTAGTTAAAAACTAACAAAAATAGTGAAAAAAAAACACTAAAAAAATTCACAACCTTTCTAAAACCAAAAACTAAAATATTAATTTTAGTCATTTTTGTAGCCCAGAGTTCGCTCTTTAATTTGACATAAAGCTTAAATTTATAGAGCAATTACCAACAAAGTTACATATCTTTAAACTAGACAAGGTTTTAGTCCAAAAATCACTTTTCCCCCTTTTTTCTTCCCCAAAAATTTTCTGGCCAAGTGGTTAGTGATCCAGACTTTTACAAAATTTAGGTCCCAGGTTCGATCCCTTTCCCAAAATAAAAATTAAAAACTTGAAAAAACGTTCGTCCACATTCACATTTGTATCCCTTTTGGGTTAGATGAGCTTAAAAAATTTTTTTCAGAAATTTTTAAAAAATTTCAACTCACTTTTTGCATGATATTCCAATTCACACATATAATGAAATGCTTCTCCACACTTATTGCAAGTATACGGCTTCAAAATAAAATTTTTTTCTAAATTATTTTTATTAAAAAGAAAACCTGAATAATATCATGTACCCTTTCGTGTGCCTAAAAATCAAAAAAAAATTTTTTCTTGAATAAATTCCAAAGTGAGAGAGAACACATTAATCAACCAACCAACCTTTAAAGTCGTCTAAAAAATATAAAAAATTTTTTTTTCAAAAATTTTTTTCTTAATTTACCATAAAATTAAAAGTTAATCCACAAAAACGACATTTATAGTAGGTAAACCCATTTTCATCTTTAACACAACTCTTCTTGATTGTCTGTTGTTGTTCATCTTCTTTACCGGCATAATTTTGTTGCTCTTGTTGCTGTTGTTGTGAAGCTGCTGTTACATTCTCTGACTAAAAACAGAAAAAAAGTCATCTCATCAATTATCAAGAATTAGTTGAAGCAAAAACTTGAAACAAAGTTTCTTCTTCCTAATTTATTTTTACGCTAAATAGAGCAGAGAAATAAAAAAAGACTATGTAAAATAAGGAGAGAATTTTCTCCCATCTCTCTTTTCTCTATACTATTTTTCTGTGTTCTCTAATTTATGTTATAAAAATAAAAAATGACAATTTATCCTTATTCGGAACAGGATCATTGAGTCCCGCCGTTTGAGTCCCTGAGCCATATTTTGTGCCATAACTTTTTCAATTATTAATTAATTTAGATACTTAATATATCAATCAAAAGCTTTTGATATAAGGATTATTTTATCTAGCAGGAGTGATCTAATCAGATCAACAAACAAAAAGTTACAGCTTAATAAAGATCAAAAATCACGATTGCGCGCACTTATCTAGATGTAACTTTTTGTAGGATGGTCTGATCAAATCAATCTAGTTGACCAAAATAATCCCCTTATCCAGGGCTTTCAGATGATAAAAGATTTATTTGAATTGGTTGAAAACCCAAAAAGTTATGGCCCAAAATATGGCCCCAGGACTCAACCGGCGGGACTCAATGGTCCCTTACCCATCCTTATTTAATTATTAAAGTTTGGCATTGTGTTTAGCATAAATTTAAACACGTTTTACAGGATAACTTATGATTCCACTCTGTTTTTCGTCTCTTTTAAACGTTTTTCCGACTATTTTTATGCTTCAAAAATATATTAAGGGATCTAAGGGATCTAATTAAGTATTTTATTAAGTAGCACCGTCTCTCCACAAATAATAAAGAAGAAAAAAGAATTTTTATAAAATAATATATGAAAGAGGCATTTTTTGAAAAGAATTTTTTCGAGGCATTCAAGGCAACTTCCTTTATTTTTAAATTTTTAAATTTCTAAACACAAGTCTTTCAAGTTCCATTTTGATGTTGTTGTCGATTGCCGTAATTTTGTTGTTGTTGTCCTTGTCCTTGAACAGCTTGCCCTTGTTGATTGTTTCGGTTGCTTACAAATTGTACAGTGCAAGTAATTTCGGCGACTGGCTAATATAAAAGGATATATGAGACAAATAGGATAAGAGAGAAATCGAGAAAAGAGAGAAACTACACACTCCAGTGCTTCACCGGAACCGCAAATTTGGCCGGAACCGGAACTGAAATTTTGACCGGATCCGGATTTAATATTTTGGTTCCGGACCGGAACTTCCGGTGAAGCTCTAAGGGGGGGAAGCTAGAAGATCTAACACACTCCCCCCATACTTATCCCACTCTAAGTCAACTCTCGTCAGATATTCCAGTTGGAAACTGAGTGAAAATTGCAAGTCAAATTTATGTGAGACTAATAATAAATTATTGGGGGAGACGGTGCTACACATCAGGGGCGTGCGAGTTTCGCGTTTCGCGGATTTTCGCGTTTTTTGGACTTTCGCGTGTCGCTTTTTAAAATCCGTTTCGGCACACCCCTGCTACACATATATACTTTTAGAAACACGTTTCTAATTTAAAGAAATTTCTATTACCAATTCTTGTTGTTGTTGTCCTCCTCCTCCTCCTTGTTGTTGTTGAACTTGCCCTTCTCTGTTTTGATCCATAATTTTTTTTTGATTTATAAAAGAAAATTTCTCTCAAAAAATAATTAACTGTTAAAAAATTATTCTTTTTAGAAAGGCCAAGTTAAACAGAAAATTCAAAAATATAGGAGCTTTTAAAGAAAAAAGTTTTCAAGTAGTAGAGTGATCTATATTCAATTGATTTTTATTTGTGAATATGCACTTGTCTCACAAGCTTCTTTATAATAATAATAGCTTTAGAGGTTGCTGTTCTCTTGCTATATGTAAAAAGGATTTTCTTATTTGCTAGTAGCAGATCACTTTAAAAACAAAAATAATACCCAAAAGATCACCACAATGCTTAATAGCACCCAAATGGTGATCTTTTGGAACACCCCTTTTTATTTTTATTATGCTGCTGTTGGGAAGCTTTTGCTAATTACACAAGTTTTGCTAACATTAGTAGAGGGTTGATTTATATTAGAGGAAATCTCAGCAAAGGGATAGAATCGATTAAAGGGTAAACTTTTAACATCTGTTTAAGGTTGGAAAAATAAAATTTTCAAAAAAAATTTTTTTAATTTGAAAAAAATTTCAAAATGTAAAATGACCAAAATGTCAAAAAATATAGTTTATTGCAAAATTAAAAAAATATAATAATTTAAGAGCGAGAAGGCACTTTTAAAAGTCGAAAAAATATAAATAAAGACAAAATTTTAATGGAAAGACAAAAAAATAAATATGTATTAAGTGTTTTTAAGTGTTCAAGGCCTGTTTTAATTTTAGAAAAAAAATAAATATAGTAAATTATAACTAGGGTTGGGGGCCCGGTCCGTCCTAAGGATCGAGTCGGGGATCGAATTTTGGCCCGAAAAAATGAAGCCTGAAAAAGACTCGATTGGGCAGGCTCGAAAAAATGATCCGAACGTCGGCCCGACTCGAAAACTCCAACCCTAGTTATAACCAAAAAAAAATTTTTTTTCCTTCAATCAGAAAAAAATGCTGGGAATTATATTAATTATTTAGTTTTGTAAAAACTATGAAAATATATAAATATAAATAAGAAGATTTTCAATATCGTTAAGTAAAAATAAAACTCGAGAAATTTCAGTAGACTAAATGATTTTTAAAAGGTTGCAAAATGGTCAAGTTAAAATTAAAAAAATATTTAAACATGGTCAATAATTAAAAAATTCAAAATGGTCAAAAAATCTTCAAAATGTCAGAACCCAAAAATATCCCATAACGGTCATAAGTAAAAAAAGTTATAAAATGGTCAATTCCGAAAAAAATCCCAAAATGGTCAGCCCCAAAAAAACTTAAAATGGCCAGTCCTTAAAAACTTTTCAAAATGTCAACTGATACAAAAAGATAAATTAAAAAAATATAAATATTAAAAAAACTCATTACCACCGAAAAATAAAATAACCTCTCCCAAATTAAATTTAAATATATGGAGCAAATTTGATTGTACTATTTGAAGTATAACAATAATCATCTTTATTATTGTTGTTTGTAGAAGAGGTTGTTGTTGTTGGTGTTCCTTGTTGTTTTTCAAGTATAAAAAGTTTATTATGCCGTCTTTCTGAAGTTGTCGTCATTTTTCTTTTAATTGATGAAGGCTTTCTTTTTTTGTCTTCAACAACAAAATTATTCTTCCCTTCAAAATTTTGAGGATTCATTTCTTCTTTAACAATTATAATATTATTAAGCATATTGTTGCCATTGTTATTAAAAACAACAGCAGCGTTGTTTGCCTCTTTCCCATCTCTACGTGGCAATATTGGCAATTCATCCAATGAAGGTCTCGTAGTTGAAAGTCTACGTAAACGTTCAATATTGAAGTTTAAATTAGTTAATGATTCGAGAGAAACTTAAAAAATAAAGAAAAAAAATTAATTTATCAATTTTTAGAAAATCCGCAAATTTTGTCCGCAAAAATTAAAATTTTTTTAAACTGCCATTAATTTTAATTTGAAGGAAAATGATTTATTTTCTTTATTTTATGGCTTATTGTTAGTTAGATTATATTTATTTCTAAAGATAAAAAATTTAAAAAATCGTATTTAATAAATTTGCGGACAAAAAACATGTCCGCAAATTTTGTCCGCAATAGATTTAAATTTATTAAAATTTAGGTACAGGTCTCAGTTTTCTTATATTTCTCATAAATTTTAGTCCGGACAACCAATTTCTATCCATAAAAACAAGCAAAATAAATTTTAATAATTTTTGCGGACAAAAATTTTTCTGTCCGCAAAATTTTGCGGACAAAAAAATTTTTTCAAAAATTTTCAAAAAACCTTGATGGCAACAAATTAAATGTCTTTTCATATTTCCTTTGTACAAAGTATTAAATTGACACCAACTACATTGATACGGGTCAGTAGGGTCTACACTACCAATTCCTCCAGGTGCTGGGGAGGTTGAAGAACAAGAATTGGTATTAATTAAGGAAGAAAAGTCGATTGTTGTAGTTGGAGTGTTTTGTCGTTGTTGAGTATTTGAACCTTTAAACAACAGTTAGTTTTTAATTTTAAATTGAAAACTTTGAAAATTGACCATTTTGAGTCCTTTCTCTAAAAATCCGCAAAAAAGTTCTTTTGCGGATTTTTAAAAAAAAGTCGTCCGCAAAATTATTTCTGCGGACAAATACGTCTAATGGACACAAAAATGCCCTTTACAAACCTATTTTCTTCCCAAAAATTCCATATCCTGGCACGTAATTAAATTTTAAGTTAATCTCCTTAAGGTGGAGAAGTCGTCCGCAAATTTAATTTTTGCGGACAATTACATAAAATGGGAAGATCCAGGGAAAATTTTGCCTAAACTCTAACATAAATAAAGGTAAACAAATGGTCCGAATTCAGAAAAATACCCTACAAAAATTTTTTTCACAATTTAGAAAAGATAGTCAAGTGGTTAGTGTTCTTGACTTTAGGGAGATATGGTTGTGGGTTCGAACCCGTTTGGAGGCAAATTAATTTTTAAGTGTAGAAAAATGTAAAGATGAATTTAAGAAGGTTCTAAATAATTTTTTGAACAAAAAAATTTTTTTGAAAAATTTTAGAGGAGCTCCAGTGCATTGTAAAAAATTTAAAATTAAAAGAAAAAACCAAAATTTTCCATCAAAGCACCACTACAGGAAGAAGACGAACCTCCACCACCATCTTCATTCGTATTTAAACGTCTGCATTGTGCTACATGACGTGTTGGACTTATACGAGAGCGTGGAAATGAGCGACTGCCTTGAAAAAATTTTTTTAGAAAATTTTAAAATTAAAAAATAAACTTACAATAATGACAGTAAAAAACGTCAGTGGGGTCACAATCAAGTAGTGGACTCTAAAAAATAGATTTTATAATTTTTAAGTATTTTTGAACAATTTTATCAATTTTTGAAAGAATTAACAAATTTAAGGGAAGCAAAAACAAATTAATTTTCCCCTTAGAAAAATAATGGTCATTTGGTTAGAGTTTTTGACTTTAGGGGTAAAGGGGTGTAGGTTCGAATCCGTTGGGGGTAAATTAATTTTTTCAGGTGTAAAAAATAAAAAATTAAATTTCTAAGAATTTTTTAAATAATTTTCCACCGAATTTAATTTTTTGGTAATAGTTCGGTTGAGACCCCGCACTCTTTTTTCTGACCATTTTTTCATTTTTCCTTCCCTTTCCCTTTTATTTTTCACGAGGCAAGTATTAAAAAGGATCATGTATGTATACATATATGAATGAGAAAAGGACTTATTTACTCCCCCCGGTCAATTTTTTGGAAAATATGTAAAAATGGTAAGTCTTTAAAAAAATGTAGAATTGAACATTGTTAGACGTTTATTTGTCAGTCCGACGGGCTCTTTCGAACGAGCTATCATTTGTTTATTTTTTGTTGTTTTGGTTTCTCGCCCCTATGGTTTTTCAATTTTCAGGGGTCTATATCTCGGTGGTCAGAAAAAAGGTGGTCAGAAAAAAAGAGTGGTCAGAAAAAAGAGTGCGGGGTCTCAACCGAACTATTACCAATTTTTTTATTGAGTAGGAATAAATAAAAAGAAACAGCCAAAATAAAGTAAATTAAAAAACAAAAAAATTTTCAAACCTCTCCATTTCGCTCTATTCCATAACTATTATAAGATGTAGTAGACATTTTTCTTATAGTTTCTGAGTCGTGTTTAAATTGCAGACCGTCTAAAAGTGTAATAATAATTTTACAAAAATTTTTAATTTTTGCGGACAAAAAAAATTTTTTGCGGACATTTCAAAGAACGAGGGTTATTAAAATAAAATTCTATCCAAAAATATTTTTTTGATTTTCTATTAACTCCAAAACATATTTTAAAGAGGTTTCTATTGTATTTTTTAAATTTATGACCAAGAAATTGACAGAAAAAATTTTTTGCAGATTTGTCCGCAAAAAAAATAAATTTTTTAAATTAAAAAACCTTGAGTAGATTCAAAAACAAAATTATTTTTATAACAATTATCGTCATTTTGAAAATTTTTTTCTTCCAAAATATTTTTTGTTGAAGGAATATGCAGAGGTGTAGAATAAAATAAATGTTGAGGAGGTTGTGTTGGTGGAGGTAAACTTGTTGAATTAATTGTAATAATATTAGAAGCATTTCCATTATTGCATTGGTCAAGAGGAATAAAACTTTTTTATAAAAGAAATTTAATTAGAAAAAAATTTTTTAATTAAAAAAATTTTTTGCGGACAAAACTTGCGGACAAAAAAATTCTTGCGGACAAAGTTTGCGGACAAAAAAATTTTTTGCGGACAGAAAATTTTTTTGCTATCCAAAAAACGCACAATTTTCCTAAATATACTTTCCAATTTTGCTAAAATAAAAATTGTAGCTTCCAGTAGGAATCGAACTTTCAACATCAAAAAATAAAAATTAAACCACTTAACCAAAAATACAACATTTTAAATTTTTGCAAATTTTCTCCAAATATTTTACTCATCTCTAAGAAAATATAAAAAGAATTTTATTTTCACTTACTTTGGCCAATAAACATCATTTTCTATTGCCACAGTTGAAAAACCTTGTTGATGATGCTGTTGATTATTCCCAAAATTTGGTTGTGAATACCAATAATTTTGTAAATCTCCCTGATCAAAGTCTTCGGGAGGCAAAGGTTGCATTTTTGATAAAAGAAACTTTGAAAAAAAATTTTTAATTAAAAAATTAAAAAATTCCCCTTACATATTCCTTTGGTTCATCACCAGCACCATACAAATCTTCATCCACCTTTCCATTCATAGACAAGGGACTGGATAAAAGTCGGCGAAGCATTTTTTAAAATAAATTAAATAATAAATTAATTTGATAATATTCTACTTTCTATAAAAAAGTAAAAAAAATTTAATTAAAAAATTTGCGGACAAAACTTGCGGACAGCGCTTATTTAAAACACACTTAAAAAATAAAACTTGGAAAAATAAATTCCGCCTGCTTCAAGTTTATTTTTTTAAAAATAAACTTGTTTCAAGTTTATTTTCTGATTATAAAATGCTCCTTAAGTTTTACAAATTCTGATTTTTAATATTAATTCCGAAAATTGTAAATTCTGATTTATTAATTTTAAAATTACAAATTCTGATTTTTACTATAGTATAAACATGTTTATTTAACAATATGTTTTTATGTACTAAACACAACAAAACTTTGTTTTATATTTTTTGTAAACAAAACAGATGCTTCTCTATAATATTATGTTGATCAATACACACACATGTATTTTAATAGACAAACTTTTTTAAAATTTAAATTTTAAAAGGCGGTTTTTTAAATTAAATTTTTAAATTTAAATTAATTTAAAAAAAATGGGGGATATACTAAAATCGACAAAACTCGCGCAAAAAAAATTTTTTAGTTAAGAATAAAATATAAAAATTGTGTGTAAGTCGTATAATGTTGTGTGTGGAAGTTAAAAATACACAACTAAAAATAAATAAATAGTTGTGTATGCCGATATGAACCAACACAACTCTCACTCCCCCCATACTTGAATGAACATCACCAACAAATTTGCAGCACCCAGCAATCACACACAAAAATACTTTAAAAGCTATTCAATAATATCGACATTTGGGGGGCTGCCCTAATAATAAAAAAAATTAAAAACTAGAGCGCGGCAATTGGAATATAATTTTTAAAGAGGTTTTGAAGAGGGGAAATAGCGTTGATGGTTGGTGGTGGTACTTGTGTTAGGTCGGTCGCTGCTCAACCCAATATAATCAATATATAAATTTATTAAAAGTGGAATAAGGAGAGAGGAGTCCACTCCTGAAGACCTACACCCCCAAGACCTACACCCTGAGGACCTACACCTGAAGACCTACTGACCCTGAAGACCTACACCCTGAAGACCTATTTACCCTGAAGACCTACAACTTTTTTTATCAACACAATTTTTATTTTTTATTTCTTTACAAGTCTAATCGGGGGATTTAAAGGAGGTAAAGAGGAACTAGAAGGGATTAAGGGAAATATCGATGAATTTGAAGGTTTTAAATGGGAAAAATGTGGATTAAGGGTGATACCGAGGATTTTGAGGTTTTAAAGTGTATAGAGGGATTTATCGGGATAAAAAGGATCTTCTGATATCCGCGATATCCACTACTTTAAATAATTTGAGTTGATCAAAAAGTTGTAGGTCTTCAGGGTAAATAGGTCTTCAGGGTGTAGGTCTTCAGGGTCAGTAGGTCTTCAGGGTGTAGGTCCTCAGGGTGTAGGTCTTGAGGGTGTAGGTCTTCAGGGTTGACCCCAGGAGAGAGAATGGACAAACTGCGGGTTTAAAAAAAAGATTTTTGAATGTCCATTTCGTCAGAAAAAAATTTTAATGATGGGAAAAAAATTTTAATGATGCCCGGTTTCGAATCACGACTCGGGAAAATTTCTCGATTTTTGGCCTCCCGACTCCCGAGGTCATTTCTCGACCTGACTCCCGTTTCCCGGATTTTTTCTTCTCCCGAGCATCACTAGAAAATTTTTTAAAATTTATTTAAAAAATAAAAAAAAACGTGAAAATTTACATTATGTATTTTTAAAAATATTTTTTTATGTGAAAGAAAATTTAAAGAAAAATTAAAATGAAAGGCACAAGAAAAAATTGAGGAATATTTTTTTATTGAAGATTTTTAAAATACAGAGTTAACCTAATTTTTAGATACACGTCCCTTTTTGGGGATATTTCTTAAGTATTCGAGTAGGGTCTCATAAACAATGTTCGTAAATTTCAATATTGCTCGTACTCGTACCAAAGTATGAGTACGAATTTTGGTACTAGCTTATGAATACTGCTCGTTTGTCGAATTAACTCAAGGGACGGACAGGACAAGTAACGACAAGTCAAGGTCCGTGATTTGAAATTAATTGAGTTGCCCCTCACCCACTTATACTATACCCTCTACCTAAATTTCTTTTAACTGAAATTTTTTTCACCTTTCGAGTTGTGTGTGTTTTTAATAAAAAGCTCCCCTCTATCTTTCCTCCCAATCAGAGGTGGGTCGGAATTCCGATTTCCGACGTTTTTTCCTTCCGATTTTCGACACCTTTGAATGTTCCGACCCACTTCTGCTCCCTATGGAACCAACCAAATTTTAGTTAAAAAAATTTTTTTTTAATTAAATTTTGGAATATGTATCTTAAAAACGAGGTTTACAAAAATAAATAAAATTTAAAAAATAAAAAAAATAATGGCAGTTAAAAAAATTAATTATAATTTTGTTTGTTTACATATCTTTCTTCTCTCACTCTTACTTCAAAATTTAAATTATTTAAAAAAATTTTTTTCTTCTCCAAAAAAAATTTTTTTTAAATTCCCTCTAAATTAACATAGCTAAACGCCTTTCAGCTTGACTAGGTGGTTGTGGTCTAGGTCTATTACGTATAGCTTCTAACCACAAACTTTTTGTAGCAGCATCTTGACAACAAAAAATATATTCTCGTGCTGGCCCAGACAATTTAAAAGCATTTTTTAATGTTGTACCAGTTAAGGGATCTTTAAATGAAAGAGAATTTTAAAGGAGAAAAATTCAGAAAAAAAATTTTTCTGGATACCCTCTACTGAGAAAAAAAATTTTTTCCTCATTTTAGGGTGTTGTTTGTGGTCTTCTGGACCGAATAGAGTTACCGTACAAAAAAGGAAAGGGTAAAACGTAGGAGAACGATGGAGAGAAGTGAGTAATAAAAGAGAGAGATCCTCAATCTTGTATTATCACCTAGTGGCCGATAAAGTCGATTTTCCAGATCCGGATTTGAAAGTAAAGCCAGAATGGACCCGACAGGATCTTTTGAAGGATTAACCCGGGAACATCTGAAGATCAGATGTGAAGATCAGACCCAGGTTTTGGGCCCGGTTCTAGAAAAATCCAGGAGGATCATATCCAGGTTATGGTCACTAGTAGAGCCCTGACTGGGAGTGTCGTACGAGAATCGAGATCTCAAAAAATTTCTCGACTCTCGATAACCGAGATTTTCGATCGATAAAAGAGAGATAAGAGATCCTCCATCTTGTACATAATCGCGATTTCCCAGATCTGGATCTGTAAGTAAAGCCAGCTGAAGATCAGAAGAAACCCCAGTTTAGGGTTTGCCTCTGGAGAAAAATCCGGCAGGATCCTATCCGTGTCCTGATCTCAAGCAGGAATGGGACGGGCTACCCGAACTCCGAACTTTTTCCGATCCGTAACCCGACCCGAGGAATTTTCTCAACCCGTCCTATCCCGTTCACTCAGAAAATAAATTTTTTTTAAATCACAAAAAAGCAAGCACACCTTTTCCATCATGTAAATCATACAAAGTAGTTCCACCCATACCCATTCTTTCTTTAAAAATTAAATTACTCCTTCTCAAAACATCCCTTTTACACAAAACAATTGTTTGATCAAATAAATAAATTATTAATCCATTTTTTGACCATTGTAATTGTCCATTCCATAAAGCACGGCATTGTAATTCTCCGTTAATTAGAAGACGATGATTACTTTCTATTAGGTTAGGGCCCTGAAACAAAAATTTTTTTATCATTTTTATTCCTTTCCCCATTCATTTTCTTGCTATTATTACATTATATATATAATTCAGAGTAGGGTTCGTTTTTAAAAAAGTCCCTGGCCCGAAGGGCCAGGGATACAGGGCTGGGAGTTTGACATACGGGGGGTAGTTTGGTCCGGGCTATTCAGGAAAAATACAAAATTCAAAAAATAATTACCCCCTGGTACCTAAATTGCAAAAGTGCCGGGGCTATCTTTTTAACGATAAGAGATAGCGGAAAACGTCTGCTGGGAGGATGATGTACCGCTATTAGGAGATGTCGAATGCAAAAAACTCGAAGTCGAAATTCGTACCTGAAGGGTACTTATGCCTGCGCAAATGATTATGCCCCCGGGGCTTCGAAGTCTAACTCCTTTTAGAAATAAGTTAGAGGTCTGAAACTTTTTGTATTTATGGTTTGAATAGATGGGGCATTTGGGAAAAATACGGGAGTTATAAAATAATTACCCCATGGTACCTATATTGAATAGGTACCGGGGGTATCTCCGGAACGGTTGGGGATAGCGAAAAACTTTTGCTGGGAGGATTTTAAGTTGGAATAAGCTGATATAGACTGGAAAAAATCCGAACCCGAAATCCCAAGTCTAAGGGTAGATATGCCTGCGCAAAAATCCCAAAATCCCCGTTTCGCGAATTTCGAAACTTGCGAAACTGATCGACAAATCACGTGTGATATGTCAAATGAAAGCTCTCGACGAGCTGAGTCTGGATAAATTTAGTTTATTTTTTTCGGACCACTTTGGACCAAGTTACAGTAGCCCAAAGTTTCCATAATGCCCCCATGTAAAATTGGGAAGGGTGGCTCCAATTGTCAAAAGTGAATTAAAACGCGTTTTCGATATCCTATCTTAAAGAGCGTCCCCTGGCGGTCCGAAAAAGGTATAATATGTCGGGGGTCCGGTTGAGTCTGAAAAAGTTATGGCCAATGTTCGCAAATGTCGCGAAACTTTTTTTGACTCTAACGTCCCGGGGGAATTTTTTAAAATTTTTCTGACACCGGATTTGGACTCAGCGCATGTCAGAGTACCATATGGGACGTTTTATGGGTCAAAATCCGAAAATTTTGGTCCCTCGAATTTTTCTAAAGGGGTACCCCTTTTGGGGGATTTTAGGGATTTTTAAATTTGAAATATCTTTTTTTGGGATTGTCGGATTCGGATGGGGTTTCCTTTATTAAATCAGGTAAAAAATTAGGTATTTTTAGAGCCGAAAAAATTTCGAAAAAATTCGAAATTCGAGGCATAGGGGTCGAATTTCGAAAAACCCAAAATTTTTCGGGTTTTCGAAATTTTTTCGAGATTTTTGCCTGCTGTTCGGATCGAATGTATTTTTCCTAAATTAATCAGATTTTTCTACATATTTTGGGATTTTAGAATTTTCAAAAAAGGTATACTTCGGCCGAGATATGATTTTTTGAAAATTTCAGGGATTTTTTCTGGCTGAAATTTCAGGCCCAAAAAATATTTTTTTCAAAATGGATATAAATATGGCAAATGAGATATCAATCGAAAGCTCTCATCGAGCTGGATATAAAAATATTTTTTTCGAATTTTTTCGGTACATTTTGAAGAAAGTACAGAGGTTCAAAAATTTGTGGGGGGTGAGTACGGTACTCGGAAAATTATGGTAGGGAGAGAGGAAAAATGATTGACGGGTGAAGTTGATGGCAGAGAGGCGAAATTTTTCTCCGTCTCTGACCATTCGGGGCAACACGTAGAAGAGTTTGAAGTTGAATTTTGTATATGGGGGAAAATTTTGTGGAGGGATAAGCTGGATCCTGTTATGGATCTGAAGCAGCGATGCTTCGTGAAGCAGTTTCTGCTTCGAAATTTTGTTTTGGATTGGACTCATTCTTCTAATTGAAAGGATGAGTCCAATCATCCTTCTAATTGAAAGGATGAGTCCAATCATCCTTCTAATTGAAAGGATGAGTCCAATCATCCTTCTAATTGAAAGGATGAGTCCAATCATCCTTCTAATTGAAAGGATGAGTCCAATCATCCTTCTAATTGAAAGGATGAGTCCAATCATCCTTCTAATTGAAAGGATGAGTCCAATCGAGGGGCCGAAGGCCCGGAGTGACTCTAAGTGGAAGGATGAGTCCAATCGAGGGGAAGACGAGGGCCGAAGGCCCGAAGTGACTCTAAGTGGAAGGATGAGTCCAATCGAGAGGAAGACGAGGGCCGAAGGCCCGAAGTGACTCTAAGTGGAAGGAAGAGTCCAATGGAAGCGAATACGAGGGCCGAAGGCCCGAAGTGACTCTAAGTGGAAGGAAGAGTCCAATGTAGGGGAAGACGAGGGCCGAAGGCCCGAAGTGCCTCTAATTGGAAGGATGAGTCCAATATATGGTAAAACGAGAGCCGAAGGCCCGAAGTGACTCTAAGTGGAAGGAAGAGTCCAATCGGGGGGAAGACGAGTGCCGAAGGCCCGAAGTGACTCTAAGAGGAAGGATGAGTCCAATCGAGGGGAAGACGAGGGCCGAAGGCCCGAAGTGACTCTAAAAAAAGGATGAGTCCAATCGAGGGGAAGACGAGGGCCGAAGGCCCGAAGTGACTCTAAGTGGAAGGATGAGTCCAATCGAAGGTAAAACGAGGGCCGAAGGCCCGAAGTGACTCTAAGTGGAAGGAAGAGTCCAATCGAGGGGAAGACAAGTTGGACAAGACAAGTTGGCCCGAGCTTTCATTACATCTAAAAGGCAGAACAATTGTCAAAGGCAAAGCATAGATCCTCCGAGGCCGAAGGCCGAGGAACCGGCGGGCCGGAGGCCCGCCGTTTGGCGAGGGCCGAAGGCCCGATCTTTCATTACATCTAAAAGGCAGAGCAATTGTCAAAGGTAGAGCATAGATCCTCCGATGCCGAAGGACGAGGAACCGGCGGGCCGAAGGCCCGCCGGTTGGCGAGGGCCGAAGGCCCGAGCTTTCATTACATCTAAAATGCAGAGCAATAGTCAAAGGCAGAGCATAGATCCTCCGAGGCCGCAGGCCGAGGAGTAGGCGAGGGCCGAAGGCCCGAGCATTCATTACATCTAAAAGGCAGAGCAAAAGTCAAAGGCAGAGCATAGATCTTCCGAGGCCGAAGGCCGAGGAAGTTCATTACATCTAAAAGGCAGAGCAAAAGTCAAAGGCAGAGCATAGATCTTCCGAGGCCGAAGGCCGAGGAGTTGGCGGGCCAAAGGCCCGCCGTAGGCGAGGGCCGAAGGCCCGAGCATTCATTACATCTAAAAGGCAGAGCAATAGGCGAAGGCCCGAAGTGACTCTAAGTGGAAGGAAGAGTCCAATGTAGGGGAAGACGAGGGCCGAAGGCCCGAAGTGCCTCTAATTGGAAGGATGAGTCCAATATATGGTAAAACGAGAGCCGAAGGCCCGAAGTGACTCTAAGTGGAAGGAAGAGTCCAATCGAGGGGAAGACAAGTTGGACAAGACAAGTTGGCCCGAGCTTTCATTACATCTAAAAGGCAGAACAATTGTCAAAGGCAAAGCATAGATCCTCCGAGGCCGAAGGCCGAGGAACCGGCGGGCCGGAGTCCCGCCGTTTGGCGGGGGCCGAAGGCCCGATCTTTCATTACATCTAAAAGGCAGAGCAATTGTCAAAGGTAGAGCATAGATCCTCCGATGCCGAAGGACGAGGAACCGGCGGGCCGAAGGCCCGCCGGTTGGCGAGGGCCGAAGGCCCGAGCTTTCATTACATCTAAAATGCAGAGCAATAGTCAAAGGCAGAGCATAGATCCTCCGAGGCCGCAGGCCGAGGAGTAGGCGAGGGCCGAAGGCCCGAGCATTCATTACATCTAAAAGGCAGAGCAAAAGTCAAAGGCAGAGCATAGATCTTCCGAGGCCGAAGGCCGAGGAGTTGGCGGGCCAAAGGCCCGCCGTAGGCGAGGGCCGAAGGCCCGAGCATTCATTACATCTAAAAGGCAGAGCAATAGTCAAAGGAAGAGCATTCATCGGCCTTTGGCCCCGGCGGGCCGAAGGCCCGCCGGTTGGCGAGGGCCGAAGGCCCGAGCTTTCATTACATCTAAAAGGCAGAGCAATTGGGAAGGAAGAGTCCAATCGAAGGGAAGACGAGGGCCGAAGGCCCGAAGTGACTCTAATTGAAGGATGAGTCCAATCGAAGGGAAGACGAGGGCCGAAGGCCCGAAGTGACTCTAATTGGAAGGATGAGTCCCAACGGGGAAAGACGGGGCGAGGGCCGAAGGCCCGAAGTGAATCTAATTGAAAGGATGAGTCCAATAGAGGGGAAGACGAGGGCCGAAGGCCCGAAGTGACTCTAAGTGGAAGGATGAGTCCCAACGGGGAAAGACGAGGCGAGGGCCGAAGGCCCGAGCTTCAACCCATCCCGGAAGACAGAACAAATATCGGCGAGGGCCGGAGGCCCGAAGCAATGAAAAGGCAGAGCTAAATAAATATATTCCAGGCATCCAAACATTCTAGCAGCGCGCGAAGCGCGCCCCAAAGCCGTTAGGCTTTCCAACGGGCAGAGTCCGAAAAAAATTGCCAGAGTATCCTAATAGGAATTGCATACGTAAGTTACCGCCATCGCATACGTAACCCACAGCTAGTTTTTAAAGAAAAATTAAATTTGCTGCTAACAATCAGTAGAAAAAAAAAGTTCAATGTTCAGAGAGACCTAAAAAAGGTTCAGGTAACCCTCCCAACTAGAGTAACCATTAAATGGGGGAGGGAGAAGGGGAAGAGGGGGAGATCTCTGACGGCTTGGAACAGAAACGAAGAACCGAGGATTTATCGGCTCAGTTCCAAATATCCGAAGATTTTCCAAGAAAAGAATACTCTATCCCTAACACTTAAAAAATGTTAAAGTAAAATAAAAAATTAAATCCTTGCTTTAAAAATAACGGTAAAAAATCGGGAAGAAAATTTATTTTTTTGAGAAAAAATTTGAATGGGGAAGAGTGAAGGTGACGGATTTTTTTGAGAGGAAAAATTATTTTTTGAGAAAAAAAATTTTTTTTGAAAATAAAAACGACAATATTTTACCCAAAAAAATTATTTTAATTTAAAATTTAATAAAACTCTACTCTAAATCCATGTACACTATTTTGCCATAACCAAATTTTTTGTATAGCATCAACTCTTCTTTTTCCATCATTAACTTTTGAGGCAATTAATTTCATTGTTCGTTGAGCTAATTCTAATGCCAATCTATCCGGGTGGTTTGGAGGTGTAGCTTTTAAAAGTTCCAAAAGTTGAAGAGGATAACGACAGATACGTTGAACTGGAGTTAATAAAAATGCGTCCAATGAAAGTTTTGGCAAGGCACGTAAAAGACGGCAAGCCTTTTTAAAAAGAAAATTTTTTTTTAAATTATTTTTGATCGGACTTTAATATATAAGATATCCACTCTGAAGCTGAAAAATAATTTGTGTCCTATAATAGTGTATCTCAAAAAGATGGGGTATCGCTTGGTTCTCCACCCAATAAATAGTCAACAAAATTTAAAAAAAAAGTTTTTTAAATAGAGAGGGTACCTTACAAGAGCGTATCCAGCAGGGCTGGGCGAAATCAAAAAATAAAATGCGAAATGCGAAACTTTTCGCGCCAAAAAATGCGAAAAATGCGAAAGATGCGAAAGCGAAAGCAAAGCCCAGCTCTGGTATCCAGGCCCAAACACCAAAAGGGGGTGTTTGGGTGTTGTTTTGTGTGTTCTGTGTTTTTTTTTCTTTATAGTCCCCCAAAACCCGACCCCTGGTTTTTGGTATCTATCTTGGCGTCTTTGGTATATTGAATCTCTTAAATCTAGAATTTCGCTTCAAGTTTTTTTTTTTGAAAACCCCATTTAGATTGAGGTGTATTTAACATCTAGAGTATTTTATAGTGAGATCCAAAGTGCATTTACCAAAAAATTTTCCCAAAAAATTTTTTAAAATTTTCCCCACTAAAAAAATTTTCCCAAAAAATTTTTTAAAATTTTCCCCACTAAAAAAATTTTCCCCAAAAAATTTTCTAATTAAAAAGCACACCTCAAAAAAGTGAAAATATTGTGATTGTTGTTCAAGCTGTGCAAGTTCAGTACACGAAAGTGTTCGATTATTGCAATAATCTGTGTAAATTCCAAATTGTTGGCTCTACAAAAAAAATTTTTTAATTAAAAATTAATTTGATTTCCTCCCAACATTTTTAAGAAAAACATTAGCCAAACAAGTCGATTCAGGCTTTTCTTCATCCAATACATTTAATAATTCTTTAAATATATTTGTGTGTAAAGAATAAATTAATTCCAAATTTCCAAAAATTCGTAAAATTCTTTCTTCTGGGAATAATTCACGACGGCGACGGCATTGCTCTAGGAAGCCCTCAAGAAAAAAAAAATTTTTTTATAAATAACAAAATTAGAATCCAAAAAGTAGAAAAATACAACTGTTCCCCTCGGTTATGCCTCTATCCACAAGTCACATTTAAAATATTTTTTTCTCAAAAATAATATTTTTTGGAAGCATAAAGGATTATTTTCAATTAAAAATTGGTGTATTTGAAAAGCCTAGACCTGTTCCTGGACTCTGAGTTTGATTTATTGACTTGGGCCGGATCCTGGACCTGTAGTCCAGGAAAACCCAAGGCCCATGAAAAACCTAGAAGGGTCAAAAAATGCATAGGCCTAAACTCTGGGTACAGGAAAAATTTAGGCTTAGGTCCAGATCCAGCTCGATCTCTAGTATAAATGCTCCCAAAAAAATAATTCTTCTAAATTTTTAGTTCAATAATTTTTTTTTCAAATTAAAATTTTAGGGTTTTCCGGATTGCAAAAACCAAAATAAAAATTAAAAAAAAAATTTTTAATTTAAAACTTACCATCACAAGATGTTCAAGTAACCGAACATATTCTCTTTCAGTATTCACCAACTCTTGAATTATTCTTCTCCTTAATTTACGCATCTCATTGGAAGGAAAGTCACAAGAGGTTGAAGAATTATTTATTAAACAATTACTATCACTTCCACAATCAGACGAAAAAAGGCGACATAAATCGCGATTTTTGGGCTAAAAAAATTTGAAAAAAAAATTTTTTTTCAATAAAATTACTCGAATATATGCAGCAGGAAACCACCCACTTCTAGGCCCACAAATTCCATACCATAACTCATCAGAAGGACAATCAAGAACTGCAACTTCGTCCCCAGGGGAAAAGGGTAATTCATCGCGAAGCATTGCCTTATTAAAAAAGAATTATTTTTTAAAGAGTAAAAATCAGAATTATAATAATCAGAATATTTATTTTCTAAAATAATTAAAATTCTGATTTTATGTCTCTCAAAAAATTCGCAATATTCTGGTTTATTTAACCAGTTTTCCGGATTGTAATATTCATTTAAAATTGTAAATTCTGATTTTTTTGTTTAAAAAGAATAAAAAATTCTGATCCAGAAATTACAAATTCTGATTCCGGGTTGTTTAATAAATTTAAAAAATTCTGGTTTAGATTTTCCAGATTATACTTAATATTCCTTCCAGAAAAAATACAAATTCTGATTTTAGTGAATTTGTAAAATTGTAAATTCTGATTTTTTGCTTAAAAGGAATAAAAAATTCTGATACAAAAAATTACAAATTCTGATTCCGGTTAGTTTAATAAATTTAAAAAATTCTGGTTTAGATTTTCCGGAAATGTAATACTAAATTCCGGAAAAATTACAAATTCTGATTTATATATATTTTCCGGATTGTAATATTCCTTCCGGAAAAATTTACAAATTCTGATTTATATATAATTTCCGGATTGTAATATTCTTCCGGAAAATTTACAAATTCTGATTAATAAATTCTAAAACTTCTGATTTATATAAACTTTCCGGAAAAGTAATATTAATTCCGGAAAATTATTTAAACTCTGATTTTCTTTCTTAATAAAGAATATTAAAATTCTGGTTTGTTTAAATAGTAGGTTTTGCGCATTGTAATATTTATTCCGGAAACTTCTGGTTTAAATATTCAGGATTTGTAATTTTAATATTTCTTTCCGGAAAATTACACATTTAAATTCTGATTTTCTTAAATTATTTATTTATTCACCACATTTTCAAAAACTGCTTCTGCGGTAAACAAAACTCCACCAACACTACCACAACCATTCTCCTTACTATTGCAAGAAATTAGATGAAGAAAAGGCGGTAATACTTTTGATGTTGTTGCTATATTTGAACAAAAACATTGTTGTTTTTGATTTAATATTTGTTTATCTTCAGATCCATTACAATTTAAATTAGCTATTCCAGAATCAATTTCTTCAATAATACATCCACCACAATTGCTACTAGCTGTTGTTAAACTGCCGGTAGAATGAGTGCTGTTTAAAAAAAAAGAGGGGGTTTTAATTTTTAAAAATTCTGATTTGTAATTTTGTTATATAAAAATTGTAAATTCTGATTTAATTATGCATAAATCTTCCGGAATTACAAATTCTGGTTTATTAATTGTAAAATTTAAATTATAGTTAATATGACCGGAAATTAAAATTCTGATTTTTAATTATTCCGGAAATTACAAATTCTGATTTTATTTAAAATTACAAATTCTGGTTTTTATTCATTAAAGATAATTGCAAATTCTGATTTTATTATTCCGGAAAACTACAAATTCTGGTTTTTATCTAAAATTACAAATTCCGATTTTAAATATATTTCCGGAAAATTGTAAATTCTGATTTATATTCATTCCGGAAAATTACAAATTCTGATTTTTAATTTTTTTTTCCGGAAGATTGTAAATTCTGGTTTGTAATTATTTTTCCATGAATTAAGTACAAATTCTGATTTATGTATATTCGTTATAAAGAATTACAAATTCTGGTTTTTATTTATTAAGGAAAATTACAAATTCTGACTTTAAATATATTTCCGGAAAATTGTAAATTCTGATTTTTATTTATTTTTTTCCGGAAAATTCTGGTTTTTATTATTTTTCTTTTCCAACCTGCTTCTAACCCCACTATCTTGTGAACAACAACTTCCCCCATTTCCATTATCTTCTTCTTCATCATCCTTATTTCTTCTATCATCTCCTCCACCCTTTCTTCTATCAATAATAACAACACTTTTACTTAATCCGTTTATATTAATTTTATTTTGTGGATATATTGTAATTATTGAATTTCTTTCCCCCTTTGCTTCAATTGAAGCAGACCAAAGCAACGTAGCGTTAGTTTGGCTAGTTTCTGCTAAACAACAACAATCTGTTTCAATAAAATCAACATCTTGTTGAAGTAAATTTTTTTCTAATTTTTGTTGACTGTTTGTTGAAATGAGAGAAATTCCCGGTTGTGATCGTGAACGTTTTTTCTGTCGAAGAGTATCCATTGAAGCAAAAGAAGAGGAAAATGAAGAAGCAGCAACAATATCTTCCTTAAAAATTAAAAAAATTTTTTCGAAAAATTTTTTAAAAAGTTAAAAAAAAATTTTTTTCGTCTCGAATTTAGAAAAAATTTTTTTTGAAAAATAATTTCAATTTCCTAAAAAATTTTTTTCGAAAAATTTTTTTCGTTTTGAATTTATAGAAAAAATTTTTTTTAGAAAAAAAAATTCAAAAATTTTTCAAAATTTTTTTTTCAAAAAATTTTTCAAAAAAATTTCCGTCTTGAATTTTCAAAATAATATTTTTTCCTTACTTTTTGAACAGGAAATTTTCCAGGTTTTAATAAACAATTATTTGTTGTTAGTGAATTGTCATTATCTCGAATATTATTTGTTGAAGGAGAATGTTGATAATAATTTAAATTTGTGTTTGTATTACAAGGTGAAACTGATGGAAGAAACATTTCGTTCCAAAGAGGTGGAGGTGATGGGGAAGGGGAAGATGGTGATTTTTTAAAATTTTGTTGTTGTTGTTGTTGATTAGACAAAAAGTAGTTGGAGTACTGAAAATTAAATTAAATTAAAAAAATATTCAAAAATCAGAATTCTTAATTAAAGACCGGATCTCGATCTCTCGATCAAAAATTCGGGTTATCGAGAACGAGTATTTTTCGAGATCTCGATTCTTGTACGACCCTCCTAGGCCAGTCTCTATTTTTAATTTCCGGAAAAATAATATTGGGGGTTTTAAATACTCCCTTACATTCCTTAAAGTTATTTAACGTAAAGGAAGAAGGGGACGCCGAATAAGCAATTAACTATAATTTTAAATAGCCTATATTTTAAATAGGGTTGCCAAAATGGCCCGACTCGGACCGAAAGATCGAGTCGGGCCTAGGGTATTTGGCCCGAAAAAGACTCGTTTGACCCGACTCGATAAAAATTATGCCCGAAAAAGACTCGTTTGACCCGACTCGATAAAAATTATGCCCGAAAAAGACTCGTTTGACCCGACTCGATAAAAATTATGCCCGAAAAAGACTCGTTTGACCCGACTCGATAAAAATTATGCCCGAAAAAGACTCGTTTGACCCGACTCGATAAAAATGAGGCCCGAAAAAAATGACTCGGAAAAAACTGGCCCGACTCGAATGTGCCTCGATAAATATTTCCTTTTGGATCGATTTATGTATTTTATTCAATAATTATTTTTTCTTTATTTTATTCTTATTTTTAAGCCAAAAATCTTTAATATTCGTGAGTATGCCGAAGGTTTCGGATGTTTGGAAACATTTTAATAAAATTCCATTGGAAAATAAAGTAGAATGTAAAAATTGTGGGAAAAAAATACTAGGAAAGGAGTTGAGGGCTATCTAGGAGTTGAGGGCTATACTAGGAAAGGAGTTGAGGGCTATCGGTGGATTTGGAGTTATAGAAGGATATTGGTAAAGGTGAGTGGATTTGGAGGGATTAAGAGGATTTGAAGATATGAGGATTAAGATGGATAAGAGATTTACAGGGATTAAGATGATTTGGAGAGATCTCAGGGGATTTGTAGGGATAAAGAGAAGTCTCAAGAGAAATTGGGGGATTAAGAGGTATATCAGTGGATTCGGAGGCATTAATGGGGATTCGAAAAAAGGAGGATTAAGGTGGATCAAGGATGACCTCATAATGACCTCTTAATCCGCCCAAACTGACCTCATAATCCGCATCTCCGCATCTAACCCTCCGATATCCTTATTAATCCTTCGATATCCTTACTAATCCTCCGATATCCTTCCAAATTCTTTGATACCCCTCCAAATCCACTGATATCCCTCCAAATACACCAATATCCCCGATATCTATTACGTAGAAATTTTTTTGTAAAAATCCCGGAATCCCGGCGGGATCCCGGGAAATTTATAAACGGGATTACCGGGATTACGGGATTAATCCCGCGGGATCCCGTCCCGTACAAAATTTTGAAAAAAAATCCCGTTCCGTGATCCCGGGAATGCGATTTTGCCGGACTCTAGTTAATATGATTTATTTTTGATGACATATGCAAAATTATTTTTGTTTTTTTGAATAAATCTTTTTGAGAAAAGGCCCGAAAAAGTCTCGATGCACGACTCGATAAAAATGAGGCCCGAAAAAGACTCGTATGACCCGACTCGATAAAGATGAGGCCCGAAAAAGACTCGTTTGACCCGACTCGATAAAAATGAGGCCCGAAAATAATGACTCGACCGTCGGCCCGACTCGAAAACGGCAACCCTAATTTTAAAAATATAATTTCTTTAGAGCAACAGGTATTTTAGTAAATCCAAGTTTATTTTTCAACTCAAATTAAAAAATTTTTAAAAATTATTTTTTAAACCTAAAAATCGAATTAAATATTTAAATAAAAATATCTAAATAAAAATATTTTAAAAAAGCATGCCCTCATTTTCATAAATACATTAAAAATAAATTTAGAATAAAAGTCCGATCGACACATAACCCCCCCTTTACAGTCAATACAAAACAACCATTAACAATTTTAACGTTGCTACATATTTAGTAAAAATGAAAATCAAAATAGAAAAAATAAAACGTTAAAAATGAAAATAAAAATTTAAAATAAAATACAAAAGTGGAGGAAGAAAAATAAAAAAATGGAGGGAGAAAAGTCGAAAAAAAGCAAATTTTTTGGATGAATGAATAAAAAAAAATTTTTTTTTATTATTTTTGGATAAATAGAAAAAGGTTAAAAAATAAATAAAAAAGGAAAATTAAGGAAGCAACTTTAAATAAAAAATTTTAGAAATAGTGGTAACGACGCCTTGACAACAACTACCCCAAATACTGAAACTTTGAACGACTTCAACTTCTTTAAAACCCATTCTGCAAGAAAACCAGCATCACTTTACAATAGGAAGTCGATTTTTTAAAAGCCTAGACCTGTTCCTGGGTTCCGGGTTTAATTTATTGACCTGGGCCGGATCCTGGGAATGTAGTCCAGGAAATAACCCAGGCCCAGGAAAACCCCCAGGAAGGTCAAAAATACCTGGACCTAGACTCTGGGTACAGGAAAACCCCAAACATTTGTCCTGTCCCGGCTCGATCTCTAATAGGAAGTCGAGGGTACTCTATCGAATGGTACCAGAAAATATATCAAATTGTCACTTACAGTAAACGTTGTTCCCTTGTTAGATCAATTAAATTTTGGGCGAAGGATTTTTCAAAAATTGAGAGAGATTTCACAGAATAAATAATTTTTTGAGTAAAAATATAACCAAAAAAAAAATATTTTTAAAAATTCTAAAAAAAATCTAGTCACAAAATCAATTCAATAAAATCATCAAAATAATTATTACTCATTTGTCAGTCCAAATCTGAAGTACAAAACATGGACAGACAAAAATTGGTAACCCCATTTTTTTTTACAAATTTTCTTTTTAAACAATAAAAAGGCTTTGTGGCCATGAAAAAATAAAAAATAAAAATTTATTATTTTATAAAAGAGCAAAGGACAACAAAAAAATGAGAATGATCCGAAAAAGGGGGCTAAGTAAACACACAAAGGAAAAACAAAAATACAATTGAAAAAAAAATATTTTTTTATTCAATTTTTAACTCAACACCTTTTTATTTTCTTTATAATTCTCGATTTAGTACTTGCTATATACATACTAGTCCAACCTCTTATTTTTTTAAGAAAAGATTAGCTACATATTTAATTATAACAAGAAAATAATGAGAGAAAAAAAGTACCTATTTGTGAGTCAGTTTAAAGCTTAAATTATTATAGCTAAAAAATTTAAAAAAATAAAAATTTAAAAATAAAACGTGTCAGTGCAGTTCACCAAAAGTTAATTCACCATAAAGACAATTAAGCACACGACAGTTTGCCAAGGGTAGCAAGCTGTTTTTTTAGATAAAAAATTCGAACATACAAATAAAGAGCTCCTCGATCTGAGTCGAATGACACCAAATTCAACGAAATCTGACTTGTTCTGACAAAGTTATGACCGTTTGTTTTTATCCCCTACATAGGGGTCTACGCGGAAAAAAGTTTTTGCCGCTGCGGAGAAAGCCGGGCATGTCGAGCGGAACGACCGCAGCGAAGCACGGCCATCGTGTAGCGAAGACCATGCCCGGCCTACCCTCCGTAGCAGCACAAAAACAGTTTTTCCAGCGAAGATTCTGGTTGTTTGTGGCAAACTGGCGTTTTTTCAATTGTCTTTATGGTGAATTAACTTTTGGTGAACTGCACTAGTGCCAAATAAAAATGGAAAAATAAAAATAGAAAAATTAAAATTAGTAAAAAAAAATCTGTAGAAGCAAACGTGTAAAAAAATTAAAAAAAAAAGTATTTTTTAAAAATATAAGACATTTTATTTTAAAGTTCTAAACCATTTTTTAATTTATATAAATGTATTTATTAAAATTTGCAGTAAAATCTATTACAAGAAAAATAATAAAAATAGTAAAATTTGATTGATTATGATTGATGATTGAGAATAAAAAAAAATTAAAATTAAAAATCTGATTATTGCAAAAATAACCCCCCCCCCCTTCTACCAAAAATCACTTTTTTAAAACAAACTGTCTCTCCTACCAGAAGTGGGTCGGAACAGTCAAAGGTGTCGGAAATCGGAAGATAAGGAAATCGGAACTGGCTCAAAAGTCGGAACCCGGAAATCAAAATTTTTTTTCGGAAGTCGGAATTCCGACCCACCTCTGCCTCCTTCCTACCAAAAATCATTCTTCTCCCCAGACCTGTGCATGGATACGGGTATGGATACAGTTGAGTTCAAAATGCCTGCTGATATCCGCCTGTATCCGCCGTAAATATTCGGATATGGATACGAAAATCCGTGTCCATGCACAGGTCTGCTTCTCCCTCACAATACCCTCTCTCCCCCTAAATTTTTACCTTAACCATTTCTAAAGCATTTAACGAATCATCCAATTGATTTAATAAAAAATCAGAACAACTCGACAAACGCTTCTTCTCCTTATTTTTATTAGTTATTAAATCTTCTTCTGATTTTTCTTCCTTTAAATCATCAACAGTTGCTTCCCTTGTAGTTTTATTTAAAATTGGTAAAATATGTACAACAGTCGAATTATTTAATTTTTGTCCTATTAAAGTTTGAAAGGGCTCTTCAATAAGTTTATTATTGTTATTGTCAACAATGTTTGTTGTTGTTGATGTTAATAACATTTTTTTTGTAAAAATAATAAATTTTAGGGAGTAAGAGGGGAAATAATAATTGAAGGTTTTAATATAAAATTAATATTTAAAAAATTATAATTTTTTATAATTAAAAAATAATTTCAAAGATATTGGAAAAAAAAGAAATATTAAAAAAGTCAAAAAAAGGGTGGGATGGGATATCAGTAAGAGGCATTAAGAAAGATATGGATAAAATTCTTATTTTTTAAATTTCTACAAAAAAATTTTTTATGAATTTTATTCAAATTATTATCCTCCGACTTAATAATTTGTGGTTTTCTGATATACTACATACATATTAACAAAAAATTTTTTTGTAAAAATTAATGGTAAATTAGGGGGTTGGGGTCATAAGGGCGCGGGGCCATTAGGGCGCCAGCACTAGAAACTGACACTTAAGCGAAACCGAAATTTATGAAAATTTTCTCAAAATTCTTTAACATCATTGACTACCTCCTCCAGAAATTTCAGAATTTTTCATCGAATATTTCTGAAGTTATAGTCGATAAACCGCAAAAAATTAGGTTTATCCTAATGGCCCTACGCCCCCCAGTCCCTAAATAAGGGGTAAAAATTTAAAGAAACCAATTTTATTAAAATAGAAAAAATTTTTGGAAAAAATTTGTTGTTGTTTTATTTTCCTGAAGATGAAATGAGAAAAGAAAAAAATAAAAGTTGATTGAAAATTGTAATAAATATACCTATCTCTTCTTTATTTGAGAGATATATCCCCACTAATATATCCACTTGTGTATCTCTTAAAAAATTTAATAAAAAAATAAAATAATGAGAGTAGGAAAAAAATTCAATGAAAAGAAGAAGTACAAGTATAATAAAAATAAAAGTAAAAAAAAAGGTAAAAGTAGAAGAAAAAAGAGAAGAAGCTAGAAGGAATGTGTGCTTTTAAGGGTGCTTTTCAACAAATGACTTGAAAAAAAATTTTTTTTAATTAAAAAATTTTGTGAAAATTTAAAAATAATAAAGGTTGAAACCGCACTTGGAGGAAGAAAACATAAATGAATAAAAATAACTAGAGGCCGGGCCGAAACGAGATCTCAATTGAAAATCTTGAATATCGAGATTCGTCGATCCCAGTCGAGGCTCTAAAAAATAAACACCAGCATCGGGGTGGTTGTGCTTCGGTTTCGGTTGTGCTTCGGTTTCGGTTGTGCTTCGGTTTGGTCCCTTCTATGTTGGTTCTATTCCAACTCCCTTCCAATGAATTTTTCCAATGTATGAACATAATAAATAAATTAAAAATTATTTAAAAAAAAATTAATTCGAACCAGTCAGTAAATTAATTTTGGCACAAAATTAATTTTTAAAAATTTTCCTAAAAATAATCACAAAAAAAATAAAATATTTTTAGCCTCTCTTACACAAAATTCCTTAATTTTTAAATAGAAAAAATTGTCAAAAAAAGCAACAACTGCCAAAAATTGCTTTAGAAAAAAAGCAGATGGCAAATAATAAATAAATAATGAGACAAAATATCCCACCACCCTCCAAAACCCTTTTTCTATCCTTCCCTTCAAAAAACCTTGGAGATTTTTAATAAATAAATAAATAAATTGATGAAAAATAGAAGAGAAAGAGAAGGTGGGTAAAAAAAGAAAAGAATTAATTTATAAAAAGGAAAACAAAAATAAAAAATTAAAACAAGTGGTGGCTTTTTAGGCATTGAAAATTGAGAGAAAATTGAGGGAAAATTGAGGGAGAAAAGAGGGTGGACACGGCAACTAAAAAAATAAAAGAAAGCACTCAATTTAAGAGGAAGGTAGGTGTTTGAGATGGTGGTATTTAAAAATTAGGAGAAAATAAAAAAAAATTTGGGAGTAATTTTAAATAAAAAGTGAGAGGAGATGAGAGGATTTTAAGCTAGAAAAAATTTAAAAAAAAAATTAAGGAAAAAATTAAAAATCAAAATTTTAAATAGAAAAAGAAGGAAAATAAACAGACTAATTTCAGTTATAAATATGTAGGTATCTCCGGATCTGAAGAACTTGTATTTAAAACCAAGAAGGTATCTCTATAAACTTGAGAGCATTGGTTAGGCAACAACCCACAGAATTTTCTCGGGCACAAAAAACGAAGAGATCATGATCCTCAGGTTTCGTTTTTACGGTCCCAGCTAGTTCCTTAACCTCGATTCCTGGTAGCGGTTCCCAAAACCTAGAAAACAGTAGCCTTTTCCCTCCAAGTAAGCCAACCAAATTTTTAAATACATAACTAAGAGCTTAGGGGTATCCACAATTTGGAGGGGGGTATTTAAAACATAAATCTGAAAAACGAAGAAATCATGATCCACACATATACATTATAATTTAAAAATACAAAAAACACAGAAAAAAAAAAGAAAAAATGGAAAAAGTAGCAAAATAAAAATTAAAAAATCACCCAAAAAATTTTTTTTTCTTTGTTTAAAAAATGTGTGTATGTACTATTATTGTAATAAAATTATAAGAAATATTATTTTAACGCACAAAGTAAAATCTCCATTATTTAGTAGATTAATTAATTTAGAAAAAAAATTAGTTGTCGCTAAAAGAAAAATAGTATATGTAGTTTAAATCAAGCAGAAAATCTTATCAAAGTTTTAACGAAAAAAAGTAGTAAAATAAAAATTAAAAATATAACTAAAAAAAGGATTATCTCAAAATAGCTTCAAAAGAAAATTTTTTTCCCCTCCAACTTAAATCCCAAAACAAGATTAAAAATAGCGGATATATCTCCTCTCAAACTCATGAGGAAGTAAATAGAAAAAATGAAAAAAAATTAAAATCCTATCAACAAAAATAAATAAAAGAAATCCTCCAAAAAAAAAGAAGGAAGGTTCTCTTAAAGCTTACATAAAAAAAGGAAGAAAACTCTTTAGAAAAAAATTTAAAAAAAAATTTTATAAAAAAAAGTGTTCCTGTTTCCCTTATTTTAATAATATTTTAATATTTAAAAAAATAATATGTAAAATTATAAACCCCACCATTAATACAGGCATATCAATAGCACCATTATTTAATGCTTCTACAAGAGAAAAGCGTCGATGCAACCGTTGTTTGTTGTCTAATTGTTTTTGTTGTTTTTCTATTTCTTCTCGTTTTTCTTGATGTTTTTGTCTATTTATTTGTTCGTTGTTTTTGTTTTTATCTTTGTTTTCTTGTTGTTTTTGTTGTGTTTCTTGTTGTTGCACTCTTATTGTTTTTAATGTTTTTGTTGAAGTAATTTTATTTAATTGATGTTTTGTTTGTTTTTCTTCATGTTTTTCTGGATGTTTTGTTTGTTTTTCTTCATGTTTTTCACTAATTAATTGTTTGTTGTTGATGTTTTCCTCTTTTGTGTTTTCTGAATGTTTTTGTTGTTTTAATGTTTTTATTGATGTTTTTGTTAAATTATTATTATTTAATTGTTGTTCTGGATGTTTTTCTTCATGTTTTTCTTGATGTTTTTCTTCATGTTTTTCTTGTTCATGTTTTTCACTAATTAATTGTTTGTTGTTGATGTTTTCCTCTTGTTTGTCCTCTGAATGTTTTTGTTGTTTTAATGTTTCTAATGTTTTTACTGATGTTTTTGCTGATGTTTTAATTGATGTTTTTGTCAAATTATTTTTATTTAATTGTTTTCCTTGATGTTTTTGTTGTTCAATTTCCGTTCCACATTTGTTCTCTTCCACAACATTTTTAATAATAAAATTTTTATTTTTAATATTTATTATGTTAATTGTTGTTTTTATTGTTTCCCCTTTATTTTCTTCCCCATTTATTTTTGTTGTTTCGCTATTATTATTATTTTCAAGTGCTGCTGCAACTTTTATTTCTTCTGGTTTTTGTTTTAAATTACAAAGTTGTATTCCTTGTCCTAATAATATTAAATTATGTTGTCGTTCCATTAGTTTTTAATAAAAACTAAAAAAAATTTTTTTTGAATTAAAAATTGTCAAAAAATTAATAAAAAATATACTAAAAAATCATAATTTCCCACAAATTTAATAAAGAAAATAAAATAAAAAATTAAAATAAATAATATAAAAATGAATTTCTGGATTTTTTGGGTGAGTATTGAACCTTACAGAACTGGAAAATCTTTATAATTAAAAAATTTTTTTTCTCTTTCATTTAAAAAATAAGTTGTTGTTGTCAATTATGAACTGACCCATGGATCCGAGAATTTTATTCTTTGATTTTGTGGTTCGGTTCCGGATAGCCAAAAATTCCTAAAAAGCGGCAACCCTAAAAAACGAAAAGTTGTTTGGAAATAAAAAAATTTAGAAATTTTTTAATAAAAAAAATTTTTTCTGGCAAAAATTTGATTCAAAATTATTTTGAACTAAAAATAAAAAATATACCAACGGGAAAAAAATTCTTGTTCAAAAAAATTTTAAAAACCAAAAAAAATTTCCATTACAAAAATAACCAATTAATTATAATTTTTTAAAAACAGAAAAACAATCACCAACAAAAATACAAATTGTAAAAATAAATAGAGGACATATACAAAAGGGTAAAGGACGATGACGAGGAGGATGAGGAAAGGATTTATATTTAAATAATAGAGTTGATGATGATGTGCAAAACAAAACAAAAAAAAGTAAAGGACAGACCCTCTCTTTCATTTAGTTGTTGTTGAGGATGAAGGGTGGGGGATTAAAACGTGCTAGATATGTTGCTTTTAAATAGAGGGAGGAGGAAAATGAAGGGAAGGAAGGAAAATTGCGCGAGCACATTTATGAAGAAGACGAAGGGAAGAAGAGAAGACGAAGAAAAAGAAAAAAAAATTTTTTTTCATAGGCCCCCCTTTAAAAATAAATAAATATTTATTTATTTAAAAGTCCCAAATAAACAATTAATAAAGGGGAGAAATTAGGGGGAAAGAAAATTTATAGAGAAGAGCTTCTGCAAAGTTTATTGAAAAAAATTTTTTTTTCTTAATTTTCGGAGGATTTTATAAATATTTTTGTAGGCCTTTAAAAAAGAGGGGAAAAAGAAGATGTAAAAAAAGAAGATTTAAATAAAGCTGTTGTTGACTTGCTGGATTTTAATTAAAAAAAGCGCGAGGCCACACACAAAGAAAATAATAAATATTTAAATTAAATCTTGGTGAAAAATAAGGCTAAAAATAAACAGAAAAATTAAAACAAAATTAAAAATAAATTAAAATAATTGGCTAAAAAATTTTTTTAACCTAAAAATAATTTGAATTTGTGCCCTAATTAAAAAATAAAGAAAAATAGAAAATTTAAAAAAATAGAAATTTTTTATAAAAATTTGAAGGCCTCAAATTCAACTTATTTTTAGGTCAAAAAATTATTTTTTTAGTCAATTTTTAATTTATTTTGAGTTTTGTTTTAATTTTTTTGTTTATTTTTGGCAACACTTTAAGAAAAAAAAATTTTTTTAGAAATAAAAAATTTTTTAGAAAAAAAATTTTTTTAGGGCCCAAAAAATAAAAAAATAAAATTTCTTTTCAATATAATTCTGATTGTAAAATATAAAAAAAATATTTGCATTTCCATAGCAATAAATGGGTTAAAAAATAAAAATATTTAATAAAAAAAAGAAGCCGATATTAAGAAAAGCTTTAAAAAATACAAAAAAAAAATTTATTTTTAATGGGAAAGGTCCCATTAAATAAATATTACTTTTTTCCCCTTAAAAAATTTTTATTGATATGGACTAAAAAATACCAAAAAAAATCCTAAAAAAAAATAAAAAGCGCAAAAATACGTTTAATTTTCTAGTGTGTTATTTAGAATAATTAATTAACAGAGCTAATAACATTTCTTAAAAATCTCCCAGTAAATAAAAAAAAATAAGAGGTCACAGTAAAACAAAATTATTGTTATGATTGTTTTTCTAGACATAAAAGATGCTCATGAAAATAAAGAAAAAAAATTCCGCAATCAGCAGTTGCGTGAACCCTGATTCTGTTATGTCCTAAGTAGCGGTCTTACCTAGTGACAAACAGACTAACACAAGAATAGAATATGACGTTTATCCGAATGGTAAATACAATAATAGTGAAGGTGGCAAAAGGCAAGAATGCTGAAGGACAGACGGCGCCGGTCGACCCAGGTGTCGACCAAGACTGATTTCTAATGACTCCTTTTATACTAGACCCACACATACCTAACATCTCCCTCCTTTAAAAAAGTTAGGGACTAACTTGAATAATTTGCTACTGAATTGAATTGTTAGGTTGGGTCCGAATTGAATAACTTCTCGAATCGAATGACTGAATAACACCGCCTTGAATACAAATGGGACAAAAATTACAAACAGTGGGGGAAAACAAAACAAAAAATTTACAACAAACAAACAAAAATCACAATTATTACAAACGTCCCATAACATCTCATCAAACATCTATCTTCTAATCATCAAACCAAGCAGAAGCACATCGAATAATTTGAATCAACCCAACTCTGGGTAGGGATTTTCACTAATTCCCTGAATAATCCTGCCCTATTTTCTACTACTTGGGCGAATAACTAAATGGCATTTTGACTAACTTAAAATTCTCTCTAATAATCTCAATAATATCACTAATCTCGAATAACTGGATAATTTAATAATTAACTGAATAATGCCATATGAATTCATCAATGGAGCGAATAAAATTCTATCTACAAACTTCTGTTGAGCTTCTAAATAATTGACTCAGACTTGAATAATACTTGACCGTCTTACGTCCACTTGACCGACTTACTCATTGCGGCCTTGAATAAACAAATAATCGGGACTTACATCTTGCCCATGACTGCGGTTCCTCATATAATCAAAATACTGAATACAACATGCTCCTTCACTTTGCTCCTGATGTCAAGCTCGAATTCATCGAATAATCTTCTAAACAAAATACTGAACCTCTGGACCGAATAATCACAACTATCTTTTCGAAACTTGAATTGGTCCGACTAAATTTGACTAAGGTTTGCTAGGCCTTGTCGAATAGATGAATTCGATCGGCTTGAATGCCTGCCACACTTCAAATGACGCCGTCTCCTCTGAATAAGAATCTGATGTGCTCTGCGAATCTCCGAATTGTCCGAATACATCCCCCAAATTTGAATAATCCGAATAGTCCGAATTGTGAATCAAAGTTCACTACTGCGACCGCGCCACTGTTATGTCCTAAGTAGCGGTCTTACCTAGTGACAAACAGACTAACACAAGAATAGAATATGACGTTTATCCGAATGGTAAATACAATAATAGTGAAGGTGGCAAAAGGCAAGAATGATGAAGGACAGACGGCGCCGGTCGACCCAGGTGTCGACCAAGACTGATCTCTAATGACTCCTTTTATACTAGACCCACACATACCTAACAGATTCAATGGCCAAACAAATTAAAAAAAACCTATACTAAATTTAGGATATTCAAAAACATATTTGGGGTAGCTATACTTGAGACCGGACTGAATGTGTTGCTCGACAATCAAGCTCTCGAAAAAATTCACAATCTCGATTACCGAGATTTCGATTGAAATCTAGTCTCAGTCCGGTCTCTAATCTACACAAGGTGTCCGATTAGTATAAAAATAATCATAAAAAATTTTATTTTTTTAGAAAAAATAATTTTGGGTAAATTAAATGACACCGATAAGAAAGGAAAGAAAAAATAATAGTCATTTAATAAGCCTAAAAATAATATCATTTTTAAAAATAACCAGAAACACTCCTAAACACCCCCAAACACAAGTGTGTATTTATTTAAAAGGAGTAAAAAAATGGGCAAGTTTATTTTATATATTATTGTTGTTATTGGAGACTTATTTAGGATTGGATTACATTAAACTAAAAAAAAGTTTTTTTAGGTTTCTCTTTAAAAAATATGAGTAGTTTTTGTGTGTTGGAAGCGTGTGAATAGTAGAAAAAAATAATAAGAAAATTATACCCTATTTTTGCAACAACTCCACAATAAAAAAATAAAAGAAATTAAAGAAATGGGGTGACAAAAAAGAATAGAAAAAAACTATAAAATGATTTAACCTAAAAAAGAGGGGGGGGGTTGAAATAGGAAGAAAAATGAATTAAAAGTTCGAAATAGAGGGGGGCAAAAGAGCATAAAATTTCTGAAAATTTTTATTAATCGAAGAAGAACAATAGGAACAAATTTACAGAGATAGTTTAGGGTCCTAAAAATAAAAGAAATTTTTTACAAAAAATTTAGATGTATAATACAGTTAAATTATTAAGTAAAATGAAGATTTTAAAGGAAGAGCTCTAAAAGTGAAATGTAAAAAAGAAAAAAATTTTTGCGCAACATCCAAAACAACTTTATTTTCTCTTTCTTTAAAAACATTCCAATCTACTCCATTTCCTTCTTGATTGATTAAATTTCCTTTTTGCAATAAACAGATCGCGTAGAAAAAAGTAACTTTTTGTATTGTTTGTTTGTCTGATGTTTGTTTTAAATGTTTTGATGTTTGTTTTAAATTTGATGTTTGTTTTAAATTCTGATGTTTGTTTTAAATTTGATGTTTGTTTTAAATTCTGATGTTTTTGAATGTTCGTTTTGATTTTATTTGGATGTTTTTCATTGGTTTTTCCTATGATCATTTAATGTTTTTATTTAATTCTGATTTGTTTTTAGATGTTTTAAATTTTCGACTGTTGTTTTTGATGTTTATGGAATATTCTGATTTTTATTTTTTGTTTTTCACTCGTCATTTCTACAAACACAATAATTTATTTTACAATTATATGTACAACAATATACCAAACAATTACAACAATATACGAAACAATTACAACAATATACCAAACAATTACAACAATATACCAAACAATTACAACAATATACGAAACAATTACAACAATATACCAAACAATTACAACAATATACCAAACAATTACAACAATATACGAAACAATTACAACAATATACCAAACAATTACAACAATATACCAAACAATTACAACAATATACGAAACAATTACAACAATATACCAAACAATTACAACAATATACCAAACAATTACAACAATATACCAAACAATTACAACAATATACCAAACAATTACAACAATATACCAAACAATTACAACAATATACCAAACAATTACAACAATATACCAAACAATATATATTGAACAATACAATTATAGATTTTTTGGGGAAAACAAGTTTGGGGGAAAACAACAACAACAATTATTATTTTGAACTTTCTCTTCAACAATCACACATCTTTTTTCTTCTCTGGAACACTTATAGCTTCTTTTATTGTCCTCTCATCATTCCTGCTGGCTGCTCTTCGACTTGTCCTCCTCCTCCATTTTCGAGTTGGTCTCCATCATCGAATTCGCAGTGGTCGCCATTTTCGACTTCTCCCCCATCTTCGACTTTTCCTCCACCTTTGCCGTGGCCTCCATCTTTGCTTTGTCCTCCTCCATCTTTGATTTCTCCCCCATCTTCGACTTCTCCTCCACCTTTGCCTCCTCCGATTTCCCGCCCATCTTCGAATGTTCCGCGGCCTCCATCTTCGAAGTCTCCGTGGCTCCCATCAGTGAATTCGCTGTAGTCGTGTCCTTCTCCCGATCAAACTAAAAATATCAATTAAATTTTTTTTTGAAAAATTCAGGTTTTTACCTGATGTCGATCAGAATCCGTGCTCAGACCAACTGAACAGTAAGGTGGAAGAGGCATTTGACGCGGCCGCAGGTTTTGAGCTTTCTTCGCATGTTTGATCACTTCCGGATTGATGTCCTAAAAACAAAAAAAATTATTTTTATTTAATAAAAAATTTTCCTTACTTCGAAATCCTTGGTCGCTGCAATATATTCGTCGATGACCTGGTCGATTTCTTTTTTGTATTGCGCGTGCTTCAGTCTTGCTGCTTTTTCTTCTTCTTTTTCTTTCTCCCTCCTTCGTTTTTCCTGGTCTTTTAGCTTCCCTTCTTCGTATTTGTAGTACTTGTGAACGATGCAACATGTTGAGACCATACAGCAGCAAGTAAGACTTAGAATGAGGATGAAGACGATGAGTCCACTTGGATTATCCACCATAGTGTAGACGAAGAAGACTCCGAGTCCAATTAATGTGAAGATGGTGAGGTTTATTGCATGAAGCATTAGACAAGTTTTGCCGCAGAATCGATTGGTCCTCTTATTACAGCAGGTGGTCATTATACAACAAAAGCAGGAAAGCATTATGAAGGCAAGAAATCCTCCAAAAATAACACCACGCCAAAAGTCATCGCTCCGATATATAGGTTTTTCCGTTGTTGTCGTCGTCGTTTCTGTCGTCTTTACAGGAGCCGGTGTTGATGTGGTGGTCGTTGAAGTGGTTGTAGTGGTGGTAGTTGGCGGTTGTGTTGTAGTCGTTGTTGTGGTGGTGGTAGTGGTGGGTGGATCGCCGACAGCCAAAAGAGTGTAGTTCTGCATGTCCTGAATAAAAAGAAAATTTTTGAAAGGATTTTGTAAAATCTCAAAATTCCTTACAAACTCAATGTAGAGTTCTTCACATTTTGGACCATCAGGAGGATCATCTTTGACGATTTCGCCTTTGCTGTGATTTCGAGAAGCGCTCTGTGGAAGCATGTAGAAGACAAGCAGATGATCATATCCTGGAGCCGGACTCCCATTGATTTCCCAATTCTCAGGTTTGACAGTGCCATTTCCTTCCGGAACGCAGTATGGATGTTCTGCACCTTTATCTTCTGGATTATATACTTCCTTTACTGATTCATCCATGTAGAACCCGCCTTGACCTGTTATCGTCAGCTCAAATTCATTGAATTTGTTAAACACTTTTGATCGACTCCATATAGCCAGGCTCTCACCAACTAGAAAATAAATGATAAAGACAGTTTAAAAGATTTATTTGTCTTACTTGGATGGGTGTGAGCAATGACTTGGCGTTTTTTCTCATAAAAGCATATGTTCCAACCAACCTCGAGAGAAGTCCATTCCATGCAATTACCATTATCACACCTCTCTAAACAATCCTGCCCTTTTCCAAAACGCGATCTGTTCCTGATTTCCGTGATGTTATTCCCTTTTAAACTGTAGGCGAAGGGAATGCTAAAAAGTAAAATATAGGGAAATTGTGTATAGAAAAAACTAACAGATTTGCACTAGCACCATCAAAAATACTTGTCCCACTACACTTTTTTAGGCAGTCTGCAGTTTTGTTTTTCACCCCGGTCCTGAACTTGATCATGTTCGGATGCTTGGTGAACAAATCCACAGTGCAGCCCTCGTCCTTTATGTTCTTTCCGTTTTCCCTCTTGTAGTAGAGCACACTGAAACAAATAAAAATTATTTCAATGATGCAAAAACTTTGTAAACTCACATGCTTCCGTTCTTGATTTCAACATCACAGGACCCATTAAGCCTTGTGTAATTTTTAAGATTGTAGTCGTCTCCTGCTTCGACAGCCTTGGAATCATTAGCGAGTGTGACTTGACCATCCTTCAGAGTGTGCTTGAAGAATCCAACATCCTCACTGTTGACCTGTCCAACCAGCACAAAAACAAAGAGAGTCGAAGCAAAGAACATTGGCAAGATGGTGGTAGCCGAACGTGGATTTGTCGAAGCCTTTTTCGCTCCAGATCCGTCGTCGAAACAGAAAAGCATGGCGCCTTGATGTTTTGTTGTTGTTCGTAGAGATGCTTGAATACTTGCTGCGAGAAAGAAATTATGTTGAGTGGTATAGAATGACGAAAGTAAAAGGCTTTTATAGTATTTTAAAGACGGCTTTTATACCAAGACTTTTTCGAACAGAAGAAAATTTTGGTCGAAGTCCCGGTAGCTCAGTGGTAGAGCTCCTATATGTGGTGAGCGAAAGCGCCTAGCAATAACTACGAGGAGGTTACAGGTTCGAATCCTGCCTTGTGGCTGAACTTTTGCCAAACTCTTTCTGTATCGTAAGGAAAAGGACGATTATCTAGGCCATATTTTGGAACACAACCTTCTTTTTTTCCTTCGATTCGAGTAATATTAAATTTAAAAAATGAAGAAGAATTTAAAAATAAAATAATTGATGAGAGGACGAGATTAATGGAAAATAATAGTGAAAATGTTGAGTTAAAAAGTAGGGGGTCGTGGGTTCGACGCCGCTCGGGAGATGTGGAAGGTTGTTTTTATGACCAAAAATTACAAAAATGTATATTTCAGTTCAGATTTTATCAAAAACACTACTTAAAACTTTTAAAAAGAGAAATGATGGATCAAAATGGGGTCGTAGGTTCGACCCCGCTTGGGGCCCGGAATTTTTTAAAAGTTAAAAAACTGTTCTTAATAAGCAAAGAAGTAACAAGAAATAAAAATTCCACTTTGGTATAATTTCGGAAAACGAACAGATCCAAAATAGGTCAAATTATATGTCATTCGAAAGAGCTCGTCGAGTTATGTCGAATGGTGAAAAAATTTTTGTGCGGACTCATAGAGGGGCTGAGATATAGGTCCGCGAAAATCGAAAAACCATAGGGGGACCAAGCACTTTTTTGGGGTGAAAAATTCGAAAATGCAAATTATACCTCATTCGAAAGAGCTCATCGAGCTGAGTCGAATGATACCAAAATCAACGAAATCTGACTTGATTTGACAAAGTTATGACCGTTTGTTTTAGCTCCTTACCTTTGGTATCCGTCGAGGTTTTTCCTGCTACGGAGGAAGCCAGATAACCAATTACAGCGATAATTGGAATAGGATTAAGTTACGAGCCCAGACCCAGCGCCCGTAGACTCCCCGCGAGGCGCGTGCCGCAAAACCCCGCGCGAAGCGCGGGGTTTTGCACAAGCGCCTCGCCTACGCCCCATAGGTTTACGTTGACCATTTTGGGCCTCTATCTCGGCTCAGAATTAAGATTTCGAGTTGATTTTGGTGTCATTCAACTCAGCTCGATGAGCTCTTTCGAATGAGGTATAATTTGCATTTTCGGATTTTTCACCCCAAAAAAGTGCTTGGTCCCCCCTATGGTTTTTCGATTTTCGGGGGCCTATATCTCAGCCCCTATGAGTCCGCACGAAAATTTTTTCACCATTCGACTCAACTCGACGAGCTCTTTCGAATGACATATGATTTGACCCATTTGCGCTCTGTTCGTTTTCCGAAATTTTTCCTTCCACTTTTTAATTGTTTAAAATCCTACGAAAAATATGTAAATCTAAGCGGAAATTAAAGATGTTTTCGAGGGGGTCGCGGGTTCGACCCCGCTCAGTGCCTTTTATTTTTTAAATTGTTTTAAATGATCAGAAAAGATACAAAATCGAATAAAACTCAAGTCCTTTTACCAAACACAACAATTTATTTTACAATCATAACAATACAAACAAATATATATCGAATGCTACAAATATAGGTTTTGAGGGGAAACAAATACTATACAACAAAATGTTTGGGTAATTATATAGGTATAGAAGGCAATATAGGAAAATAGGTACAAATATATTTTTGAGGGAAAACAACAACAACAACAATTATTATTTTGAGCTTTCTCTTCAACAATCACACATCTTTTTTCTTCTCTGGAACACTTATAGCTTCTTTTATTGTCCTCTCATCATTCCTGCTGGCTGCTCTTCGACTTGTCCTCCTCCTCCATTTTCGAGTTGGTCTCCATCATCGAATTCGCAGTGGTCGCCATTTTCGATTTCTCCCCCATCTTCGACTTCTCCTCCACCTTTGCCGTGGCCTCCATCATTGCTTTGTCCTCCTCCACTTTCGATTTCTCCCCCATCTTCGACTTCTCCTCCATCTTTGCCGTGGCCTCCATCTTTGCTTTGCCCTCCTCCATCTTCGACTTCTCCTCCATCTTTGCCTCGGCCTCCTCCGATTTCCCGCCCATCTTCAAATGTTCCGCGGCCTCCATCTTTGATTTTTCCGAGCTGATCTTCGAATTATCATCGTTCTCCCATTTTGCCCTATTTTTCTTAGCCTGAAAAGAAAAAGAAAATACTCTATTATCGCTCTACATATAATCACAAACTACCCGCATGAAGAGAAAAATGACCATAGCTGCACCAGAGATAATAACAACAATTCCGACAAAAATTCCAATAAAGATGACTGTAGGCCCAAAGAGAGAATCCTGAGGTTTAGGCTTTTCCGTCGTTGTTGTCGTCGTTTGCGTGGTTTTTACGGTTGTCGTTGAAGTGGTGGTCGTTGGCGGTTGTGTTGTAGTCGTTGTGGTGGTGGTGGTGGTAGTGGTTGGTGGATCGCCAACAGACAAAAGAGTGTAGTTCTGCATGTCCTGAATAAAAAGAAAATTTTTTTAAAGGATTTTGCAAGAGTTCAAATTCCTTACAAATTCAATGTAGAGTTCCTCACATTTTGGACCATCAGGAGGATCATCTTTGACGATTTCGCCTTTGCTGTGATTTCGAGAAGCGCTCTGTGGAAGCATGTAGAAGACAAGCAGATAATCATATCCTGGAGCCGGATTCGTCCCATTGATTTTCCAAGCCACAGGTTTGATAAAGCCTTTTCCTTTTAGAACGCAGTATGGATGGTTTTCAGGATCTTTATCGGTTAGATTATAGTCGCCGCTCGATTTTCCTTTCAAATCCATGGAGAAGCCGCCTTCCTCTATCGTCAACCCAAATTCTTCAGAACCATTAAGATCCTTTATACTCCATTTCGCCAGTTTCTCGCCAACTAAAAAACAAATGCTTAAAAAACAAGGATTTATTTGCCTTACTTGGATGGATGTGAGCAAATATAGGATATTTGCCATCCTCAAAAAAGCATTTGTTCCAAGCAACCTCGAGAGAAGTCCATGGCATGCAAAATTGTTCATCGCCACAAAAATTGTGGTTATTGCAATCCTTTTTATTTCTTTCAGAGAGCTGTCCTTTCTTAAGTTTCGTGACGTTCTTCTTCTCTGTTAAACTGTAGGCGAATGGAAGGCTAAAAAGAAATAAAATATATTGCCAAATTACTGAAGGAATGAAAACTAACAGATTTGCACTAGCACCATCAAAAATATGGCCTGAACAATTTTTTAGGCAGTCATCCGGTTTACTTCTCACTCCAGTCTTGAACTTGACCATCTTCGGAAGCTTGGTGAGCAGATCCACAACGCAGCCCTCGTCCTTTATGTTCTTTCCGTTTTCCCTCTTGTAGTAGAGCACACTGAAAAAGAACGAAAATTGTTTCAAAGATGTAAAAAAGCGTGAAGAAACTCACATGCTTCCATTCTTGATTTCAACATCACAGGATCCCGACTTATTCGTGTACCTTGTAAGGTTGTAGACGTCTCCTGCTTCGACAGCGACGGAATCTTTGTCGAGCGTGACATGACAATCCTTCAGAGTGTGATCGTAGAATCCAACAGGACCATTGCACTCCTTACTGTTAACCTGTCCAACCAGCACGAAAACGAAGAGAGTCGAAGCAAAGAACATCGGCAAGATGGTGGTAGCCGAACGTGTATTTGTCGAAGCCTTTTTCGTTCCAGATCCGTCGTCGAAACAGAAGAACATGGCGCCTTGATGCTTTGTTGTTGTTTGTAGAGATGCTCGAAGACTTGCTGTGAGGAAGAAATTATGTTGATTGGTGTAGAATGATGAAAGTAGAAGGCTTTTATAGTATTCTATTTAAAGTCGGCTTTTATACCAAGACTTTTTCGAACAGAAGAAAATTTTGGTCGAAGCCCCAGTCAACAGTAGTGCTACTTTATGTCTTGACCCAAGAAGGTCAAAAAATACCTAGGGCCGGACTTTGGGTACAGGAAAAACCCAGGCCTTGCTTTAGACCCAGCTCGATCTCTACTACATAAACTCCAATTTTATTCTCTTCAATATTGGACTTTATTTCACTTTTCTAATCCAATTAAATCCTTATTTGTTTTTACACCCAATAATTCACGCAAGTTTGCATTTTCTCCCGGAATTGTACAAAAAAACAAATTTTCATCTATCCACAAAATTAGCGCATTAATTTTTGACGCGGAAATTGGCTGTGTTTTTCTACATGTTTTTCCTACGCCGAGCAATTCTTTTTTAAATTTCCTCAACGATTTTTTACTTTTTAATCTCCTTAAGGAGAGAATTTGAAACAATTTTTACTTAAATTTTTGTTTAATTTTTAATTTTCAGTTAAATTTTGTTTTTGCCTTATTTGGGTCATTTTGCCTATCTTTGAAGGTATGGATGTCAACTTCAACCTTTTGGATTGTTTGTTAAACACAAGATTTGGTCCACTTGTTTAAAGTTTGGATATGAAGGTTTTTTTATTGGTTTTTGGGGAAGCTTTCTGGTTTACTGGCCCATAGAAATTATAGCAGAAAGTTTTTCGACATTTTTGAGGTCTGCTAGGTCTGCTTTGAGGTTTTTTTCTTTCTAATCCTTTGAGGTATGCAATAGGTCATCAAGTTTACTGAATCCAAATATTAGCTTATTGTAAAGGCATATAGCTATTTAATTCCTAAAGGCTGTGCAGTAGGCAGCGTTGTGTAATTGATAACAAATCAGTCCGGTCTACTAAAGATGCTGGTTCGCTCCCAGCCGCCCCGAATAAAGTTTTGCACTAGCTGAAGGATAGAAATAGTTATAGCCCAATTGCTTCTGTTAGAACTTGTTCTTTTGCAAATCCCTGATTGAGCTAGACCGAAAGCTAATATTTGGATTCAGCACTCTCGATTACCGGACTCTCGACCGACTCTCGATTACCCCTTTTGGCTTGGCAGACTTCAAAAATATCTAAAGACATTTTCTGCTCATTTTTAATGACCAGCAAATAAACTAGACTAGTGGCCTTCGTTTAAATTTATTTTTCCCATATTTTAGCCCTTCCTTTCCTTTCTACTGTGGACAATCCATTCATTTTTACTTTCGTCCACTCAACACGAATTTCCTTTACCTATTCCTGTCGTTGAAGAAAACAACAATTCTACCTCCTTTTCAACACCTCAACTTCCTTCTTTGCCTCAAACACCTTCAATAACTTCAATTTTTTCGTCACCAGAAATTTCCTGGCAATTACCAACACTAGATCAAATGTTTGCTTCAAACACATTTTTTGGTTTTCCGCCTTTAATTCCTTTTGGAACGGAGATTGCGACACCGAAAAGTGAAAAGAATGTTTTGGAGAAGGGGCTGGAAGGAAATGAGAAGAATGCGACGGGAGAAGATGGAAGGTCAAAAAGTGGAATTGTTCTTTCTAGACGGGCTGGAATTAAGGTTTTTTTATTTTAAGAAATTTTTGATTTTTATTTATTTTTAAAGGTTCGATTCAATCCTCCAGTATTTGATAATGTTGCTCATTTCTTTCGTAGGTTTATTTTTATGCATGTTTTCTAAATAGGTTTTAATAAGAGTTATTAGGTTTTAGTCGTTTTCTGGGTTAATTTAACTTGATAAATCTAACTGTTTTAGTATAACTGCTGGCAGGCCCGTAGCCAGGGGGGGGGGTGAGGGGGGAATTCCCCCCCCCCCCCCGAAATGGGAAAAAGGAAAAAATTTGGGGAAGGGCTGGGGCAAAAAAAGTGAATTTTTTTGGCCTACGGCCTCTGAAATGTAAAAAATTTTCGCCTGCGGCGCTAAAAAAAGAAGAAATCTGGCTTCTTGAGGTCCAAAATTCAAAAAATTTTCGCCTGCGGCGCTGAAAATCAAGTTTTTGGCGCCTGCGGCGCCGAAAAAGTGAATTTTTTTGGCCTACGGCCTTCTAAAATTCTCAAAATTTTCGCCTGCGGCGCTGAAAATAAAAATTTTTCCCCCCTTGGCCCCCCCCCCCGAAAAAAAATCCTGGCTACGGGCCTGACTGCTGGTCTAACCTTCTCTGGGTTTGGACCATTTTCTGTGTTTTTCCTGTACCCAGAGGTCTTTTCCCGCTTCTTCGGGCTTTTCCCGCTTCTTGTACCCAATTCTGGTCTTTTCCCGCTTCCTGGGCCTGAGTTTCTCTCTAACTACAAATCCATGATTTATATCAGGTATTTTTGATCTTCCAGGGCTTGAGGTTTTCTTTACTACAAGTTCATAATTTGACCAATATCTATGGATTCCAATAAATATTCTCCTTTTCCAGACAACATTTTTAGTGAAGAAGCAAAATCTCTTCAAATTCCACCTCAAAAGCAATGCTTCCCTGAAGGGTGTTTTCGACTCCACACTTTTCAAATTGTCAACTTTCAAAAGCCTGAAACTTTTACAGTGAAGCCGTTAGGACCAAACTTGTTGCTTTTAAACATCGCCAATTTTGACTTGAATATAGAGAGTTTATTGAGTGGAAACATTCAATTTTTATTATTTACTCCAATGCCTGTTTCTGGCAATTTTTATGTGGATGCCCAAGAACTTTCAATTAAAGCTTTGTTGGGGTTACAGAAGGATGTGAAAAAGGTTTGTATTTTTTAAATTAAATTTAAGGGTTTCTAGAATTATTGGGGGGGGGGGGGGTAAACATTAGATGAAATTGTAATATTTTCGGAAAGGTTATGAAATAAGAAACCTGCCTCGAAAATGGATTTTGGGGCTTTCGAGGTTTATTAGCTGATTTATTAAGAAATTTTGGGGTAAAAAATCTTGAGTTTGCCAAAACTCTTTATTCTTCCCTTAGTCCTTAACGAAAAGATGCCAGCTGACATGGGTGGAAACGTGAACTGGAATTGACTAAAAAAAACTGAAATTATAAGGGCATGACCATAGGTCGAATTTGAGAGAAGGGGGGGGGGACAATTGCAAGGAGGACACACAAGGAGACACACTACGCCCTTTTGAAATTACTAAAATCTCTATAAATATTTGGTAATTTTTATGCCCTACCAATTAATTTTAACAGTTTAAATTCTTACCTAAAATCGTTTTTTTACATTTCTAAAACTCTTCCCTTCATTTTAGGTACCTTCTCTACGCATGGTCAATTGTGAATTAATTGACGGAATTATAAATACAAAGGTTACCGATCTTGGTTTATTTACTGATTCAATAAATTTAAAATATAAGGTTTATTTAAAATTAATTTAAAATTTAAAAAAAATTTTTCAAAAAAATTTTTTAAGGATGAAATTTTATCCAAAGCCAAAGCTTTAATTACCAGTACAATATGTAACACAATTTTTAAAACTATTAGAGAACGCGTCAATTTAGTTCTTTCAAAATTGCCGCAATTTTTGAGTGTGTCAGATATTATGGTTACTCTTTTTGAAAATTTTAGAGGAACTGAGGAATGTGTTAAAAATGGGTACAAATTAATTTTTTTTAATTAAAAAAATTTTTTAAATTTTTTTAAAAAATTTAAAATTTTTTAAAATTAAAAAAAAATTTATTTTTCAAGTCATTCTATAGGTGTAACTTGACAGCAACAACAACAACAACTACTTATTCTGACTATAATTTAAATAAAATATTGGATTTTTTGGATTTGGTAAATTTATAAAATTATTTTAAAAATAAAGAATTAATTTTAGAATGCTCTCAAACATGTACTTATTAATCTGGAATTTCTGGATTCTTCTGCAAGCGACGATTATTTTTCTGTTGGTCTGATGGGTGATGTTTTTATAGCTAAAAATGATTCTGATGAGGTATATTAAACTTAAATAGTACTTATATTCTCTTTCCGGAAATATAAATAGTTTCCGGAAAAGTAATAGACGTTGAATATATAATATCTGTAATAGAACTTTCCGGAAAAATCAGAATTTAATAAAAACATTTTCGGAAATACCAGAATTTTATTAAAACATTTCCGTAAAAATCAGAATTTTATTAAAACACTCCGGAAAAATCAGAATTTATTTAAAACATTTTCAAGGAAATATCAGAATTTTATTAAAACATTCTCCGGAAAAATCAGAATTTTATTAAAACATTCTCAGGAAAAATCAGAATTTAATAAAAACATTTCCGGAAAAATCAGAATTTTATTAAAACACTCCGGAAAAATCAGAATTTATTTAAAACATTTTCAAGGAAATATCAGAATTTTATTAAAACATTTCCGGAAAAATGTTTAAAACATGTTTTTTTATTATTCTGATTTTTAACATTTAGCAAAACATTAATAAATTAAACAACAACAATTCTCTACAAACATCAACTAATAATGACAATGATCTTTTATTTGTTTCTGAAAATGTTGACAATTCTGTTTTAGAAATTAATAATTTATTTGATGACAATTTACAAAATATTACTTCAATTTCTAATAATTTTAATAATTTTGAATGGAGAAGAGAAGGAAGTATAGAAATTGTTTTTACTCAGCAAACAGCAAATAATCTTCTTTTAAAGGCGTTTAGGTATTTTTTAAATTTTTTTAAAAATGTTTTTGAGGGGGAAAAGCTTACTGTTTAGTATACCGGAGGTTTTTTCATCCAGAGAGGAGATACCTTCTTTTAAAAATTCTTTTGGGGAGAACTAGTCCATGTTGGCCTTGATGACATATAAATCAGAATTTTACTCTCCTTCATTTTTCTTTTGGAAAGAACTAATTTATGTTGGCCTTGCTGACATATATCGAGTCATACCGAGTAACTTGACTAGTTCCAACATTCATAAGCCTTGGTATACACTCCGTCGTAGAGACTGTGCTTTGGCACCAATTTCAAATTTTAAAGATTTTTTAATCATCGGTCGAAATTTGCTCGTTTCTGAGACCTTCCTGATTTTTCCTACTTAATTTTATTTTAAATAAATTTTAGAGCCAATCTATTGAGCATTTATTTTGGTCAAAACTCTCCTTTATTTGGTCCCCTTTTGCGCACTAGCTGTGATCTAGACGATGTTTGTTTGGGGGATACAATACCTGAAGCTAGTGAAATATATCCAAACGAGCAATTGGAATTGAAGGTTTTTTTTTTAATTTTTGGGGAATTTTTCTAAAAAAATTTTTTCTGTTAGATTGTACCAACGGAAGCACCAATATTAAATGTCACGGAAGGTTTTTTTTGATATACATAGAATTTATTTAAAAATTTTCTCTCTCATTTATGTAGATTTGGCAACACTTTCATTATCAGGCGTTGGAATATTCTTTTTGGCTCGTGATCCTTTTAGGTTACCAATTGCTCAAATTCCATTTTTTACAATTATTGAATTAAATATTGGAGTGGAAAATGGTTAAAAAAATTTTTTTTTTGATTTTTAAAATGAAGAAAAAAAAATTTCTTTCAGTTTCCTTGTCAATCCCAAAGTTAGAAATTCTTGAAAATGCCGATTTTTTCAAAGTTCCAGCAGCAACATTACAAGAAGGCTTTCGTGATTCTATTCGTAATGCTATAATTAATTTTGCAACAAAATTTATCAACTTATCTTCTGGTTCAGGTTCTTTTTCAATATTTTAGATTTTATAAGTCAGATGACCCTTAATTTTATGCACACCCATGAAATTCGGTTCAAGATACTTTTCTTAAATTAAGTTGATCATGGGAAGGGGGCTGCCTATGTGGCATATTCACTTTTAGCTACCCCATCTTTATGTATAAAAATTTTTCTGTCTCACGGGTATATACATAAAATTGAGATTTCTATATTTAATTTTTAAAATAAAATGTACAAATTTGAAAAAAACATTTTAAAGCTTTCCTCAACCTTATTGAACGTAAACTTTGCAAATGGGGTATTTTGAACCCAAGAATAAAATTGTTCAATAATGGAATGATCAATTTAATGGTCAAAGATTTGGATGTTTACAAATTATTTAGAATAGATTCAGATGATTTTTCGAAGAATTTTTCAATCAAAGATTCATTTATCAATGCAAAATGTATTTGTTGTTAAACAGAAATTAGGTATATGATTTTTTTCGAATTTTATTTTTGTGACTTTCGTAAAGTTTCTGTTTAAAAATATTTTATGACTGTATCATTGTTCAATGAGGAATGTTATCTGTTGTAATAAAGTTCCCCTTTAATAGGCCAACATTACTCGTGGTTTGAACGCAAGGAACAACCTTCACCATTCCTTAGATTATTCCCCGTTGTTGGAACAACATTCCTCATTTTGCGCATACCTGTCCTTACGCCTACTTGGCTTGCGTTTAATCGTCTTTAAAAATATAAAAATGAACATTGATTTATTCAGTCATTTACAATTAAGGGCAAATGTGTGACACGGGCAATCAAAAACAAAAAAAGATGCCTGAATTGAAAGAAGAGTGAGTTAATGAATGTGACTAATGTAAGGGGAATATTTTTGTAAATTATGCAAGGAAGGATTGACTGACCATTTTGTATTTTAACTAAAACGCGGACAGGGGGGGGGGTTTCTTTGTTGTTTTAATTTTTTAAAGAATAAAGTCTTGAATAAAAATTCTTTTTTTCACCCTATTAAAGTTTCTATAAACTTTGCATTTTTTTAAATATTTTTTGTTTAAAAAATGTTTTTTTTTCAATTTATAGCCGATCAATTAGTAATAACAAATTAGAAAAAAAAATTTCTTTCAAAAATGCCTAGTGCTGCAAGTATTATTCCTGTTTTTACAAGTGCTAGTAACAAGGTAATTTGATATTTGTGGAAGAAAAAATAAAATTTAATTTTAAGACTACTAGAAGGCGTAGAATTTTAAATAAACCTGATTTTATAGATGATTCTACAAAAGGCAAGGCTAAAAAGACTAAAAAGAAAAAGCAAAAACAAAAGGCAAAAAATAATTCCACAATGGATGAACAGGTTCTTTGTTATTATTTTATTTTTGTAGCTAAATTGAGATTGTCTAAATATACTTTCCTTTTTTAGTTATTAAACGAAGTTACTATTAATGATGTTGAACAAGACGATCCTCAGACGGGTGAATTGGAAAGTGGTGCAGACCATGTTGAAATTGGTCCGGATCCTGTTGAAGCTAGTGTTAATGAAGAGGAGGTTTTTGTTTAAAATTTTTTTGTTAACAATTTAAAACATTTCTAGATGCCTCCAAGAATTTCTGTTGATTCTACAGGAGGCAATGCTTGTTTAAACAACGAGGTTAAGTCAAATATTTTTGTACTCTATTTATGACTAATTCTGGTACTCGTGGGTTATCCCACACCACAATACGTTCCGCAAAAATATTTGCGGACATTTTTTGGTGGCCTATACTTGTCTGTTATGAGAAGGAAATATCCTAACTTCCTATATTTCTCCCAAATGTTCGCAAAAATTGTCCGAAAAAACTTTCTAGGATACATTGGACTGAGAAAGGGTAATTATGGACGCTCTTACTATTACGAGACCATTATGCTTATTAGCACGCAGGATTAAGATAACCCACAAGTACTCTAATTTCTGAGTCTTTAATCTTTTTTATTTAGGGGACTGAGGATGGAAGTGAGAATTTACTTGATTTGCAAGTGAATGAGCCTTCCAATTCACAAGCCGATCAGTCTGAAGAAATGAATTGTCTTGTTGCCGAGAAGGTTTTTATTTTAATATGTTTGTTTAAAATTATGTTTCTTTTTAATAGTTAATTGAGAAACAAAGTGGTGTAAATAAATTAATCGAGCCTGTATTAAATTTTGATTCCTCAATGGATCTACAGGTTTTTGTTTATTATTTTTGTTTAAAATCTACTTTTCGTTTTATTTAGTTATCTAACAAAGAGAATATTGGTTACTCAACCCAAAGTGTTTCTTGCGGAGCTAGCATTGATGTAAATGTGCCTACAGAAGAGGTTTTTGATTTAAAATTTCTTTTATTATCATTTTAAAACATTAGGTGCTTCCAGTAATTGCTGAGGTTAATATTGTTTCTGGTGGAGGCGATTGTTTGGATTTAAAGGTTTTGCTATCTGTCCTCCATTATGCTATATTTTATTTTTAGAAATCTCAAAATTCTAATTTGGCAATAAAAAATAAGGAATCTAATAAACGAAAAAATCGACAGAAAAACATTGTAATTTTTAAATTAACTGTTGGTTTTTGGACTTATTCTTTTCTTTTTAGTTGGGTGATAAAGGAAATATTCCTTCGACTTCTGAAGAAAATAGTCGACCTTTTGGAACAAGTGGTGGTTCTGATGATACTTCTGATGGAAAGGTTTTTTCTAAAATCTTTTATTCTTATGATTTCATCAATTATTTTTAGCCTCCAAGAAAAGTTTTAAAAGAAAAACTTGACATATATGACGCAAGTTTTTCAAAGTTATCTGGAGAAGAAGTTAAGAGTGATTGTACTTCTCAACAATTATCAGAAGTGCTTAATGTATTCACTAATAGCTATTTTAAATTGGTTAAAAAGAAGGAAAAGTTAAAGGTTTTTTTTTAATTTTGGTTATTTCATGACTTTAATAGGTCCCTTTTTTGGGCAAAATGTCGAACAAAAATAAGAATAGTTTATTTAGATGAGATTTATTTTAATATTAAAATTTAGGAGAATTTGTTTGTTGTTAAAACAAAACTTGCTGTTGCTGAAAAAAAACCGCAGAAATATATTAAATTGGAGGAAGCATTTAAAGTACGAGTGTTTTATTTATATTCATTTAAATTTTTACTTTATAGTTGCTTCGAAGGGATGATGTTACTGGCCAACCTTTTGAGGAATTAGTGGAGATAGATGAGGATTACTTTTTTAAGAAAATCCGAGATTTAATTGTGACAAAAGTTAAATTATCCAAAAAAGGAAAAAAGCCTAGGCTTGTGTATATGTCTTCTGAAATGTATATTAAAAGAGCTATTAAGTTTTTGGAAGGCGAAGAAAGACGTGATGAATCTTTTGCTTCCGAAGCAGTTTTTTTAATTTTATGTAATGAAAATTATTTTTGACTTTTAGATCTGGGGAGCCTTCGCAATAGAAGTAGCGTTATTTTACAAAGATTTTGACATTTTGATTGTTGGCCATAGTTCGTTGCAGACACTTGCCTTATTTGCTGCTGAATTTCACTATAAAGATTTCTCTCCCAACTTTTTCAGGAGCATTATCGATAACTTGAATCAGTATTTTTTAAAATTTATTGTATACATTAGCTAAGAGATTTTAGTTGTTTAGACTAGCTATTAGATTTGGTTTGTGGTGTCAATATTTAATTGATTTAATAACTTTTCAGCTGTCATAAAAACTTCTACTCCGGGAATGAAGAAACGCGAACAGTATATAATTACTTATTATACGTCCAGGACTTTTGTAAATATTTTAAAAAAATTGATAAAGCGGTTTTTAAAGAAGAACTTGTAAAATTCCTTCCAACAAACAAGGAACCAAAAGAAATCGATAATATATTTATATATAAATGGTCTCAATATTCTAAAATTGGTGGTCATGGACCTCATCACTTTAAATACGAGGCAACTGATAGAAAACGGTAAAAATTTTGTTTTATAGAATTTCTTGGTTTATCAATGTTAATTAGTTTATACAATGGGGATATTTAAGTGAAGGCCATAGTACACATAATGGTAAACAGACTTGATTTAAAAATAGGACCATTATGTGTCAGTGACCGTTTGGAATTTTCCATTTAAGTATAATGAAGGGGGAGGGGGGTTAAAAAAAGAAAATTTTAGGGGCGATGACTTAAACTTTTTAATTTAACTTTTTTTTAGCAAAGATAAAAACATTCAACAATCGAAAGGTGTAGATGGTGAAGGTTGTTCTACTTCAATGACTACAGGGAGTGGACAAGGAGGAGGACGTGGTTTAACTGGCAGTGGAAATAAGGAAGATAAATGGTTTTACAATAAAGGAGGAAATAAAGGTTGGAATAATCGTGGAGGTAGTAGAGGAATTAAAAAAGGAGGAGGAAGATGATCTTGTTAAGCTTTTAAAAAGGCTACTGAAATTGAATTTTAATGATATTGTTTAACGGAATTTTTTGTCTAACCAAGGTTAATCTGGTTTTTCAAAATTATTTTGAATACATATATTTGTCTCCCATGTTTTTTTGTTTCTCTGAGGTTGGCTTATTTTTCGTTTCAAATTAATACATATATACATGATTTTTTCTAATTTGTTTGGCATTTATTTTTTTACATGATTCTTTCTTTAGAACTTCTCTTATATTTTTGGTTCTACTTTTTTTCACTTAATTCTCGGCATGTATATTAATTAGAGCTCGGATTGGAAAAAATTGAATTAGAATTGAGATCTCAAAAAACCAGAAAAATCATCTTTCGATAATCTTGATTTCGAACAAAACTCGATAACCGAAATTTTAGTCAGAGAAACCTCTCAATCCGGGCTCTATTTTTACAATCATTTTTTAAAAATTTAATTGCCTTATTTTTAATTTAATTTGTTTTTTTTTTAAATAAATAATTAAATTTCATTTTATCTTTACGTAAATAAAGCATTTTTTTGCTTTAAATATTTTTTCTTAATTGATTAATTATTTTTAAGCTTTTTTAAAGAAATTATGGTCAATATTCAAGCATTTATAGCTTCTGTACAAAATTTGACTGGAGACGGTTTGGATTTTATTTTAAAATAAAAAATTTTTTTCCCCATTTTCTAGTCACAATTAACGAACTTGTTCATTTTTGTCGTAAATGGTTTGATGAGAATAGTGATAAACTTGATTTTGTTGAAGCTGATAATTTGTTTGAAAAATCGAAAAACATGGTAATTTTTTAATTTAGACCTTTAAAAAATTTGGCGCTGTGGTCTAGGTTTATGCGTTCAATCAAACTTTATGAGTCCAATCAAAAAATAATTGGATTTTTCTTAGTATTGCAAAATTGAGGTATGTTTCCAAAGCATTTCCTCATGTTCGGGATCTATGTCCACAGGGTCTAGCACCATTCCTTGCCCTATCCCTCGAAATTTCGGTATGTTATAGCCAATTTTTAAAAATTTCGAAAAAACAACTACGAAATTTCGAGGGATAGGGCAAGGAATGGTCCTAGACCCAGTGGGCATAGGTCCCATACATGAAGAAATGCTTTTGAACCATACCCCAATTTTGCAATACTAAGAAAAATCCAATTATTTGTTGATTGGACTCATAAACATTTTATTGGACGCATAAACTAGACCAGCGCCAAAAATTTGTCTTTATATCTAGTTGAACGCTAGAGAAAATAATGATGGAAAGAAGACTACTTCTCATGAAAGTTATGGTTGTCTAAACACTAGTGTTGGTTCTTCTGCTGGAAAGGTTTTTAATATTTTTCTATTTTTTATTCAATATTTTTAATTTTAGCAGCCTTTGAAACAAATTTCAATAGATGAAGAAGAGTATCAAAAACTTGTTTTATATAAAGAACATTTTCTCAAATTACTTGAAAAAGAAGGAGAAGATGAAATGAATTGTTCTCCACAACAATTATCTGAAAAGCTTACCTTATTTACTGAGGAATATTTTAAATTGTTAGGAAATGAAAACAATTCTGAGGTTTTTTAAATTTTTGTTTATTTCTGTCTATTTTGGGGTCTCCCTTGGAAAAGATTTACCAAATATAAAAATTTATTTATGGTTGTCGTTTTAGTAAATGAAAGCTTTTTTTTTGAAATTGTTTCCTGTGGATTTTTTAAAGGTTGCCGTTTTCGATTCGAGCCGACATTTTACGCATTTTTATTAAGCTTGGGTTTCTTTTCGGTCTGTGTTTGAGTTTTTTTTGAGCAGAAATATGCCGGCTCTAATCGTTCTTTTGATTTTCGAGTCGACCTTAATCTTAGCAAAAATGTGATTTATTTGTTTAAAATTTAGCCAGAAATTTCAATTGCTGAAGCTAACTTAAAAAAATGGAAAGGATTGGAAAAAGAATATATTCAATTAAAAGAAACCCGGGTAAGAATATTGGGTTTATTATCCATTTAACCTTATACTTTATAGTTACTTGATAAACCAAATTATATTTTGGGTGCAGATGGGGCACGTATTTTAATCAAAAAAGACGCAAATTTTTATGAGAAAATTTATGCTTTAATTCTAGAAAAATTTCAATTTACTTTAGTCACTGAAGATAATTCAAAGAAATGTCGTGTTGAAAAAATGAAATATGAATTATCTGAAATGTTTCTTGATATAGCTGAGGAATTTTTGGAAGAAGGTGATGGGGGACTGACATCGGAAATGGTTTTTTTTTAATTTTTAAAATATTATTTTTTGATTTTTTAGGCCTGGACAGCTTTTGCTCTTGAAATTATTTTGTTTTTCAAAGAATTTGGTATATTGTTTAAAGGGCATAAATCATTGCAAACATTAGCACGATATGCCGCTGAATGGTACTATAAACGATTCCCTGAACGATTTCCGCGTACATTTTTCAGAGGTCTTATGGATCACATCAATCGGTATTTTTTTTAATTTATCCCCTGTATTCAGGCCCGTGACCGGAAGGAGGGGGGATTTCCCCATTCCCGAAATGGGTAAAATGAAAATTTTTTAAAGGGGACTGAGGAAAAAAGTGAATTCTTAAAAATTTCGCCTGCGGCGCCAAAAATTCGGCGCAGAAAATTTTCCCCCTTGCTCCCCCTCCCGAAAAAATCCTGGTTATGTTGAAGGCTGAAATACTACTTTTATTATTACACTTCAGGTTACGGGCTGTCTGTGTTCTAATTGATTTTATAACTTTTCAGGTGTCTTAATAATTATTACAATGGGTATGGAACAACGCAAGAAGTATATAATTCTTTAATATACGTCCAAGACTTTTGTAAATATTTTAATCAAATCGACAAGAAGGCTTTTAAAAAGGAACTTGATCGTTTCCTTCCTATAGACAATCAACCAAAAAAATTCCGTCATATCTTTTTAAAAAAGAAGTCTCAAAAAATGGATGGAGATGGACCTGACACTTTTATTTATGAGGCTAGTGATTATCGTGAATTGTAGGCGTTGCTTGAAGAAAAGGATTGACATGGAAAAGAAAATAATCTCTGGCCATTTTCTACGTATAAAGAAAACTGAGACTCAAAATCGGGGGGGGGGGTGACATATCCATAAAGTACCTTTATTAGTTATCCAAAGCTAATCTTGTTTGTTTTAAATATTTATTTTTGAATTTAATTGTTTTTCTTTTTTTGTTTGACAGAGATTATTCTAATTCATTTTTCTTTTTAAATTAATCGAATTTTGTGTCCTACTGATATTTTCATGTTTCTTTCTTGGAATTTCTCTTTTTTCTCTCTTTCATTTTTTCCCGAAGTCTGTACATTTACAACCGGACATGGTCATGGATACGGATGTGGATACAGATAATACCAAAATGCCTACGGATATCCGCCTGTATCCGCCGTAAATATCAGGATACGGATACCAAAATCAGTATCCGTGACCATGTCTGTTTACAACAATTTTCTAAAGCTAACAATAAGTGCTTTATTCCAATTAATTTTATTTTTTAAAATAAATTTTACAAAATTTTCTGATCATCTTATTTAAATAGCATTTTCTTGCTTTAAATATTTTTTCTTAATTGATTAATTATTTTTATGATTTTTAAAGATAATTATTATGGTCAATATTCAAGCATTTATAGCTTCTGTACAAAATTTGACTGGAGACGGTTTATTTATTTAAAAAAATTTTTTCAATTTTTTCCTCATTTCTAGGTACAAGTAACGATCTTGTTCATTTTTGTCGTAAATGGTTCGACGAAAACAACGATAAACTCAATTTTGTTGAAGCTGATCGTTTATTAAATCAATTGGTGCAGTCTCAGACTTCAACGTCTTTTACTTTGGCAATTGTTTGTTGTTTGTTTTGCAAGGTTTTCTTTGAAAAAAATTTGTGAAATTATTTTTTGAATTTTTGTTAGGTGACAAAAGTGAAGACAGAAAATGAATTGAAAGATTTTTTGATTGGATTTGATGAGGTTCTTCCAAATTTTGATGTTCAACAATTGCATTGGGCGCCGGATATTTGTATATTAAATTTCTTTAATTTTATTTTTGTTATTTGGTTTAATGGGTTTCCGAAACTAATAGTGGAAATTTACAAAAATAAATCTAGAAAAACCTTGATTTTGGTCTTTCATCTTATTTTCTGTTAACAATCGTGATCTAATTTATTATCTTGATTATATCATGTGATAGATATACTATGATTTGTATTAAGGGGTCACCTAACGGATGATTAATAGGACGCTTATTGTTAGTCGTCTTCTCGGTAGATCAGTCAGTAAGGCATTTGAACGTTCTGAGCTCTATTCTTATTAGCAATGACTTTCCTGGGTCGACCCCTGTCTGGTGGTCGTCTCGGTAGCTTACGTCAGTTAATAATCAAGTTAACTAAATATATTAGTGACGAAAGACTAGTAATGCATACCAGAATGTCAAAGGATCGATCCTTGTCAGAGTGTGTAAATTCCTACAATTAGCTCCTAACTATTTTTCCTTTTTAAAATTTTAAATTTTTTTCCCTGTTAAGATAACCGTCTTCTCGAATTTACAACAGATTTGCTAATAAAAAAGAAAGTTGCAATTTGGGGAATAAATTTGTTAAGAACATCAATTTTAATTTTTACACAAGGAAATTCTAATTGGTTAACAAATATTCATCCACTTTTGTTTTGTTTGTGCCTCAAAGCTCGCTATTTTGATAATATTGAACCTTTCTTAAAAATTGATGTAACTCAATTATTGAAGCAATCATATAGTGCTGTTAGTTTTCAAACAAATCAACAGCAACAACAAATTGTTAGTGAGGTTTCTTTATTTAATAAAATAATTTTTTTATTTTTTTAAATTTTTGTCGAGTTAGAGGGAATGCTAAAAAATGGAGAATTATAAGCTTAAGAAATAAGGGTATATTAATTAAGTCGACAGAGGTGGTCGGAATTTCGATTTCCGACGTTTTTTTCCTTCCGATTTCCGAAAAAAATTTTCATTTCCGAGTTCCGACTTTTCAGCCAGTTCCGATTTCCGGTACCTCTGACTGTTCCGACCCACCTCTGAAACGTCTCCGTAGTTCCACAAGCCTAATAAGGGATAAGTAATTGGGCAAACTATTGGATGGGACGGGTTTTGCCCGGATGGGAATGGGGTTTTTTTATCTACATCCTAAACTCGATCTGAGAATACCTCGCTAAATTAAGGTTGGAGCAAAAAAAGGTTCACTTAAGAGAAAAAAACATCCCAAAATTCTCTATAGAAAATTCCCCCAATATTCGTTGGTGTAGTCGGAAAGTGTATTTTTTTTTAATTTTATTTGAAAAGTTTTTCCACAAAATCCTTAAAATTATTTAAAAAAAATTTTTTAAAGGTGACTTCGACTGATAATTCGAATACATCTACAACTCAACAACAACAACCGCCACAACCATCAACAACAACAACAGCTCCTACAAATTCGAGTAGTTTAACTTCGACAGCCGTTTCTTTCTTACAAAGAGGTTTTTTTGAAAAGAATTTTTTAAAAATTATTTTCTAATAGCTGTCAACACGGTTTCTGGAACTTTTGGCAATCCAAAAAGTGATGTACCTTGCAATAAACCTACTCTTCAAAGTTTGTTTTTTAATTTTAAATTTCTGGGGCTGTTTAAGGAAGGGGTGGGGGATTCTCACTGACTGGATTTTTCCGACTTTTCCCTAGTCAAAAGATATTTTTTGGATTTTAAAATAAATAAATTTTACGACAAACATTTAGGTGCTCTTTGTAGGTGAAAAAATAAATTTAGAAGAAATGGATATTTTTTAAATTTAATATTGCAAATTGTAACTAATAAATTTAGTTATTTTTTAATTTAAATCAAAAGGAATGATGAAAAATAAGGAAAAATTAGGAGAGCCCCCTCTCTTCCCCCCTCTCTACTCCCTTCTGCCCGTATTTTTAATAATACATTCCAAACATCTGCTTGCCCACTCAATGTTTTTTTTCACTTCATCACAGAGCCTATTCCTTCGGTAAAATCTTAAACTATGGACCGATTCAGATTTATGAGAAGCATTGAAATTATAACTAGTCCTTCTGAATAATAAAATCTTATCCAAGGTTTTAGACTCTGTGACAATTAGCTCGTGAAGCCTTATAAAATTTTTTTTATTTTTTAAGCAGTTGTTTTATTCAATCGACGTTCAATTCTATTATATTTTTATTATGGTGCTTTAATTTATGGAGCTTTGGAAAAATGGGAAGATTCGTGTTTATTTCTTGAGTATTTAATTACTTTGCCGTCAAAACGATGTTCTTCAATTATTTTGGAAGGATTGAAAAAATATTTAATTATATCTTTAATTATTGGACGCAAAAAACCTTTGGAGTTTGTTTTTTTTTATTTTTGGACCTTAAAAAATTTTTTTGACTTTGGAAATTTTTGGAAATTTTTTAAGGCCAAAAAAAATTTTTTTTGGACCTTTTAAATTAATTTTACGCTAAGCGGGTTCGAACCTTCACCCTATAAACTCAACATAATCCAACTACACCAACGAATTATTGAGAGAATTTTTATAGGGGGTTTTGGGTTATTTTCTATTTGGTGAAATTTTAATTGTAGTATTTTTGGAGTAATTTGGGGGCAAGTTGGATGGGTTGCCACTTTAACTTTTACTTGGTGAATGAAAGCTCCTTAGCAAAATAACTCTGGTGGATGAGGTTACAGGTCAACGATTGCCCGTTAATCATTAACAGTTTTAATGATTTTTCTTTTTTTTTCAAGATCAGTTATTGCTAGGAGTTTTCTCTGATCACGTATAGATATACATGCCCTATCAACTGAGAGGTCAAAACGCCGCTTTCGCCCTTCTATTTTTAATAGATTTTAGAAAATCTTGCGGATATCCCCATTAGAGGTGAGAGCATTGGGTTAAATTTTGGCGTTGCATTTTTCATGATTGCCTCCTGCGCTCACCCCTGCTCCTCATTTTTTGAAAATTTGCTAAAAAAATTCTTTTTTTTTTTCAAGAAAATACAAAGAAAAATAATTTTCTAAAAAAATTCTTTTTTTTTTTCAAGTTTATTGCCCTCTTACCGAACACCAAGTTTAAATCGTAATTATTATCATTATGCTCTAGTTTATATTCGTTTACCCCATTTAATTGAAAAAGCTTTGGAAGCCAAAAAAGATTTGGTTGTTGTTTTGGAAAATTTTTTGAATGATAAAATTGCTGTGTTTTCAAAGGTTTTTTTTAATTTAAAATTAAATTAATTAAATTTTTTTAAAGGATCAAAATGTTGGTCTAATGAAGGTGCTTATTAATGTTTCTCGTGAAAATGCATTGAAACGACTTGAGAATGTGAGGGTTTTTTTAAAATTTTTTAAAATTTATTAAGGGATTTTTGGGACTATTTTTGGATATTTTTTTGTGCTTTTTAAGAAAGAAAAAATTTTTTTGGGAAGTTTTGGTTTTGGATGAATTATAGAAGGGATATTTTGTCTATTTTCAAGAATAAAAATTTTTTTTGCACCTTTTAAGATATTTTTCCACCAGACGGGTTCGAACCTTTACCCTATAAACTAAACATTTTTTCCAACTCAACGAATTTTGAGTTATTTTATTTTAAAGAATTTTGGGGTTTTTTTGATATTTTTTAAAGGAAATAAATTTTTTTTTTGAAATAAATTTTTTTTGGTTTACAAAGGAACCTTTCGAACTTTGAGTAAAAATTTATAGATAAAAAATATACCATCGTGTATTTTAATTAATTTTTTTAAGATTTTTGTTTCTCTACAATTGAATGATGTTTGCCGTTTAGCTCATATGCCGTCTAATTTTAACAATGATGGTTTATTTTTTTTAATTAATTTTACTTTTATTTTTTAATATAGTCGGGACTTTACTATAAATTTAGAAACACCTCCATTTAAGGCATTTTTTTAAAAATTGAGTGAAACTGATTAGTCAACCTCATACAATTTTTTAAAATGCACCTAATGTCAGAGTAAACTATAGTTTCTTTTAAAAGGTAGATTGGCCTTTGGTGAGCTGGTTATGCAATAAATACACCTCTCTATTTATAGAATACCCCCAAAAATTTTAAATAAATTTTTTCCTTTAAAATTTATTGGGTGTTTTGTGGGAGAGGGTTAATCTAATATATGTAATAAGTAGGGTTGCCGGCCCGGTCCTGTCCAAAAGATCGAGTCGGGCAGCGAATTTTGGCCCGAAAAAGAAAAAATGAAGTCCGAAAAAGACGCCGGCCCTGTAAAAATAAGGCCCGAAAAAAATTGGGTTGGACTGCCGGCCCGACTCGAAAACGGCAACCCTAGTAATAAGCGATACCCTTTTATTTAAGAGACACTTAATTATAAGATTTTATTTTATTTTTTCAGTTCCATGAGGTTCCTTTTTTATAATAAGATTCGACTTTATATTTAAAAATTTATTGAAAAAAATTTTTTTCTTTTTTTTTAAAAAGGCTCTACAATAACTAATGTTGAACAATTAATTTTAAGTCTTCGTTTAAAAAATAAAATTAATGCACAAATTGATGATTTGACACAAACTGTTATTTTTGAAGAAGAAAATAATGAAAATAAAAATGAAGAAAATATAGATGAAGCAATGAATGAAATTATTGAATTATCTAAAGTTATACGTTCATTTAATGATGTTATTAGACTTAATCCAAATTTGTAAGTTGTTAAGTTTTTTTTTATTTAAGGCTGACCTTATGTATATGTCTGCGGTCAAATTAGATTTCAAGATAAATTTTATTTGGCCGGGCAAGTTGAATTCGGCCTGAAACTAAAGTTGGCGATCCTAGGAAATCCCCTGATATCCGTATCTGATATTCGAATCGAAAATTTCTGGTTATCCGGTTTTTTTTCGGATCCGGGACACAGTAAGTAGGTAATCGTGATGATGTGAATGAAAACGTGCTCTAAGTTAGAGTACATATTTTGTTGTGGGTACAAATAAGTGAGATTTTCAATTCGATTATATTCCATATTTTCCTCTTTCTTCCGTCTGTCTTTTATCAGAAAAATTATTAAGTGCCAGGGACGCATAATGGTAAGAGCTGATTGATCTGACCGTTATGCGTCTTTGACCAGTTGAAATTTTTTTTAGTTAAAGAAGGATAAATGAGTGAAAGGAAGTACTCGGATAGCCTTAAGACTTTTTTTCAATTTAAAAATTTTCAAAATTTTCTTTTTAGCATTGAGAAAGGCATTCAACGATCTAAAGGTGGTGGAGGTTGTTCTACTTCAATGACTGTTGGAGGAGGAGGAGGAAATAATGGTGGAGGGGGAACAAGTAATTTAAGAAATGATGGAATATTTGGAGGTGTAATTAGTGGTAATGAAGATGAAGGATTTTATTTGGGTGGAGGAATGGGTGGTAGTGGTGGAAGTGGGGGAGGAGGAGAACGTGGAGGAGGATCTCCTTAAAGGATTTAAAAATTAAACAAAAAAAAATTTTTTTTGTGGACGTAAGTATTTTTTAATTTTTTTCTGTTTCAAAAAATTGTATTAAATAAAGGAAAATCTGAATAAAATAAATCTGAGGCCAAATCTTTTAATTTTTGTGAATATTTTAAGGAAAAATTTAAAAAAAAAAAACAAAAATTAATGAAGAATCAAAGAGAATAAATACAGCGAGAGAGTGAATCCAAACAATCATTATGTAGATTTGATATTTTGCAGTACTATTAGAGTTTTCATATAAGACGACAACATTTGAAGATGAAGTTCTCATTTTTAGCTACGCGCTAAAGTTTTTTAAGCTTTTCATTCTCTCCTTTATGTATAACTTCCTTTTTTAATCTCCCCAGTGAATCATCAATAATGCACTGTGCTGTACCGGATCCGGCCGGATTTCTCCGAAGTCAGGATACCAAATCCGGGTTTTTTGCAATCTCCGGATTTTTTTCAGGACCGGTTTAATCCGAAAAAATTTGGCCATATCCGTAAGTATGAAATACTGGGGAGGAAAAGCTGGGAATGTCAGGCGACGACGGTCATCGTATATTGATGACGTGTTTCTAGACTTTACTTCATTAATGTTATTGAATCATTAGTCCTATTTCTTTACTCGTTTTAATATCTCGTTGAAAATTGTTTTATTTGATCTCTATCCGTCTTTAGTGAATTTTAGTGGAATTTTTTCTTTTACTGGGGGTTGATAGAAACGACTTTTGCCCCCTCTCATCTTTAATATTTTCAATGAATAATCCTTGGCTCTGAGCTAAAGTTTGAATTTTATTCCGCCCTTCTTACCTTCTATCTCTTCCTATCTTGACCCCATTCTACTCTTTTATGCCATTCAAAGTTAATAAAGTTGGGAAATGAATTTGTATATAAAACATCAAAATATCATAATTAAAGAGTCATTTAAAAAAAAAGAAAAAAATTACTTCATCACTGCTGATATTAAATAAAAATTTATCAGAATATTTTAATTTTTTTTAAATTTTTATTATTAAGGATAAAAAAAATAAATATACTACAAATCTACTTTTTAAAATACTCAATTTTTATTATCATGTCTACAGCAATAACTTTTGGTTTGATTGTTCTGGTGTTTATACTTCATCTAAAGATGGAGTACTACTTGTATATACTACTTTAAAATAATATAAATAAAAAAAAAACATTTTTTTAAGCGAAAATAAATTTGTGAGGCTAGAGGACAATTTTGAGAATAAACTGGTAAAGCTGGAGGACAATTTGTAATACTTTAAAATAATATATAAATATAAACGGGACTCCGATTTGGAATTTTTACAAATCCGCAATTTTTAAAGATAAGGTAATAGTAATGTTTATATTCCCCCTTTTTCGAAATCCCCGACGATGTTGAGCTTTTTTGCTTTAACTATTATTTATCATATATCATTCGACCCAGCTCTTCGAGCTGGGTCGAATGATATCATAATTGGTTTGATTTGGCGATTCTAAACGAAATTATGAAGCTGATTCCTTGCTTGAAAGACTATGTGTTACTGCAGGCGATTAAAACAAACGGTCATAACTAAGATGCTATAAGTCATTTCACTGAATTTAGTGTCATTCAACTAAGCTTGAAGAGCTCTTGGAACTTATATGGTTTGGGTACTCTTTTTTAGCCACGCCCTTTTTTCCTTTTCCTTCATCAATCAACCTTAATATGGACAGAATGGTCAGCCTTTCTTTCTTCCTCGATTTTACTTAACTTTTCCTGTGGCATTTTCAGTGAGAGACATTAACAATGAAAAGATTAATTTTCCTTTCCAATTTCACCAAAATTGAATTAACATTTGAATCAATATTCTTATTTTTATCTATTTCAATTATTTAAATGCCAATAGGTATCCCGGTTCTACGTTTTGGAACTAATGGTCCCGTATTTTATTGTGTTTTCCAGTTTTTGCATGTTTAAAATCATATTTTTTACAAAATGCCGACCGTTTTACCTCTTTTTAGAAATTTTTGGACCCCAGTAATTCAGCTCAGAGATCTCACGGACCGAGTTTAGTGCCATACGTCTCAGCCCAGCTCTATGAGTCATCCGAGTCAGCTCTATTTCTCTCTTTATTTTAAACAAAAAATTGACCTCAACTCAATTGATTGATGGTTGAGAGGGAAAAAGAGTAAAAGAATAATGATCGAAAAGGAAAAAAGGGCGTGGCTAAAAAAAGAGTACCCAAACCATATAAGTTCCGAGCTCTTTCGGATGACATAATTTGCCAAAAAAGGGAACAGATGCCACAAATGTGTTTGGGAAAAGGAGGGGGGATAAACACTACTATTACAATTTTCTGCTAAATGGAAATGTATTTAAATTTAATGTTTCCATAATTGATAAAAAAAATTGAAAATACGGAGCAATTATTTTAATAACTTGAAATATAATTTAATAATTAAAAAATTCTTTTAGTCAAAAAAATTATCATGTTTGTTATAAACGAATGGATACTTTAGAATATAATTTTTTTGAGCAAAAAAGTGAAAGGTATATATATAATTTAATCAAATTAATCAACTAAAAAATATTTTTTAGTAAAGAACAATTTACTAAATTATTATTTAAAATCGAAATGATCCAAAGGGATCTGACTTTTCAGAATGAGAAAATAACGAAATTGGCAACTGAAATCAAATTATTAAAACAAAAGGTTGGTTAAAAATCAAAACTTTGAGAGGGTATAGGCTAGCCTCGGTTTATATCAATTGGTATATATGATTGGCTGTTCGGTATATACACAGCAGGGTTGCCGCCCGAAACCCGAAACCCGGCATTTTTTGTACCCGATACCCGAAACCCGTACCCGATATTTTTGCCAACCCGAAACCCGTGACCCGAAATGAAAACGCTCCAACCCGAAACCCGTACCCGAAGATTTTTTGTACCCGCGGAAACCTGATACACAACATAGTTTGGTTTCTCACTAAAAAAATTTCCACCTCCACACTTTCCACTAGAGAGCAAAAAGCAGCAGAAATCTTTTGTGGCAGACACCTTCTCCCAATCTAACGATTCCTGTTTTTTCTTGAAAATAAGTCCTGCAATCCTTTTATTTAGGAGGGTGGGTGGGTTGGAGGGGGGGGGGTTTTACAAAAATTGAGGGGGTTTGGTAATAGTTTGGTTTAGACCACCCGTTTTTTTCCTGATTTGTTTTCGGCAACTAATTTCGGCAGATTTACGGCAGTACTTCGAGCTGAGTCGAATATTACTAAAATCAACTAAATTTGACTTTAAACAACAAAATTATAACCATTTGTTTTTAACCTTTCCAGCAGCCGGCTCTCGTGTTAGATTACATATAAAAAGCTCAAAATGGTCAGGGAAGAATGGGTGTTACTAATTAGTTTCCCTCCCCCAGTCAATTTTTTTGGAAAATATGTAAAAATGGACAGTCTGAACAACATTGTAGAACCCACCGAGCTGTGTCGACTCAGCTCCACGAGCTTTTTCGAATGAGCTATCATTTGTATATACTTTCACCCTTATGGTTTTCGCCCCTGCGGTTGTTCAATTTTCAAGGGTCTGTATCTTGGTCCAATCAAGTCGGCTTTTGTCGATTTTGGTGTGATTCGACTCGGTTTGATGTGTTCTACATTTCTTGTTCAGACTGTTCATTTTTACACATTTTTCAAAAAAATTGACTGGGGGAGGGAAACTAAATAAGTACTGGATGAGTTCCTAAACCAAACTATTACCTAAAATTTTAACATTTTTAAATCTATATATATTTTTACTATTCTCTTTTCACACTTTAAATATTTTTTTAATTATGCTTAATGTATTATTTTTTTTTTAAAAATTTCTCGTTCTAAAATTGTTTTTTTTTTCTAAAAATAGTTTTTTTTGATAAAATTTAATACATTGCGGCATAGTATAAATTTTAAGGTAACTTCGTCGACAATTATTTACAATATTTTAGAAAAGTTAAGTTCTTACGTACCCGGACTCTCATGGCTTATGACTTAAGTTATACAAAAAGTTTTCTTAAACTGGCTCTATATGAAATGACTTTTTCTATAATTCAAGTTATTGTTTGTTGTTGTTTTCTAGATTAAAAAAAAATTTTCTTTCTAATCCATTTTTTACATCCTCTCAAAATCTATTTTCTAAAAGACCTCTTTATTTTTTTAAATATATACTTTAGACGTGTATTTTTTTATATATAATTCTATATATAGACTAAGAGATGGTTCGGATCTCTTTTTAAAATTTGAAAGTCAAAAATTCCTTACTTCAAAAAATTCCTTACTTCAAAAAATTTCTTAATTCAAAAAATTCCTAAATTATTTGCTTTATTTTTATAAAAAGAATCAAAACCCCTCTTAGTCTGGCTATTAAATATTCTTTTATTTTCTTGTGTTATCTGAAAAAATTCGGCTGTATATGAAAGGAATGCGGCACTCAATTTTTTTTCCTTATTCTTAAAAACGGTTAATTTTCTTTTATTTTTCTCTCTATTTTTGATTTTTGCCTAAGACTACATATAAATGCAGGATTAATTTTCTTTTTTTTATTTCGTTCGTTTGACTGACCGATGTGTGTCCGTGTTTTGACTGACCGAGTTCGTCCGTGTTTGTCTGTCTGTGTTCGTCCGAGTTTTGTCAATACGACACATCGGTTAGTTAAAGGACGGACACATATCGGTCAGTCAAACTGACAAACACGGACGAACCCGGACAGACAAACTCGGACGAACACAGACAGACAAACACGGACGAACTCGGTCAGTCAAAACACGGACACACATCGGTCAGTCAAACGAACGAAATAAAAAAAAGAAAATTAACCGTTTTTAAGAATAAGGGGAAAAAATTGAGTGCCGCATTCCTTTCATATACAGCCAAAAATTCGGTATAGGTATATATTTCTATCCGGTATATAATTCTAATTTCTATAATTCTTCCGTGTAAAAAGAATGAAGTGCGTGAATATTTTTTAAATTATTTATACTACCAAAAATTATTTTTTTATTTGTAAATTTCTTTTTTTAATTTATTTTTACATTTTTTACATAAATAAATTTATAAATATTTGAAAACAAATATAAATAGTACATAGGTGTGTCCCGAAATAAATGTTAAAAAGAGAATGCTCAAGTCCAAAAATGCGAAATCCGCGAAATGCGAAACTGTTACAGCCCTTATACACAAATATTAATTGTCTTCATCCCTGTTATTAATGCCACCATTCCTATTATTTAATGTTGGCTACAAATTATAAAGCTTATCCGAAGCTTGCTTTTTTCGCTGATGAGGTTTTTACCTCGATTCTTTGATTTTGGTCGAGGAGCTTGACTAGATTCTAAGCTAATATTGTATCACAGACGCTTCTCAATCTTGACTATGTATCCAGGAAAAATTAAAGGCTTGATTTAAATCTCTGAGCCGGTCGCTGATGAGGTCCTTTTTGAAAATATATATTTATGGAAAACACTAAAAATTCTGATTTTTGTATTTTTATAAATATTTAATTGAGAGATTCTGATTTCTAGAAGGAAGGAGGAAATTCTCTAGAAGGAAATTCTGATTTAAAAATTAAATTCTGGTTTTTAATATTCTGGTTATAAAATTCTGATTTTAAAAAATATTCTGATTTAACAGAATTCTGGTGTTTAATATTCTGATTTTCTGGTTTAAATTCTGGTTTAAGAAAAAATTCTGATTGTAAGGAAAAAATTCTGATTGTAAGGAAAAAATTCTGATATAAAAAAGAAATTCTGATTTAACATACTTCTGATTTCAAGGAAAAATTCTCTGCAAATAATATTTTTTGGCTTACCTATAAATTAAGGAATTTTTTAAAAATAAAATAAAAAGATTCCTTTGGTTCTTTCACAAATAAAAATTTTTTTCAGTAAACAAATAATAAAAAAGATAAGAAAAATTTTTTAAAAGAGAAAGAGAAGGGTGGTTTGGCTTTTTTAACTAAATTTATGGGTAATTAATTTAAAAAATTAATTTTTAATAAAATAAAAAAATTCTTTTTTTGTGTATTTTAAAAGAAAATAAATAGAAAAGGAAAGGATGCAAAATATTGGCCAACACAAATATCATTATTATTTTGATTGTCTTCCAGAAGGGGAGGAGGAACAATTGCAGCAACAGACATCAAATTATTATATGGGAGGTAATAAATATTCTGATTTTTAAATTAGAAAATACTGAATTTGGGAAAATTCTGATTTTGGAAATATTCTGATTTTTTAAAAGAAATTCTGATTATTTTTAATATTCTGATTTTTAAAATTCTGACTTGTGAGAATATTCTGGTTTTTTAAGAATATTCTGGTTTTTTAAAAATTATAGTTTTTTAAAAATTCTGATTTTTTAATAAATTCTGATTTTAAAAAATTCTGATTCTCAACAAAATTCTGATTTTACTAATATTCTGATTTTTAATTCATAAATTTCTGATTTTTAAAATTCTGATTTGTGGAAATATTCTGGTTTTTAAAATTTCTGGTTTTTAAGAAATTCTGATTCTTTTAATTCTGATTTTTAATTAATAAATATTTTCAGAAAACAGAATTAATTATGGATATGAATCGAATGAAACAAGTAATTCAACTCCTCCAATATTTACTTTAAAATTTTTACCCTCTTCATCAACTAATATTTTTGGAGGAGAAGAAGGAAATTTTAAAACATGGAGTGGTGGTGCGGGTGTTTCTGCTATTACTGTAAATAATAAATTGGTGAATAAAAAATTATTTTTATATTTTTAGGAAAATTTTAAAAAAATTTTCAGAAATTTTTTAGAAATTTTTTTGAAGTTTTTAAAGAAAATTTTAGCATGCAGAGTTTGTCTCTCTTATGTAAATATACATAGACGTGTACTATTTCTCTCTGTCTAACCATAATTTAATAAAAATATTTTCCGGAAGGATTATTTTCCGGAAATGTTTTGGCTCCCATACAAAACATAAATTCTTAAAACATCAAACTCTCAAAATATCTAGACGAGTAAAAAATCTCAAAACATATTCTCTCAAAACATCAAACTCTTAAAATATATTTACGGGTAAAATATCTCAAAATATCAAAATATATTTTTTAATTAAAAGGGACAGTTGAGTCCCATATTTCTTCCTTGTATCAGGGGTGAATATATTTTAAGATGTAGTACTTCAGGACCAATTTTGCATGAGTTCGACGAGCTGAATCAAGTGAAACCAAAATCAGCTCGATTGGACGCTTCTGAACAAAGTTATGACCAACAGAATCTTCGCTGGAAAAACTGTTTTTGTGCTGCTACGGAGGGTAGGCCGGGCATGGTCTTCGCTACACGATGGCCGTGCTTCGCTGCGGTCGTGCTCGCTTCGCTCGCGGCGACCGTAGCGAAGCGGCGGCCGTCGTTCCGCTCGACATGCCCGGCTTCCTCCGCAGCGGCGAAAACTTTTTTCTGCGGACTCAACTGTCCCTTTTAATTGAAAAAATATATTTTGATATTTTGAGATATTTTACCCGTAAATATATTTTAAGAGTTTGACGTTTTAAGAAAATATATTTTTAGATTTTATAGCCGTCTAGATATTTTGAGATTCTTTAACCGTCTAGATATTTTGAGCTTTTTTACTCGTCTAGATATTTTAAGAGTTTGATGTTTTGAGCGGGCACGAATGTTTTGACAGAGAAAAAGCGAGAGAGTGCACAACGCTGTAGTAATGTATAAGAGAGACAAGTAGAAGGCAGAGACATTTTTTCGAAAATTTTTTTTTGAAAATTTTTCAAATTTCTTTAAAATTCCCTTAGGCAACAATTAAAAATTCAAATGAAAATTCTGATTTACGTAAAATCGGCAGATTTGTATTACAAAAATCAGAAGATGAACAACCCCAAACAATAATTAAAGAAAATAAAATTAGCAATGGAAGGGAATTAATTAATAATTTAATAAATAACAACATAAAAGAGCGGTCAAAATATTTTGATGACATTATGTCCCAACAAAAAAGCCTTACAATTTTTCAGCAATATGCTAGGTGTTTTTTTTTATTAATTTTTTTAATAGGGGGGGGGGGGTCTGAGGTCTCCCTTTTTGGAGATTCAGGGGCTCTCAAGGAGTTTCTACTACTTTTGGGGCGATGACGGGTCAAAAAAATTTTTTTCTTAAAGGTTCCACAATCAATTTGGAATAAGACATGTTTTGTTAATTTTATTATTAGTGCTGTATGCAATTTTTGGTGGTATAATGTTTCAGGTGGTTAAAAGGAAAATTTGATGGAAAAAATTTATAAAAAATTTTTAAAAATTTTTTGGAATTTTTTTTCAAGTTTTAGAGTCAAAAAAAAATTTTTTTTTGAATTTTTAAAAAAATTTTCAGAAAAAAATTTGAAAAAAAAATTTCAAATTTTAGTGGAAATTAGCTAATAATTAAATTTTAATAAATTTTTTGAAGGCAATAGAGCGTGATAATGAAATTGAAAATGTCCATACAACAACAAAAATAATTGATAAATTAATTATTAAAATTAAAAATGTAGGAAATATTTTTTAAATTTATAAAAAAAATTTTTTAAAGAATATTTCGATGATTTTCTTTATACAACCAACTTCAAGACAATCAGAAAAAATTAATGAAATAATTGTGTAGGTATTTTAATCTGAAAAAAATATTTTTTTGAATTTTAGTGATGGATATACTGAAATGTTGAAGGTAAACTGTTAAAAAAATTTTTTGAAAATTTTTTGGAATTTTTAAATGAAATTTTTAAGTGTCCAGAGTTTGTCTCTCTTATGCAAATGTACATAGACGTGTACTATTTCCCTTTTTGTCTGACCATAATTTAATTTATTTATTTTCCGGAAAGATATTTTCCGGAAATGTTTTGACAGAGAAAAAGCGAGAGAGTGCACAACGCTGTAGAAATGTATAAGAGAGACAAGTAGAAGGCAGAGACATTTTTTGAAAAAAAAATTTTTAAAAAATTTTTTCAATTCGAAATTTTTTTCTATTATTTAAAAAACCTCCTAGATTGAAGGAAGATATATTGGTTCAGTATTTCACAAATACGAGACTTTGGCCCTTAATAGTGTTCTAAATTGGTATTTTGGGTCTTCTGTATTTTACGGTTTCTTTTGAAAATTTTTTTGACAAAAATTTTTTTTTAAATTTTTTAAACAGCTATGACTCTTTTTACAACAATAGGTAAATTAAAAAAATAATTTTGAAATTTTTTTCTCTAAATTAGGTTATGGAACAATTGCTTGTCAAACTGCTCTCGGAAAATTTGTAAGAAAATTTTTTTTGAAAATTTGTGAGGCCTTATAAAAAAATTCAAAAAATGTCTAAATCGCTTCTATTATTAATTTTTAGTTATATTTTAAATATAAATCAGAAAAAAATGTTTGGGCCCCAAGCGGGTTCGAACCTCCGACCCCCTTCCTCTGAAAATTTTTTTTAATTTTGAAAATTTTTATTTTAATTTTTTTTATTTTTAGGCTTCTATCGTTTATGCGTATACTTTATTTTATTCGAAAAATTAATTTTGTAAAAATTATAGTCTGTTTGGCATTCCCATGATGTTAATGGTACTTGGGGATGTTGGGCAATTAATACTTGGATTTCTTTTGTATTGCCGTAAAAGTGTTAGAGAATATTATCGGTAAGAAATAAATTTTTATTGTTTACAATTAGTAATTGTTACTTTTTTTTATTAAAAATTCAGAATAACACAGAAAAAAATGTTTGGGCGCCGAACGGGTTCGAACCATCGACCCCCTAATTTTTTTAAAATTTCTGTGAGGCCTCTCAAAAATTCAAAATATTTTTTAAATCGCCTCTTTTATTATTTTTTTAATTTATCATTCAAAATAATACAGAAAAAATGTTCGGGCGCCCAACGGATTCGAACCTTATACCCATTTTATTAATTTCTCCCTTATAGGAAATAACGTTTGCACTTAACCACAAAATTTTTAAATTAAAAATTTATTTAAAAATTAATTTACATTAAAATTAATAACTTTACTTTAAAATAGCTTTAAATTTAATTTTTATTTCAAAAAATAGAGCAGAATCTTGGCTAAAAAATAGCTCAAAAATGGAACAAAAATCTTTATTTTTCGTAAAGTTATGAATTTTTATATGGGTTGAGGTCATAATTTTTAATGTGATTTTAGGTTATTTTTAGGCTGTTTTTGACGTTTATTTTGATGAATTTGGGTGGAATTAAATATTAATTTGTAGCCCGGATTCTGCTCTATTTTTTGATATAAAAAGAAAATTTTTATTGAATTTTTAAAATTAAAAAGAAATTTTTAAAGTCGTTGGTTACTGCGCGCCTATGTTTCTGATATTATTATTGAAGAAGATATTGAATCAAAAATTGTCGAAAAAAGTAAATTAGAAGAGGGGGAAGGGGAGGAGGAAGAAGAAGAATTGTCTCTTTCATTATTATTACCCATTGTTGCAATTTATATTTTATTTGTTTCAACTATAGTATCTCTTCTAGATTGGAGTAAAGATGGAAAGTTGTTAATTGGAGGTTTAGGTTTTGGAGATGCTTTTTATTTTTCGTTTGTTTATTTCTTGATTTTTGAAGCCTAGAAAATTCTGAAATTTTTAAAAAATTTTTTTGAAATTTTTAAAAAATTTTTAAAAAAATTTTCCCTCATTTTTTCCAGCTTCCTTTCTCTAGCTACCATAGGCTTGGGCGATGTTATGCCTTATAATTTGCAATATACTCCCTTATTGGCCTTTTTATTTCTTGCAGGACTTGCTCTATTAAGTCTAGTTAACTCTACTGTATGTTAAGAAAAAATTTTTTATTGAAAAAAATGTTTTTTCCCTCCAAGATTTACGTTCGCCTTCAAAACCGTTTTCTTGCAATAATGGATTGTTTGGAAGATTTTCTCGAAAAAGTTCAATATAACAACCAAAAATCGTTGGAAGGATATTTTACATTTATATCACTCGCTCCGAGTATTAAGGCAAATTTTTAAAATTTTTTAAAGAAAATTTTTGATATGCAGATTGTGTCTCTCTTATATAAATGTACATAGGCATGCACTATTTCATTCTTTGTCTAACCAAAATTAATTAATTTATTTTCCGGAAAAGAAAGTTTCCGGAAAATTTTGTCAGAGAAAAGCGAGAGAGTGTATAACGCTGTAGTAAAGTATAAGAGAGACAAGTAAAGGCAGAGAAAATTTTTTGAAAAAAATTCTTTAAAATTTTTGAAAATTTTTTTCTTAAGTTTTTGGCGACAGCCCTTCCCTTAAATTTTTTACAAGACGAAAAACAACAAAATAATCTGAATAATACAACAAATCAAAGACATAAGCGTTGCCGTTCAAAGTCAATGAATGCAGTTGGGGATAGAAGGATGAAGGAATATAATCAAAGAGAAAGTCATCAATCAACAATAACGACTACAGCTTCAAATTTTCGTCCAACATTGGGGGTAATGACTGCAGCAACTACTTCCCCACGTATTTCAAGACAGTCAACATTTAATGTGGGGGGAACAACAGAATTTAATAATTTTAAGAGAAGAAGGATGTCAAAAGATGGGGGACAGCTTTTATTAAATAGAGCTCCCGGGGGTGAGAAAAAATTTTTTTTAATTCCAGAAAAATTTTTTAGTAAATTTTTAATTAATTTTGGAGCTTAAATTTAACCAAAATAGGACAAAAATAAAAAGAATGACAGAGGTTGAGTTGGTTGAGTGGTAACGTTCTAGCCTTTCAGGCTAGTAGGTGGAAGGATCGAGTCCTTTTGGTAGCAGATTTTTTCTTTTGCCTCCCAAATAATTTTTAAAAAATTTTTAATTCCAGAAAAATTTTTTAGTAAATTTTTAATTAATTTTGGAGCTAAAATTAAGCAAAGTAGGCGAAAATAAAAAAAAAGTATGGGAGAGGTTTAGTTGGTTAAGTGGTAACGCTCTTGCCTTTCAGGCTAAGGGGTGGAAGGTTCGAGTCCGTTTGGTTATAATCTTTTTTCTTTTGCTTCCCAAATATTTTTAAAAAATTTCAATTATTGAAAATGTTTTTACTAAATTTTTAATTAATTTTGGAGCTTAAATTAACCAAATTTTGTTGAAAATAAAAAAAGGAATGACAGAGGTTGAGTTAGTTGAGTGGTAACGTTCTTGCCTTTCTTTCTAGGAGGTGGAAGGTTCGAGTCCTTTTGGTTGTAACTTTTTCCTTTTGCTTCCCAAATATTTTTAAAAAAATTTTTTAACTTCCAAAAAATTTTTGAGAATTTTTTAATTAATTTTGAAGCTTAAAATAAAGCAAATTAGGAAGGAAAAAAAGAAACATTGGGAGAGGGTGTTTGGTTGAGTGGTAGCATTCTTGCCTTTCAGGCTAGGAGGTGGAAGGTTCGAGTCCATTTGGTTGTAAACTTTTTTCTTTTGCATCCCAAATATTTTTAAAAAAATTTTAATTATTGAAAAATGTTTTTACTAAATTTTTAATTAATTTTGGAGCTTAAATTAACCAAATTTTGTTGAAAATAAAAAAAGGAATGACAGAGGTTGAGTTAGTTGAGTGGTAACGTTCTTGCCTTTCAGGCTAGGAGGTGGAAGGTTCGAGTCCACTTGGTTGTAAACTTTTTTCTTTTGCTTCCCAAATATTTTTAAAAAATTTTTTAACTTCCAAAAATTTTTTGAAAATTTTTAGAAAATTTTTTTTTTCAAAATTTTTAATAGATTTTTGATTTTTAAAAATTATATTAATTTATAAGATATGCGTAAAAGAGCAACAACTATATCACATGATGGAGCTTCTTCTACCGAAAACAAAAATGTTATAAAATTGGATAAAAGAAGAACAAGTATAGATAATGAAAGAATAAATATTGAAAATGTTAAAATTAAAGAAAATTTAATTAAAAATAAAAGAGAGGAGGAAGAAGAAAATCAACACCACCAACTTTTATTGTCTGCTAAAGGGTTATTACTTCGTTGGGCTGATCAACAACAACAGGGAAAAGAGGAGGAAGGAAAGGAAGAAGAAAAAGATTTTTATAATTATTATTATTCCCCATCTAAACCAACAACTTCAATGCAAAGAAGAATTTACTCTAGAAGAGGGTCAAGAGATGTAGGAAATAATAATAATTCTTCGATGCCTTGTGGATGGATAAAAAATATGAATAATCAACAACAACAAAAAGAGAATGATTAAATTTATTTTAAATTATAGTCGAGAACTGTATTTATAAATACACCCTTGGAGATAAAAAAATTGTGTTATACCTATTAGAGATCGAGCTGGACTTGGACCAAGGCCTGGGTTTTTCCTGTACCCAGAGTCCAGGTACAGGAATTTTTTACCCTTCCTGGGCCAGGGTCTTTCCCGGACTACAGGCCCAGGATCCGGCCAAAGTCAATAAATCAAACTCCAGAGTCCAGGAACAGGTCCAGGCTTTTCAAAAATCTCGATCTTTAATACCTATTGGCTTCTTCACCCATTAGCCATAGGCTGTATCACAATATTTATACAATGTTTCTATTAAATTCCGATTTGTATTTAAATGTTTTAAAGAATTTGGTCGGCTAACTTTCTTATTTTTTCAATCCGGATAACTCTTAAATCATTTAAAAGCCTTCGATAAGCGCTATCTTTTCTTGAACTGATTAAATCAAGTCTGATTACTCAAAAGAGGTTACAAACCGATGACTGTCAAAAACAACGATTTCTTGTACTTATCGAGTTGTAACTTTTTAATAATCGGTCAGGCTTGATCTATACAGTTGGAAAAGATGTACCGCTTACCAAGGGCTTTCGAATGATATAAAAATCATTAAAATTGGATAAGGCTAAAAAAAAGTTACAGTCGATCAATTAATTGGCAGGCACTCAGTTTGCCGCTCTCAATTGTCCAAAAAAATTTTTACCACTTTGATATTGTTGTTTTGGTAATTTCGTTTTGTCGAATATTACTTGGTTAATTTTTTTTGTTTTTTACTATTTGCTTTTTAGTTGTTCGATTTTTTCGTTTTTTGCACATTTCCCAGATTTAGAATTAGCGCTAAACAAAGAGGGTCAGGCCCGCATTAGGCTTCTTAAGATAGATAAAGACGCCAATAATAGTTTTGATTTAAAACATACACAGGGAAAATCGCGTTCGCGTGTTTCCACATGCGGAAGTAACTTGGGGGGCTAAAACTAATTGTAAGCTTTAAGTAAGCTTGCGTGAGAACTTCCGCATGAATAATCCCGTACTTCCGCAAAGCGAATAACTGCAGGATTGCGGGAGCGTTATTTCACAAAATCCCGCGCGAGATCCCGTCCCGCACCGGTCGCCATTTTTCTAAACCTTCGTGTATCTCTATTAGGCTTTTTAACCCAATTCGTTTTATCATTTTTAGAGCTTTAAAATGCTGACTCATAAATTACGAAGGCGTGTTACTCGTTTTGGAGAACGTCCTCGAGACATTCGTCAGGCTGGTTTTTTATTGGAAGGAAAGCCTATAACATATGAAGATCTTCGATTTGAGGTTTTTGATTTTTTAAAATATTTTTATTTAAAAGCCGGTTTGTTTTTGATATGTATTGTCTGTCAGGAGAGGTGTCGACGATAACTGGGTTTGCGGGTTGAGTAGGATTACAAAGTGTACAACCAAAGTAGGCGTGCGACCAAGTAGCGTGCGATCAAACTTCAAGTTTCCGAATCTTTTAAAATTTAGTAATAAACTATTCCTCTTATCGGGCTAAAGAGATTGATACCAAAATTGTTAAGGTCCAGAAATTTTCCAGTTAATTACGGCTTTGCGCCTACTTGGCCGCGCGCTTACTTGGACGTTTCTCGATTGCAAGGCTGATTTTTCCGATTACAAAGCCGTAACCGCTGCAATTGTCGTCTTGTCTTCTTTCCTTAGGATAGACACTAAAGAGGGTTTAAGTGTCATATTATCATAAATGTATTTTGTTATAGGCTAATAGGAGAACGGGAAGAATCTTGAAGTCTTGAAGTGTTTGATTTAAAAAAGGATAGTTGGTTAGAAAAGGTTGGAGGAAAAGACCAACTCATCTCTTTATATGTGCCTCAAATTGTGCTTAGATTAGACTATTTCTTTGTGTTTTTGAAATCTTTCTTTTTTTAGCGTGCATTAGCTTACAATCTTGACATTTCAAATGAAATTGTTGTTGGAACGCCAAAAGTAATTGAACGCAACTCATCTTCATTGTCTTCATATTCTTCATCTGATCAAAATAAAAAACTGCTTAAACGCCCTAGAAACAAAAAATCAAAGAAGAAGGCGAAAAATACTTGGGCAGAAGACGAAGCTGTTGCTAAAGAATTGCAAAGATTTAATAATGAGGTTTGTTTCTCCATTATTTTTATTTTTAAGGAAGGAATAATGAAGGGATGTGAGGGGAACGAAGCTTGAAGTTACCTAGCTTTTTTTGTTGTTGATAACATTTTGTCCGTATTTTGGCGAGAAATACAAATCACGACCTGGGATATGACTCATTTTCGCTCCTTTAACCATTTTCGGTCCTTTAACCATTTTGGATCCTCTAACCTTGATGTGATTCCGAACTTGTAATTTAGAAAAACAGTCCCAGGAAACTCCAATTAACTATAAAAAACTTTTGAAAGTTCTGGGACCTCAGAGAAGATTCTCAGATCTTACCCCAATACAGCTCTGTTTCAAATCTAGACATCGACTTCTAGATGTTGACAAAATCGTTGCTTACTCAAGATCAGTACTTGAAATCGAGATTAAGTGTTTTCAGATTCTTTGTTCTCTAGAGAAGAGTTTCTGACACGATTGATTTTCCGTTTCTAAGAAATTTGATTTTCTTTTCTAAAAAGTTAAACTTTCTTTTTGGCAATCATCTAGTATTAAATAATTTAATAAAACATTTTTTATTTTACTAGTTTGATGAAATTGATGACTTTCAATTGTTGACAGAAGAGGCGCCACGTGATTTTTATGTTATTAAAAAACGAAAGAGGACAACTCCAAAGGAGCTGCAACAAATTAATGGTCCGTTTTAATGCTTTTTTTAATTTCTAGGGTGTGGTTCTATTCTAAAGGACTTTTTTGGGGTTGGAAGGATTTTTTGTTGGTACACTTCCAAGTTCCCTGGTATCGCTGGATGTACGTTTAGAAGCGAATCGCCACAATCTCTATATAACGTCGTCCTTTGGGTTGAATTTTGCCTTTGTAAGAATGGAAGTGATTTAGGGGAGTACGAGTTTATGGGAAGTTTCTTCCCACTGTATCTCTCTAGCCTAACTATAATACTTGAGCGTAGTCAGGATTTAGGCTTCTCGATGGCCTCCCCTCCCTATGAACAGCTTCCATTCCCTAAGATTTTCTGACATGGGTTGACTTATTTTATTAATTCCTTTATTATTAATATCTTTAAACCAGGGTTCGGATCGACAAAATTCCAATCTAAAGTAGAAAAATCTCGATTTTAAAGTATATAGGGAGAAAATTTCCAAATATAAAGTATAATCCAAATTAAATTAGAAAATATTTTTTCGTGCCCATATTTTCTATATTTTTCTCTAAATGAATCTTTTCTAATAATTTCTTGTTTCTAATGAGCATTTTGTGCATTTCAATGCGCTTTTTGCGGCGCAGAAGGCGCCACAAAAAAGATTTTCAAATCCAGAATTGCGCCGCAGGCAAAAATTTTTTAAATTTTAGAAGGCCATAAGCCAAAAAATTTACTTTTTTGGCGCCGCAGGCGAAATTTTATGAATTTTGGAGGTCCTTAAGCTAGATTTCTTCCATTTTTTCCTTTGAATAAAGTAGAAAACCAATTTCGTAAGTATGGAGGTCGATTTCAAAGTAGAATACTTTCAAATAAAGTATGAATCCGAACCCTGCTTTAAACGTTCTTTTGAATAATTGGCTCATTGTTAGGAGAAATCGGTCCCTGTTTGGTTCCCCTAACCCCTCTTAACATAAATTCTTTGTTTTTTTTCTAGAACCAGTTGTTACAGCAGAATCTTCTCTCTTCTTTTCTAAACAAGATTCAACACAATTTACTTTGAACGACACGCCTCTTCCTCCACAACAACAACAAGAAGAAAATTTGTCAGCAAATATTTCTGATGAAAATGAAATTGTGCCAGAATCTCCAATTTTAAACAATTCGCCAATTTTCAAAGATATCCAAGAACAACAACAATTTGCTTCAATTTCTTTAAAATCTCCAACATTGTTGGAAGAAACTACTCAAAAAACTATTCCTTCACAAGTTTTTACTTTGGACTCAACTGAATCTGTTGGAATTGTACAAAATGTTGATGTTCAGTCGTTGTCTACTGCTAAAGGTTTTTCATGGAAATTTTATTTTTTTAACGAATTTTTCGAAATTTTCGAAATTTTTTTTAAATTTTTTCCAAAAATAGAAGTTTTTCAAACCAAAAAAAAATTTTTTTTATTTTTTTTATTTTTTAAAGAAGTTTCACAAAATTTAACTGAAAAATCTTCAATTATTTGTTCATCAACCAATTTATTGCCTCCAAAAAGAATTTTTTCTTCAATTTGTGAAGAAAAAGGAAATGCTGTTGTTGATGTTATTCAATTGGATAGTGCTTCGTCTATTCAACAAATTTCGTCAAAAATTCAAACGCGATCAATGGCTAAAGGTTTTTTTAAAAAAATTTTGAATTTAAAAAATTTTTTTCAAAGAATCTTCAAAAATCTGTTCATCATCCAATTTGTTGCCTAAACGAATTTTTTCTTCGATTTCTGGTAGTGTACAAGACAAAGACGAGGAGGTTATTCAATTAGATTCTTCTATTAATCAGCAACCTTCAAGTATCCATCAATCTCTTTCGACAGCTAAAGGTTTTTTCTTTTAATAAAAAAAATTTTTTTAACGAAAAAACGACCACCACAATATTAAATTTTTTTTTAATCTTTGGGATCCTAGGATTAACGAAAAAAAATTTTTTTCTTAAAAAATTTTCAAAATTTTTAATTTTTTTTCTAAAACAGAATCTTCAAAAAATTTGGCACAAGAATCTTCAGCAATTTCATCAATTACTAATTTATTGCCTTCAAGAAGAATTTTTTCTTCTATTAATGAGGAAGAGGAAGAATCCAGGGAGGTTATTCAATTAGAAGATACTTCGTCTATTGTACAATCGAAATTTAATGTTTTTGATTCTATGAGGGATTCTCATCATCAAACATCTTTGTCATTAAATATAGCTAAATGTCCTTCAAATATAAAGGAGAATATTTTAAGAGATGAAGCTGTTCCACACTCTTTTGCTTCAAAGAAGAATTTGTCCCAGAAAGATTTATTAACTTCCCGAGGCCAACAAGAACACAAATCGTCGGAAAACTCTTTATCATTCAATTTGGAAGTGGAAGTAGTGGAAGAAGGAGAATATGTTTTGGATGAGGAAGAAAATGAAGCGGAAAAGGAGGAAGAAGAGGAAATGGAGGAGGGAGAAGAGGAAATGGAAGCGGGAGAAGATGAAGTAAATGATGAAGAAGAAATGGAAGTGCAAAAGGTGGAGATGGGGGAGAATGAAGAGGAAATGGAAGCGGGAGAAAATGAATTGAATGGTGAAGAGGAAGAAGAACTGGAAGAGAATGAAGAAGAAGTTGAACTGGAAGACGAAGAAAAAGAAGTCGAATGTCAAGAACCATCAAAATCTGTTGAAATTCAATTAGTGTCAACAGCCAAAGGTTTTTTGATAAATCTTTTTGTAAAATGAAAAATATTTTTTTTAGAATCCTCAAAAAATTTGTCGAGAAAATCTTCGAAACTTTCTTCCAATTTGCCACCTAAAAGAATTTTTTCATCAATATGTGAGGAAGTGGAAGAAGTACAGAATGTTATTCAATTGGATAGTGCTTCTTCTATTCAACAACAATCCTGTTCAAGAATTCAGCAATCTCTTTCAACAGCCAAAGGTTTGCAAAAAAAAATTTTTTTAATGACTTTAAAACATGACTTTGAAAACATAAATTTTTTTGGAAAAACTTTTCTTTGAAAAAATTTTTTTGTGACAAAATTAAGCCCAAAGTGTCACGTCTTATACACGTTTCCGTTCTAAAATTTTTTTTCATTTTTTGTTTTTTCTTCATAGAAGCTTCTTCAATTTACCAAAAATCATCTTTAAACACTGCCAAGAACATTTCTTCTCAACTTATTGGCAAAGAAGCAATTTCAAAATCTCGTGGTCAACGTATTGACGAAAATATTCCAAGAGATGAAACTGTTCCACACTCTTTTGCTTCAAAGAAGAATTTGTCCCAGAAAAATTTTTCAACTTCTCGAGGCCAACAAGAACAAAAAGCGTCAGAAAAGTCTTCATCATTCAATTTAGAAGTGGAAGTAGTGGGAGGAGAATATGTTTTGGATGAGGAAGAAAATGAGATGGAAAAGGAGGAAGAAGAGGAAATGGAGGGGGGAGAAGATGAGGTGAATGATGAAGAGGAAGAAGAAGTGGAAGTGAATGATGAAGAAGATGAAGTGGAAGACGAAGAAAAAGAAGTAGAATGTCAAGAAGATGAGGTTGAAGAGCTAGAAGAGGATGTTATTCAATTGGATAGTGCTTCTTCTATTCAACAACAATCTTGTTCAAGAATTCAGCAATCTCTTTCAATAGCCAAAGGTTTGCAAAAAAATTTTTTTAATGAATTTTAAAAAAGATTTTGAAGAAATAAATTTTTCTTGGGAAACTTTTTTTTAAAAAATTTTTTTGGTCAGATCGTTTTTGAAAAGCTTTAAAAAATTTTTTTTCTGTAACAAAATCCAGCCCGACGAATGAGTGAGACGTTTATGCTCATTCCATTCAAAAAATTTTTTTAATTTTTTTCTTTTTAGAAGCTTCTTCAATTCACCAAAAATCATCTTTAAACACTGCCAAGAACATTTCTTCTCAACCTATTGAAAAAGAAGCAATTTCAAAATCTCGTGGTCAACGTTCCTCAAATAAGCTTTCTTCATCTACAGTGCCTTATCTTTTTTCTCCGAAAACTTTGCAAAAGTCACAACTAATTTGTGATGCTTCTCGAACACAAAAATTTGTTGAAATTTTCGAAGGAATTGAAGGAACATCCAAATCTGGTGAAAAATCATTCTCAACAGCCAAAGGTTTTTTAATTAATAAAATAATATTTGTGTTAGAATAGTACTTGGGTCCTCCTTTCTACAAGTTATATTTTCGATTTAATTTTAAAAATTTTTTCAACCGACAAGTCGGAAGTTTTTTTCTTTATTTTTCTAAGGATTTTTGAATTTTCAAAATTTTTTTAAATTACTTTGGGATGGGAAATTTTTTCTTTTCTATTTAATTTTGGTTAATTTTGTAGATGATTTTTTTCAATTATTAATTTTGGAATTTATTAATTTTTTAAATAAATTTTTTTATTTTTTAGAAATTTCTACAAGAAGCAAAGTCCAAAGACATTCAAAAAATTTGCCTGCAAGTAATTTGGAAGAATTAGAAAATACTCCACCACCATCAACAAGTCAGCAACATCAACCTCGACAACAAGCAGTGGAAAATTTAAATAGAAACGCTTCAATTCGAAATTCTCGACGACTGTCATTATCTCCATGGAGTATGTTTTATTTTTTTAATTAAAATTTTATTTAATCGGTTTTATACCAGTATTAAGGTTGTGTTTTCCGGAGAGAATTTTTTTTTCTGATTTTTGTATTTTTCCCGGAAATTTATTTAATTTTTCGTAACACCTTGTTATTTTTCCGGAAAGTTTTATTGATAGTTGTGTATTTTCCGGAATATACAATTTTCCGGAATTTATTTTTTTCTGATTTTTCGTATTTTCCTTGATTTATTTTTCCGGAAGGTATTAGTAATATTTTTGTGTTTTCCGGAAAAGTTATATGAAATATTTTCCGTTATGATTTTTTCTGATTTTTGGTGTTTTCCGGAGGTTTTAAATACATTCTTTATTTTTTCCGGAAAAGTTTAATAGGTCTATAATCTTTTCCGGAATTTATTGTTTTATTGAAATATTTTTCCGGAAAGGCTTATAATTTTATTTAATCACTTTTTATGTTTTTTCGGAAATATGTGTTCATCAAAACAGTTAATTTACTTTTCGGAAAATAATGCAAAAATACAAAAATTTATATATTTTATAATTTTACAGGGCAGCCACAAGAATTTACACATGTTTTGCAACACTGTAACAACGGCTATATTATGACCTGGGATGAGTTCCTTGATCGCACTAATTTTGAATGTATTCGTAAACTCGGTGAAGGAGATTATGGAGAGGTCTACGAAATGTCCGATTCTAAAGGGACTTATGCTATGAAGGTATTTTTTTCTCTTTTTTAAAGTTTGTCAAAAAACTGCTTAACTTTCGAATTTATTTTTTGAAAAGTTTTCAAGTAAAAAAATTTGTTTCTAGGTCATTCAAGTTACCGAGGAAAATCCGATACCAGCCGTCTTTTCTGAAGTTTTCATCACACGGCATTTATCAGAACTCAACAATGCCGGTGATTTCTCAACTCCTTCATATATACCTCTTGTCCGTGCTAATGTAGTCAAAGGTTTAAATTTAATAAAAAAAATTTTTTCTAATTTTTTTGTTTTTAAAGGTATCTATCCGGATATTCTTATAAAGGCGTGGAAAAAATACAAAAAACAAAACCCGAAGATTGCTTTAAATAAACAACCAACTGAGCGCAAAGACAACACCTATGTCGTCCTAGTTATGGCAAATGGTGGAGTCGATCTAGAACTATATTTGCATATACCTAGAAAGGTTTAATTTATAACTTTATTTTTTCTTTTTATTGGACTGTGAGGAAAATAGAGTCGGGGAGAAACCCTTTGGATTTAAGAAAATACACATAAAATAGTTTTTTTCGGCAGTCCCGCTTCTCCAGTCTTTAATCAATTTTTAAAATTTATTTTCATATCTCCTAATCCCAAGGGCGTAGCCAGGGGGTTGATTTCGGGGGGGGGGGGGGGGGGGTAAAATATGAATGTTCGTATAAGGATGTAGTACAAAAATTAAGAGATGATTTCCATTGGCATTAATATTTTTAAATTCCAGGCCACCAAGAAACAACGTTTTTCAATTTTTTACCAAGTCGCCCTTTCCCTTGCTATAGCTGAAGAAAGATATAGTTTTGAGCATCGAGATCTACATTACAGCAATATATTAATCAGCGAAGTTACTACTAGAGAAAGAGAACGTCGAGATAAAATTTGGTTTTTTTTTGAATTTTTTTTTGGAAATTTTTAAATTTCATTTTCAGTTATTACTACAATGGTGAAAAAATTGAAGTCCGTTCTCATGGTGTACATGCTTCATTAATCGATTTCAACAATTCTCGGATGACAGATGATGTTACAAGACAGTCTGTTTTTGTTAAATTTGCTGTTAAACCATATAAAAAAGGAGATGATTATCAATTCAAAATTTACCCAATGATGAAAAAACTAAATGAGTTTGTTTATTTTTTATTAAAAATTAATAAATTTTACAGTCGAACCTTATTATGCGTAAGATACACCCCTAAGACTTAAAAAATTTTATATTATAGCAAGGGCGTAGGGCTATATCCCTCTCCCTTAAATGGGAAAATGGAGAAAATTTTAGGAGGGGCAACGAAAAGTAAACGCCAAACTTTTAGAGCACTTCCCCCTCCCCCTGAAATCGACCTCTCCTGTGTTATTGTCATATCATCTTAAATAAATTAGGGGCTTATAGCTGTGTAGTTTCTCGATTCAATAGTCAATTAAAGATTTAAAAGCGTCTCTAAAATAGAGGGGTGTCCAATATTGATTGTATCTTATAATGAGATTTTTACTGTCTAACAAAATTTTTATCTCTCCAAAAATTTTTTCTTTTCAATTTGTCAATTTTCTAGTGATGATTGGTCAACATTCCATCGCAAAACAAATCATTATTGGCTACATTACCTTTATGACAAATTATTTAAAGACAGACGTTTTACACTGAAAGAACGAGAAGATTTCGAAAAGATTTTTGGTCGTTTAGTATTAAAGACAGAAGAAGGAGGATTTGAAACAACTAAAGATTTTTTGGATAATGAAGAAGTTAGAGAAATATTTGATCATTACGTTTTTTGAAAAGGTTGAAGAATTTTTTTTTTGAATTTTATTTATTTTTAGAATTTTTTTTTTGATTTTATTGTGTGCAAAAATTGGGTTTTAATTTATTTTTTTTTGTATAAATTTTTTTGATTCTTTTAATAATTTTTAAAAAAATTTTCAAAAATGTTTATTCATTTTTTATACCTTTTTAAAAGCGTTTCTGGCTGATTTAGATGATATTTTCATGATTTGGGATTTCTTTGTGCTCTTCTAAAAAAGTCCGCAGGTTTTGTCCGCAAGTCGTTAGCTGTTTATTTAAATGAAGGAATTATTTTGGAGGAAAAGTTTGACGAGGTTATTTTTTTTATTGAAAGTATGTTTTTTAGATTACTTTTTGTAAAATAAAAGGGACAGATTTGCGGATAAAGCTTGCGGATTTTTTGAAGGGTAGCCTGACAATAAGGACGGACATATGGATATTACAAGGTACGAACAGCTACTCTGCTGATTCCGCAACCTATTGCAGCTGGGTTTTTTAAGTACATTGTCCTGTTAAGAAAAGAGTTTTTATGTTTTAGAACCAACGTAAATACCCAAAAAGTTATTTTTTTTCAGAGCAATCTCGGTATTCCGTCCGGATATGTCTTCCCTACCTTTTGGAGAGCATGGGGAAATTTAACAAAAAAATTTTTTTTTAATTTTTTAGAATTTTTAAAAATATTTTCTTTATTAAAAAAAACATCTACAAAATGAATAAATATTATCCTTTTGTTTATTGGGCTCAAGATGTTAATAATATTTTTTTGAGAGTGGAAATTAAAAGTCTTGTGGTTTATTTTTAATTTTTTATTAAATTAATTTTTTTTTTATTTTCTAAAGAATTATCAATTGACTGTTGCAAATGGGGGAAGACTTTTAATATTTCAAGGGATGGGTATTCCTTTAGTTGCTCCAGGTGATATGGCTGATTTGTCTCAATTTGAGTTTCAACTTTTTTTGGCTTCTGCTGTTGTGGTTTGCTTTTTTTTTAATTTTTTATTGTTGGAAATAAGTTCTGTGTAACCCCTTTTGTGTCTGAACCTTTTCTTGACCCTTTTATCGAACTTTTTCGAATCTTGTGCATGGGGTTTTCTGCCTTTTCTCGGTATGAATTTAAAAACTAGGTGTCTCTAAAATCTGAGAGGGGGAGGGGGAGTATTTAAATAGAAGTCCGTCTGCTGCTAATAAAGTAATTTATAAAAAACTATTTTCTGGCCCTTTTTTCGAATCAACCAATTTTTACAGTCACGGGAAACCAAGAAGACTCAAAAATGTCCAAGCTGATCTAGACGTGGAAAAATCACCCTAGAAAATGGATTTTCCTCCTCCCCAAATCAAATATAAAATTTAAAAAAATTTTATTTTTTAAGGAAAGTTTTGAATGCAAAGAAATTGAAAAAGGTTTAAATATTACATTAAAAAAACAAAATGCTGGATTTTGGAAGAATGGACTGGTAAATCCAGACCACAAATTGGAGACAAAGCTTTGGTTAAAATTTGATTTTGATAAATGGAAAGATGATCCAGAAGATGTTGACAATGAAGATGTTGATTTTGAGGAGGGAGATGGTTTGAGAATGAGAAAGGTTTTTTTAGTAATTTTAAATGTGTATAGGCAAAGTTTCGATATAAGATACCTTTTGGGGGTGGAAAAATTTTGTGTCTTGTAATGAAGTGCCTTAAATAGAGGGTAACGTTTAAACGACTCCTTTTAAAATTTTGGATCGGGTTTAGGGGTTTAAAAAATTTTTTGGATTGGATTCTTGGTCGAAAAAATTTGGGTACATAGGTTCGAGTAACTGACCCATTCCTGGTTACCACTTACAATTAGGGAACGATAAGGACGTAGCCAGAGAGGAGGGGAGGGGGGGTTGGGGGGAGGGCTTCTGTTACTAAAAAATATGGCTCAAAAAAATTTTCGCTAGGAACGCCAAATTTAAGCTCTAGTCCCTTCGCCCTTGCTGAACAATACCTTTGGATTATTTTGGATACTCCTTATTATAAGGGATGATTTTTCCAAATCCAAAGATGTATCTTATTGGGAGTTTTGTCCTTAATTTTTATATAAAAAATGAATTTTTTTTAAATAGAGTACAGTTATTGAAGACCTTTTACAACAAATTGAAAAGAACAAGAAAGAAGTAACCATTTCATCTAGTTGGGATTTTTACAAGAAGATTTTTTATTTTTTGGGTAAGGAAATTTTTTTATTATTTTAATATTAATTTTTTTGAGGTTTTAGGGGAATATATTTTGCGGATTATATAAATTGGGCCCGTTTAAATACCTTTTTTTACCCTTAACTATATTAACATGGGAAGGTTGCGAGGTGTCCGAGCTAAAAACGGTCGAGACCGGGCTCATTCGATAGAGAATATGCCCTTTCTAGCAAGGATTTTTTGCCGTTTTTGCCCGTTTTTTGATTTGGCCAAGATATGGCCCTCCAAAGTCCCAAAATTTGGCATAATTTTCCCCCCTCAAATATAAACATTAAATAACGGGTTAATTTTGTTGGCGTTGTGGTGTAGTGGTGAGTGTGCTTGACTCACCCTTTTTCTCTAAAAAGTTCGATTCTTTTTTGGGTTCTATTTTTTTATCTAATTGTTTTAAACATTATTCATTCCTTTTTCAATAATAAAAAAATTTTTCAACAAAAAGTAGCTCTGGGGAGCTAGTTCTTGTTTGGGCTTCAAAATGGGCTCATTCTTGTTGTTCTTGATAAAAAATTTTTTTTGAAATTTTAAATTACCCTCAAAAAAATTTTTTTTAGTTCGATTGTCTTTAAGTGGTTTTCTTCTTTTAATTGCTTTGTTTGCTATAATTTATTTCTTCTACTACCTATATGTTTTTATTACAACTTAAATTTTGTTGGAGAATATTCAAAAAAGATGAAGAATATGTGTGTGTGTTTTTAAAAATAGGTGGGGGTATTTTAATAATTATTTTATTTTGTTAAAGAAATATAAGATATAATATAGGTATCATTTTTTCGTTTAATTTAAAAAAAAAATATAAATAAAAACGAATTTGGAGTAGGGCTGGACGCATTTTCTAATTGCGTAGCTTGCGCGGTTTCTTGACAGAATTTGGCTGCGGAAAAAAATTTTTTTCATTTGCGTTTAGATCTAGTCGAAGCCTCTAACTGTAATTATTAAGAGAGCAAGGGAGTCGTATGTTTTCTCAAGATTCCCTGTCCGCGGTTATTTGAAAATCTTTGCCTATTTTAATTTTATTTTTTTTTCTAAATTTTTACTCAAAAATGTTGGTTGGACATACATAAACGGTTAACCGACCCGAACCCGAAAACTTTCAAAATAAATTTTTATTTAATTAAAAATTATTTTAATTTTTAAATTTCTTTTAAAATTTTTTCAAAATTTTAAGTTAAATCGAATTTTATGTGATTTTCCTATACTAGCTACTGAATGTGTTAAAAATTATAAAAAAAAATATAAAATTTGAAAGGGTAATTTAAAAATTTTAATTTTTCTGTTTATTGAATGATACAAGCAGTTGATGATTGTTTAGCAAATTTTTTAAATCTATTAATTTTTGTTGGAGGAGGAGGTTGTTCTTCTTGTTGTAGTGAGGTTGTTTGTTGTTGTTGTATTTGTTGGTTTTCTTCTTCCTCTTTTTCAATTTTTTCTTCATCATTTTTTTGTTCGATGACTTTATTTTCTTCCTTCTGTTCTTCTTCCTCTTCCTCGTCTTGATTCTCCTCATTATTAAAATTAAAAGGTTCTCCATTTATTTCCCCTGTTGGGGGTTGTATTTGTACAATATCAAAATTGCTGTTTTTTGTAGTAGATATGGCTGCTAACGACTTTCTAGGTAGTTGTTGTACTATTGTAGTTGTTGTGTTGTCAACTATGAGAGGAGAAAAATGAATTTTTTAAATAAAATTTTTTTAAATTTTTTTATTAAATTTTCCGTTTTTATTTTTTTTATTTTTAATTGAAAATAATTTTTTTTCTTATTAAAAAAATTTTTAAAATTTTTTTTTAGTTCTATTTTCCCCTTATTTTTTTGTTTTTTATTCCCCCTTTCTCTTTAAAAGTTTTTATTTAATACCATCATTTCCAGCTAAAGGGACTGTAGAAGCTATTTTATTATTTCTTTGTTTTAAACGTTCTCTTGGATTTGTTATTATTGCACGATAAGCGTTTCCAAAAATACTAGTAGATGTTGATTGAGGAGGGTTTGATTTTCCATTTTCTGTTGGTTGTTGTTGTTGTGTTTCTTGTTGTTGTTGTGAATTTGGTAGAGAAAGAGTACTTCCACTTTTCACTGGGATATTACGTTCCTTTAATTCTGATTTTTAAAAAATACAAATAATTCTGGAAAAATACAAATAATTCTGAAAAAATACAACATTCCGGAAAACTCGTTAAAAATACAATATTTCCGGAAAAAATACAAATAATCTCGGAAAAATACAAAATATTCCGGAAAAATACAAATAATTCTGAAAAAATACAACATTCCGGAAAACTTGTTAAAAATATTCCGGAAAACACGTTAAAAATACAATATTCCGGAAAACATTTTATTTTCCGGAAAGAAACACAAACTTAAAACACAAAATTCTGATTTATTAAAAACACAAGTAAATACAACCTATTCTGATTTTATTTGTATTTTCCGGAAAGCCCAAAATACACATTATTCTGATTTTATTTGTATTTCATTTTAATTAAATAATTCTGGTGATAAATAAAATTCTGATTTTTCCCCTATTAAATGAATAAGGAAGAGCGATTGCGTCGATGGTTAAGTTGGTATAACTTGCGCGTTGTTAATGTATTTTTCTTGAGGGATGTGAGGTTCGATTCCTCTGCTCTTCCAACATTTTTAAAATTGTTTATTTTTCTCAGAAAAAATTAAAAAAATATTTTTTCAATTTCAGAAAATGAAAAAAATTTATTTTTCAAAAATTTTAAAAACACCTCAGATTTTTGTCTGCTAAAAAGTCGTCTCACTCCTCCCAAACTTGTCTTCTTATTTTCAACATTTGTAATAGCAGCATTATTTGTAGTATTATTTTCTTCATTTGTATTATTATTTTTCTTCTTTGTAATTAATTTAACAACAGCATTTCCCCCTCCTTTCAAATGATTAGTACCTCCCTGCAACATTCTCTTTAAATTTGTGCTTAAAGGGGAAAGTCGGCGACTATTTAAATTTGTTGGGGAATTACTGCGTCGTCTTAAATGATTATTAGTTGAATTGTTGGTGTTGTTTTTGGTGCTTCTTCCACTGAAAAAATAAAAAGGGAATTAAAAAAATTTTTTTTTAATTTTTAAAATTTTCTCTGAATTTTTTTTTAAATTTTCTGGAAATTTCAAAAAAATTTTTTTTGATTTTTTAGAAATTTAATTTTTAAAATTTTTCTTATTTCCTCTGAATTTTTCACAAAAATTTTTTTCAAGTTATTTTAAACCTTTTCACGTCCTCAGCCCTTTTTATAAGTTGATCAATTATCGTTAAAATAAAAGTATTGTCATTTAACCCTTCGGCTTCAACTGCTTCCTGTTCAGCTTTTAAAGCAGAAAAAGAAAAACATTTAAATTGGCAATCGGGTCCAAACATTGTAGCTAATTGTTCTCCCTAAAAAATTATTTTTTGATTTTTTTAAATTTAAAAATTTTGGCGAGAGTCCGCCACTCGATTCTGCACTTTACTACCATCAAATCTATGGGAGAAAGCTCTATTCAGATGGCTTCGGACCATGGGCTCTAACACGCAGAACCGGGTACCTATCATTTATTGGAAGCATAAAATTGTTTAGACGCGTATTCTAGACAAGCGCCAAAAATTTTCTCTCTTTTACCTTTTCTCGAGTAATTAACCAATCATTTCCTCCTCCATCATCCAATTCCTTTACCATTTTTTCCATTGATGGCCGTCTCAATCTAGGTGTAGATTGATTATTATTTGTATTTATTTTAGGGGATTCTTGTATATTTTCTTCATTTTCTTCTTCATTTAAATTTAATTTTGAAATTAATGGTTTATTTAAATCCCTTTCTTCTTCAATTTCTCCTCCTTCATTTTTATCTTCATCCTCTTCAATTAATACATCATTGTCACATAATAATAAAGAGGCTGACTTAAAGGGATTTTTTTGTGTTTTTTGATTTTTTAAAAAATTTTTCAAAAAAAATTTTTTCCTAGATTTTTCAGAAAAAATTTTCCTAGATTTTTCAAAAAAATTTCAAAGATTTTTTTTGGAAATTTTTAGGTCAATTTATCAATTTGCCTATTTTTTCCCATTTTTAACAATTTTATTAACCCAACAAAATGAGAAAAATAAGCATTTCCGTTAACGTGTTTCTATGGTTAAGTAGGTTGTACTTCCGCCTTGGTTGTCTTTATTTTCTGGAAAGGGGCATGGTTCGATACCTATAGCTTTATAACGTGTTTAATTTTTATTTTTTATGCCCAGAAAATTTTTTAAAAATTTTTACTGATTTTTAAAATTTCAAAAAAAAATTTTTTCTGATTTTAAAATACACTAACAGGCCTAGCTGTATTTTTTGTTATTTTCCCCTTTCCTTTCCCTCCCTTTTCCTCTGCTGATTGACTAGTATTAAAATCTTCAGAAAATCCAGTTAATACATGAAATGAAGAAGGTATATGTGCAGCATAACAAATAATAGCTGCGTGGGCTCTGAAAATTTTTTAAGGAAAAAATTTTTTAAATTTAATTGATTACTTTCTAATGGCCATTAAGTGAGCTCCTGTACGTGTCTGTAAAAATAAAAATTAGGAAAAATTTCAAAAAAAATTTTTTCTGAAAAAAAAATTTAAGAAGATTTCCGAAAAAAATTCTAAAAAATTTTTTTCAGAAATTTTTCAGAAAAAAAATTTTTTTTGATAAAAAAACCGTTCTAGGATCAATTTGCATTAATTCTAAAGTAGAAAATTCTCCTTGTTTAAATTCAAAGGTTAGGTAACTAATGTCGGTATAATGATTGTGTTGTTCATATTTTTGCGCTGATTGTTTTAATTGATCAAACTTGAAAGGGAAAAATAAATTAATTAATTTAAATTAAAAATATGTACGGGAAGAATTGTGAGTATTTGTGGTTAAGTCGGTATGGGCCCCGCCTTGCCTGTTATTTTTCCCGGAAGGGGGCAAAAGTTCGATTCCTACAACTTTCTATCGACTCAAATTTAATTTTATTTTTGCTTTTAATTATTATTTTGTTCTTTTTTTCTTTAAAAAAATTTATTCTAATTTTTTTTTGCTCTTCGAAAAAATTTTAAATTTATTTTGTAGGGGGAAAGATAAATCATTTTTTAAATGAAAATACAAACCAAAATTTGTCTAATTCTTTTAATTCCAATTAATAAAATATTATATTCTTTAACATTATTATTTTCTGTATTTAAAGAAGATGAAGTTGAGGGGGCTATAAGTAAATTATTTTGTTGTGTGTCTGCAGTTGTTGGGGGTGGAGGAGGGGGTGGGGGAGGTGTTGGCGATGATGATTGTTGTTGTTGATTGGTAGGGGAAGATGACATGATTTTTTTAACTTTAAAAAAAGTGAATTTTTGATAGGTGATATTTAAATATGTGTGTGTGTTTGTGTGAAATTTTTTTGATAAAACGGAAAAAAACTTTTTTTTCTAGAAGATTTTTTTTAACTTAAAAAAAGGAGAGGAGGTGGAGGAGGACTTAAATTTAGATTTTATTATTTTTTTATTTAAAAAAAATTTTTTTTAGCAATTTTTGGATTTTTTAAAAAATTTTTTAGAAAATTTCTGAAGAATTAAAAAATTTTCCGAATTTAAATAAAAATTTTTTTGGACCAATTTAAAATAGGAAAGTGAAGAATTAAAAAATAAAATAACCTATCCATCCTTTAATTTCTAAAGATTATTTTTTAAAAATATAATAGTGAAAATTAGAAGAGAGTGAAAAATCAACAAGACAAAAAATAAGCCGTTGACTGTCAACCTATGTTTTCTCTCTCCTATTTTTTCACGCGTTCCTTTTAATCGAAAATTTTTTTCTTTCAATGTTGACTTTTGAATTTTGATATATTTTTTTTGTTTGTTTTGCTAATCTTTTTCTTTCTTGTTTAATCATTTTTCTATTCTTTTTTTCTTTTTTTTCTTTTTTTAATTGAAAAGTGAATTTTGTTGGGGGGAAAGAGGGGAGGGGGAGTAGTTGAGGAGAAAAGAGGGAAAGGGGAGAAATTTTGAAACAATTAAAAAAATATTTTTTTTCTTAACTAATTTTAAAATAATTTACAGACGTTTAAGATTACTTCTGTAAAAATAGAAAATAAAATATATTAATTGAAAAAATATAAAAAAAATTTTTAAGGATGTCTGGAGAGGGAAGTAACTTGATATTAATGAAGATGGGTACTTGTAAAATTGTTTTATTTATTTTGAAAAAATCCTATCAAAAATTTATTTATTTATATATTAAAATAAATTTTTTTAACAAAAAAATTTTTTTTAATTTTTTTGTGAGGGGTAGAGGAGATGTAAAGAAGTTGTGACGAAATAGTTTATTCTTGGGTAAACGATCTTTTGTTAAATTAAATGTAGAAAAAATAAAACTTGGAAAACTTAAAACTTGAAAATAAACCTGGAAATAAACTTAGAAAAAATAAACTTAGAAGTAAATTTGAAAACAAACTTGGAAACTTAAAACTTGAAAATAAACTTGGAAAACTTAAAACTTGGAACTAAATAAAATAATTAAATTTGTTGAAAATTATAAAAAATTTATTTTAAAGTTTTTTTAAAACAAAATAAAAATGCTTAGTTACACAAAGTTTTTTTATATTGTCTTTAAATAAAATAATAATGAGATAGAGAGAAGCCTTTCGGCAACAAAAGAAAAAGAAAAGTTGGGTGGAAAATTTATTAAGAAAAGGTAAAAATTAGAAGAATTGCTATGGTAACTTTGTTTTTTCTTAAATATTTATTTTTGTATTTGTATTTTTTTTTGTTAAATGCCAAAAAATACAAAAATAAAAAATTTTTTTGGAAAATTCTAAGAGAATGGCAAAAAAAATTAGTTAAGACTCGAATGTCCCTTTTTCCAATTTTTTGAATTTTTGAGAAACAATGCAAAATTAAATTAAAGAAGGCAAAAATAAAAAGTTTACGCGCACTCTAACTATTTTGACCTGTATTTTAGAAAATTACCAAAATAATATTCGAATAATTAAATTCAAGAAAATTGGTAGAATAATTAAATAAGGGAAAAGAAAGAGCATTTTTAAAAGGATTATGTGTTTGTTGTGCGCAATAAAACTTGTTGTTAGACACACAAAACAATTCAGGAAAACATTGTTTTAATGTTTCCAGTCATACAGATAGTTGTTAGACTTTCCGGAAAACTTATTTAAGAGAATGTTAGACACAAAAAATCCGGAAAGCTTTTCCGGAATCTATATTTAATTTCCAACTTTTTTCCGGAAAACTTTGTATTACAACTTGCTCTATAGAGGGTTAGACACAAACTTTCCGGAATTCTGTATTTTAATGCTTCCACTCATACAGGTAGTCATTTCCGGAAAGCTATTTTATTTTATTAAAAGTATGTTAGACATAAAAAATCCGGAAAACTTTTTATTTTTCCGGAAAACCTTGCAGCAAATTTTCCTCTATAAATTGTTAGACACACAACTTTCCCTGATATTTTTTTGTGGAAAATTGTTTTTCTATTTCCGATCATTAAAATCATCTCACACATAATTATTTTTATTTCTCTAATTACCATAAAAATTTTTTTGGATTTTGTATGACTTGGCGGTGTATCAAAGGGAAGATATATTTTTATGTAAGGGAATTATCGTCTCTCTAACTAAATAACAAGCAAAATTGCAATTTGCGTGGACGATTAAAAAATAAATGAGTTAATAATAATGATAATGACCTTTTTGAGCTTTTTTAAAATGCTTTTTTTATCTGCCGTTCATATAAAAATTGAAAATTGAGAAGAAAAACATATAGCATAATTAAGAGATTAGTCAGAGAATTCAGGAAAAGCTATTTTTGAGGAATTTTATTAAAACTTGGAAGAGAAAAGAAGGTTTGAAAATGCAATGAGGTAGACACAACCTTTTCCGGAAGCCTATATATTTTCCGGAATTTATTCAATTAAAACTTGATAGAGAAAAAAAGTTGGAGAAGCATTAAGTTAGTAAACACAACATTTCCGGAAAGCTTATATATTTTCCGGAACTTTCTATTTTCCGGAATTTGTCTACTATTTTATTAAAACTTGGTAGAAAAAAGTTGGAAGAAATAAACTTTCCGGAAAACAATAATATAGGGTAGACACACAACTTTTTCCGGAAGTATATATTTTCCGGAATATTAGTAAAACTTGACAAAGAAAAAAAGGAAAATATATTTCAGCCTACTTATTCCGGAAAAAATTAATTCTTTTAAACTATACGTCTCTCTATTAAATTCTTCATCTCTCATTAACAATAATTTACTTATTTTTATAAAATAAAATAATAATTATTAAAACAAAACACAATTGTTGATGTTCACATCCTTCAACAATTTTTTTTTCCTTTTTTCTAATTTTTTTTGGGATGCGCTTTTATTTAGTCCTCTCTTTTGTTTTGTGCCATTCACTACCTTTTTTATTTCCCATTAAAAATAATTTTTTTTTCTTCAAGAATTCCCCTTTTAAACACCAATTTTCTTTTTTAAAGTCATTTTATTGTTTTATTAATTTTTGAACTTTGCCGATAAAATAAGAAATTTTATTAAAGGATCCAGCAAAAAAATAAAAAAAGAAAGGTGAGATGTGTATAAATTAATTTTTTGTGAGGGAGGACTTGCGCAATCCGAGTAAGAGAGATGCCGGCATTTTTCTTAAAATAATAAATAAATAATAATTATTATTTTTTTGGAGATCCATGAACTGTCGATTTGAAAAAAATTTATTTTATTTTTTATGCTATTAAAAAATTAAAAAAAATTTTTTTAATAATTCCCTTTTGTGTCCTCCAAAAACTTCCCCGGAAGGGGCATTATAAAAACTACATATTTAATAAAAAAATAATAGAGACAAATTTAGTTGTTTTCTCACATTAACTCGTTTCTTTTTTGTTTTCTCATACTACAAGTTAATTATTATTACCATTCCGGGAAACAAATGATCTGTGTGTCTGTCTTATTTTCCCACATTATCTGTTTTTTCTATTCCATGTTTTAATGGTCGTTTATTTTATAATAAACTTTCCGGAAAACAATGTAATATATTTAAATAAACTTTCCGGAAAATATAAATAATTTAAATAAACTTTCCGGAAAACAATATAATATATTTAAATAAACTTTCCGGAAAACAATGTAATATATTTAAATAAACTTTCCGGAAAATATAAATAATTTAAATAAACTTTCCGGAAAACAATATAATATATTTAAATAAACTTTCCGGAAAACAATATAATATATTTAAATAAACTTTCCGGAAAACAATAATATATTTAAATAAGCTTTCCGGAAAACAATGTAATATATTTAAATAAACTTTCCGGAAAATATAAATGATTTTCTCTAAAACTATTTCAGGTTTTAGTAATAAAATAATATATGTTCCGGAAAGTTTTCCGGAATATGTATTTATGTATTTTCATTTCTTTTTCTATACTTCTATATTTCCGGAAAATATAAATAGGTATCTCTAACAATTATTTACACTCTTTTTTTCTCTGCCAAGTTTTAATTATTTTCCGGAATGGATATCGTGTACCAGTTAGTTTTATTTGTATATTCTTTTTCTCTGTCAAGTTTATTTATTTATATTTTTATTTGTAAATATATTTCCGGAAGTATAATTTCCGGAATTATATTCTTATAGCTATTATACTAAATAATATACTAAATATTATCTTTCCGGAAAACAAATGGGGCGTGGATGTTTTTTTTCTCTAACTTTCTCTGGGACTTGACTCTTCCCCCAAGGTTGCTCTAGTCTACTGGGAAAATGCTTCCAAAAATAAGCAAAAAACTAAAATTAAAAAAACAACAACAAAAAGCAAAACAATAATAAATATTATTTATTAATATACTTGAGCGGCAATTTGTTGCACCTGTGAAAATTTGAAAAATAAAAATTTTTTTGACTTTTTATGGGAGGTAAAAGAAATTATTTAAAATTTTAGTTGTTTGTTTATAATTTTTAAAAATTATTTTTTGGTATTTTATTAATTTATTTAATTTATAATTTTATTTATTTAATTACCCCATAGCGGGAATTTTAATATAGGTATTCTCATTTAATATTAATTTAGGAAAATTTATTTTTATTTTTTTTGAATTTATTTTTTTTGTTTCTTTTTTTTTCTGCCCCAAATAATTTTTTTATAAAATTATTTTTTAATTTTTAAAATTTTTTATTTAAGAAAAAAATTTTTTTAATTTTTTACACGTTTTTTGAGGCATAAAACTTTGAAAAATTCTTTTTTTTATTAAATTTAAAAAAAAAGATTGGTCAACTAGAAATTTATTTATTCCCGTTATTTGTTTTGTCAATTCATCTACTAACAATTAGATTTGCTACAATTTTGTTTCTCCTCTTGTTTTATAATTTTGCGTGTGACTGCTTTTTATTTTTATAAGCAACAAATATGCTAGCGAAAATGTTACGGTATTATAATGCTTTAAGTTTTTTAAAGTTGGTGATTTTATGTTGGTTAAATCAGAATTTATTTTATTCTGAATTTTTATAGTTGAATATTAAATTCAGAATTGTATAAAATCAGAATTTGTAAAATCAGAATTTTTATTAAACCAGAATTTTAATAATCCAGAATTTAGAAATCAGAATTTTAGAAAATCAGAATTTTGGAACTTCAGAATCTGTATTAAATTCAGAATTCTATTAAAATCAGAATTTTTATTAAATCAGAATTTAGAAATCAGAATTTTTATTAATTTATTAAAATCAGAATATAATTTAGTCAGAATATAATTAATTATATCAGAATCAGAATTTCCTCTCCGCATTCTAATACTTAATTGTTTGCGTCAACTAATGGTATTGTTTTGCCTGCACAAAATTAATTAAAATTCTAATTTTTTATTTTTTTTATTTATTAATTTATTTTAGACACAAATTCTTTAAATAAATTTTTAAAACCCATTTTTCTCTTTATTTTCTTTATTTTTCTAATTTTCACGCGAAAAATGCGTCAATTTATTTTCCAAGTATATTTCCTATAAAAGTAAATTTTCAGCAATTAAAGAAATAAAATAAAAATTTATTCACTCAAACACAACCTTAACTTAACCAAAACTTTCCTCAATCCAATTAAACAACCAATTTTCTTTCATAAAATTTCCTTTCTTATTGTGTCACAGAGAGACTTGGGTTGGTTCCGCCTTCTTCTACTTAATTGCTTGAAATATTTATTTTTAAAAAGGCATTTTATTTTGTTCGGAAGAAAATTGTGTGAATTTAAAAATAAGTAATTTTACCCTTTTTATTTTTTTAAAATTGAGAAAAAATTTTTTTAACCAATTAAAGTTAATAATAAGGGGAATTATTGGTGTATTAAACTAATAATTCTGATTTTAATTTAATATTATCAGAATATTTATTATTTTATAGCACTATAGAATATCAGAATAAAATTATTTAATAAAAATCAGAATTATTAAATAAATGAATTATACCAGAATATTATCAGAATTATTAAATATCAGAATATTTGTTATTTCAGAAACTTAAAATAAGAACATATCAAACAGAATTATTTTTAAAAATCAGAATTTTAAAATCAGAAATATAAAAATCAGAATTATTTTTAAACCAGAATTATTACTAAAAACCAGAATTATTTTTAAATCAGAATTTTTATTAAATCAGAATTTTAAAATCAGAAATTTAAGAAAATCAGAATTTTTTTCAGAATTATTACTAAAAGTCAGAATTACTTGTAAATCAGAACTCTAATTAATTATACTTAATTCTGATTTTTTAAAATCATTTATTCCCTTTTACACCATTTGACAGTATTATTAAAATAGAAAAAGAGCGTATAGGCCACGCCTTCTACTCCACCCATTAAATAGTTATAGTCTATTTTATGTGCCTTTCATGAATTGCTTCCATTTATATACATACATATATTTTTATTTCTGTCAATTTTTAAGAGAATCTTTTTTTAATTTTTCTAAAAATAAGGCATGTAAATTTTAAAAATTTTTTCTGGTTCTGATTTTTAAATAATTTTTTTTTCTGATTTAATTTAAGTTTCTGATTTCCTCTCCTCCTCTTTTTCGATAAAACACACAATTTTTGTATTAATTTTTTTATTTTTTTAAATTTCCCATAAAGTCAAATCCGTCAACAATTAAATATAAAATAGTTTTTATTTATTTAATCTCTTTTATTTTTTGACCTTCCTTCTTTAATTATTATAAAATTAATAATAGAATGAATGTGAATTATGTGGATTTAACAAAAATAATTTTTTCCTTCTCTCAAATTTCAAAAAAAAAATTTTTTTCTATTAAAAATAAATAAAAATTAAATTTAAAAATTCAAAAAAATTCAAAAAAAATTTTTAAAGGCTTCCAAAAATTTTTTAAAAATGATTTTCGACCCGCGCATGGCCGCTGCTGCTGCTTTATTAATGTCTTCTTCTCCACCTAATTCTGATAATAATAATAATAATTCTTTTTGTGATCAATTAAATGGTAGAAAAAATTAATTTAATTTAATTAAATTTAATTAAAATTAATTTTTAAGTAAATGGACTTTTTGCTTCTAATACAACTGGTCAGAAATTAATTTTATCGCCGCCGCTTTCAATTAAATCAGAAAATGCAAATAATACTAATAGGTAGATTAAATCAGAATTATTGTATTTATAACGATAAATTTATAAAAACAGAAGAATATATTTTATAATTCTGATTTTTATATATTCTGATTATTTTTTATTATTTTATGTAAATCAGAATTAATTTTTATTTTTAAATCAGAATTATTAAAAGTTTTCCGGAAAATTTGTCAGAATTAAATCAGAATTATTAAAACTTTCCGGAAAACTTATCAGAATTAAATCAGAATTAATTAAAACCTTCCGGAAAACTTATCAGAATTAAATCAGAATATAAAAACTTTCCGGAAAACTTATCAGAATTAAATCAGAATTATAAAAACTTTCCGGAAAACTTATCAGAATTAGATCAGAATTATAAAAACTTTCAGGAAAACTTATCAGAATTAAATCAGAATTATAAAAACTTTCCGGAAAACTTATCAGAATTAGATCAGAATTATAAAAACTTTCAGGAAAACTTATCAGAATTAAATCAGAATTATTTAAAACATTCCGGAAACTTTAAATTATCAGAATTATTAAAATCAGAATTATAAAAACTTTCCGGAAAACTTTCCGGAAAACTTATAATTATCAGAATTATTATTTAGAAAATCAGAACAAATAAATACAATTAATTCTTAAATTTCAGAATATCAACAAAACATTTCCCAACTTGTTCTGATCCATATTTACAACAACAACCAGCATTAAAAACATCGTTATTAAACGAAAAAAGTTCTTTTCGCATAGAAACAATTATTTCAAACAAAGAAACGCAACAACAAAATTCTGAAGAAGAACCAGAAGAAGAGAAAGAGGAGGAGGAATTAGTGGAACGTAAAAACAAAAATAAAAACAATTTTTTATTTTCTTCTTTCCAACAACAACAACAACAACAATTTGTTTCAGTTCAAAATTTACTTGCCCAAATGACTGGGGGAATACAACAACAACAACAACAAGGAATGATGTTGATGTTGGATAAACAATTTGTACCTTCCAGTGGTTTTAATTTGTCGAATGGGGAGGATAATGAAGGTAAGGGGAAAATTTTGAAAATATTACTGTAGAAAAATCAGAATTATAGTTATACAAATCAGAACTTATTTGTTTAAAAATTAGAGAAAAATCAGAATTATTTTCTTAAATATCAGAATATATTTTTTTAAATCAGAATTTTATCAATAAAAACCAGAATTTCTTTTCTAAAAATCAGAATTTTAATTTTTAAAAATCAGAATGTTATTAAAAAAACCAGAATTTACTTCTAAAAATCAGAATTATATTTTTTAAATATCAGAATTATATTTTTTAAACCAGAATTTATTTTTTAAAAATCAGAATTTCTTTTCTAAAAACCAGAATTTTAATTTTAAAAATCAGAATATTTGTTTAAAAATCCAGAATTTCTTTCTTAAAAATCAGAATTTTCTTATTAAAAATCAGAATTTCATTTTAAAAAATCAGAACACTAAAATACTATTAATTTTCACCATACTTTACTCCAATTCTCTCACTTTCTTCTTCCTCAAAAAAATAAATTACTGTAATTGTAACAAAAAAAGACATTTTATATTTTTTAAATACTACGATTTTGACCCATTTTAGCGGAAATCTTTTCCATTATTTTTTTTCTTTTATTTCTAATTATTTTCTTTCCCCCTCTCCTCTACTCAATTTTCCCTCAATTCATTCAATTATTTTCAAATTGCCTTAGGGCTAATTGTTGTCTCCTTTACCTCCACAAACTTCTTAAGTATTCACACTTTTATTTTAATTTTGTATCAATGAGGAAGAAAAATTGGGGGAAGAAAGGAGAGGGAAGGGGAGGGAAGGGAGGGAGGGAAGGGGAGACACACGGATTTGGGGCGGCTTAACTAAATATACCTATATAAAATAAAATAAATACAATTTTAAGAAGAAAATCCCCCAATTAATCCAATTCCCAAGGGTATAATAGAAAGAAAGAGACAAGTAATTGAGTATAAATTAGGGTGTTTTATTAGCAAATTGAGAGGTAAGGGAGGAAGGTGAACAATTTATTAAATAAAAAATGATATTTAAAAAAGTGATTAATAGAGGGAGAAGTTGGCGGTTCCGAGTATCCTGAACCGAAAAAACCCCGGATATTCGAAATCTTTGGATTTGGATATCGGTTCCGGATATCCGGAAATTTCCCAGGAACCGCCATCCTTAATGGGGGAGAGAAATTGGAATTTTGTACTATATTCATGAGGTAAAAAATTTTTTTGGGAGTGATGGAATTGAACTTAAATTTAATTTTGATAGGCTTTTAAGTCTAAATATAGGCTTTGGATTTTTTTAATTTAATTTTAAAAATAAAATTAATTTTTAATTTAATACAAGTACCGTATTTACTCTGGTAATTCCCCAGGGGGATTATTGTTTCAACCCATCCCCAGGGTGGGGAATTAATAGAGACTGGGGAATTAATAGAGTGGGGTAGAAAGAGGGGGATTATTGTTTCAACCCATCCCCAGGGTGGGGAATTAATCGAGACTGGGGAATTAATAAAGACTGGGGGATTACTAGAGTAAATACGGTAAATGATTCTTTAATAATCCACTTAAAAAATAAATTATTGTAAAAAATAATTATCTAAATATTAATTTTTGAAGGATTTTAGAGAGGAAGAGAGGAATTAGTAGCAAATTAAATAATAATTGAGGGAAGATGTAGGAAAGGTGATTAATAAAATTTAAGAGAAGGGAAAGGAGGGAGGGGGGATTAACTTTAGCAAATAAATGACGAAGAAAAAAATTACATATTTAAAAATAATGGGATTAATTAAGCTAATATTTACTTAAATGCCCTCAGGCAATATTTGAAAAATAATTTTCTAGGGCCTGGGATTTTCTAAAAAAATTTTGAGGGATAAACGGTACATCTAACCAGAGGTGGGTCAAAACAGTCAGAGGTGTCGGAGATTGTAAAAGCAGGAAATCGGAACTGTATACCTATAATAATAACTAATTTTTTTACCATTGTTTTTGGGGGGAAATAAATAGTCGGAACTCGGAAATCGGAAATCAAATTTTTTTTTCGGAAATCTGAATTCCGACCCACCTCTGTATGTAACCCAAAAAAGTTTGCTAATATACGAGTAAAATTATTGTATTTTTAATTTTGGGGTTCCCTTCCTTTTCTGTTTTTCTAGTTGACCTCTCCTCTAAAATACTTAAAATAATGATTTGGATTTTTATTATTATTTATTTTCCTTCAAAAACAATGGGTAACAAAAAATCAGTTATTATATTTAACTGTTCTCTAAACTCTTCCCTCATTCTTTCCCTCATTCCCGTCTCGTTGTTCTCCCAAAAAAATTATTTTTTTAAAGTATTTAATTGCTCGTATAATGCTTTTACTATTATTATTATTCTCGAGAAATCAACAAAAAATACAGTTATTATTGTAATAAATACTTTTTTTTGGTTTGAGACACCTGTCTTCCTTTTTTCCCACATTACACATGTCTTGTTTTGTTGTATTTGCTCCGTGAACCCTAAAAAACTTTTTTTGTACGATTGAAGAAGGAACAAAAAAATAGGACAAGAAATTTTTTGGACAAATTCTGTTGGATCAATCTCTGTATTACGACTCCCCTCTCTTGCGTCTCGTTTTTCCTTTTGTATCAACTAGGGATCTGTTTCTAGGGAGCTTCTAGTGATCTGTTTTTAGCCTAAGTTGTTTCCCCTACCTGAACAATTTCCTACTTAATTAGTTAAACAAGGCCCTAAAGGTGTGTGTGTTGTATTACAGGTTTGACAGTTTAATTTAACTATTAGAAAAATTATTTTTCTGAAAAAGAAAATTCTTTCCAATTCAACGAAAAATCAAAATATTTTGTGTGCCGATTAGGTTGTGGATAACAAAAAAAAAATTTTTTTAATGGACAAATTTTTCTTTTCTATTTTTCTGAGGGGTGTAATATGCGTAAAATTATCTCGCAAAAATTATATATATTTAGTTAAATATTAAAAAAGGGATATATTTATTTTATTTTGTTTATTTGGATATAATGGAGAAGGGAGGGGGGGATTTTAGGTAGTTAGTTAGTGAGATGACGCGTGTATTTATTTTTATTTTATTTAAAAAAGTCATTCAAAATTATATGGAAAAATGGCGGAAATAAATACAGTGCAAATTGGATTATTTAGTAAAAATAATATTTTTATTAAAAAAATTTTTTTAATATTTTTTTTTAATTTTTAGAAAAATTTTTTTTAAAAGATGGAGAGGTTTAGGCTGCTTTTTGTTAATAATTCTATTATTTTAATTTAATAAAAAATTATTTTTTAATTTTTTTTATAAATTTAAGAATATTTTCTTTAATTTAAAATTAATTTTAAAAAATTAGTTTAATTTATTTTATTAAAAAAAATTTTTTTATTGGCTGACAGTCAGTTAAACTACCTACCTATTACCCTACCTATTTTCTTCTATAATTTAAAAACATTAATTTTCTGTTTAAAACATTTGCCGCCTTATAAACATTAAAAGAAACAAACAAATTGTTTTTCTTTTTTTCACTGGTTTTAAATAAACACCGCCTTATAATTAAACTTGTTTGTGTTTTGTCGTGTGTCTTTAACTCTTATTTTGTATTTTACTTGTATTTTCTCTTTATATTAAATAAACCTGGAATTAAAAAAATAAACTTGGATTAAACTTGAAAATACAAACTTGGAAATAAACCTTAAAAATAAACTTGAATTAAAACAAACATTGAAAAAAAACTTCAAAATAAACTTGGATTAAAACAAGCATTAAAACAAAACATTAAACAAAACATTTAAATTTAATGTTTTTTTCAGAAATTAATTGCAACATTTCCCCATCCCAACAAACATCAACAAACCAACAACAATTTTATGAAAACATGCGAATCTCACAAACATCCCCCCATTCATCCTCTAGTGAAACAACAACAACAACACCCATAACAACATTAACACCAAACAAAAGAAACTCAACAAATACTTGTTGTGTTTCCGGAGGGAAAAAGGCAAGAAAAGCGCGAACAATATTTACTGACAAACAATTGCAAGAGTTGGAAACAATGTTTGAACATAAGCGGTAAGGGGGTCTTGAAATTTATTTTTTTATTTTTTGACTTTATTTTTTAAATTTATTTTTTTTTTAATTTTAATAAATATTTTTTATGTAATTTAAATAAAATTTATTTTTATTTTTAGTTATTTGTCTGTTACCGATAGAATGGAGTTGGCTAGAAGAATGAATTTGAGCGATACTCAAGTGAAAACATGGTATCAAAATAGAAGGTATAAAAATTTTTTGAATTAAAAAAAAATTTTTTTAAATTAAAAAATATTTTAAACAAAATTTTTCTTTTATTTTCCCTCATTTCTACAGTAATTTTATTTTTATTTAACCAAATAAGCTTCAAATAAACTTCCCGCTTGTTTCCTTTTTGAGTGAGAGAAATTTATATTCTTTTATTTCTTTTCGCTAATTTATTCACTAAAATAATAATACAAGAAAAAGCATCCCTAAAAAGATTTTTGAATCTTTAATGACTAAAATAAATAAATATTAATGCTTCAATGAGAATGCTTCAATCTTTTATTTTTATTGTACATATAACCGGAAAGGGGTGTATTCCAAGTTTATTTTGTGTTTTCCGGAAAGTTGTAAAAATGTTTGTATTGTTTTTCCGGAAAGTTGTAAAAATGTTTGTATTGTTTTCCGGAAAGTTGTAAAAATGTTTGTATTGTTTTCCGGAAAGTTGTAAAAATGTTTGTATTGTTTTCCGGAAAGTTGTAAAAATGTTTGTATTGTTTTCCGGAAAGTTGTAAAAATGTTTGTATTGTTTTCCGGAAAGTTGTAAAAATGTTTGTATTGTTTTCCGGAAAGTTGTAAAAATGTTTGTATTGTTTTCCGGAAAGTTGTAAAAATGTTTGTATTGTTTTCCGGAAAGTTGTAAAAATGTTTGTATTGTTTTCCGGAAAGTTGTAAAAATGTTTGTATTGTTTTCCGGAAAGTTGTAAAAATGTTTGTATTGTTTTCCGGAAAGTTGTAAAAATGTTTGTATTGTTTTCCGGAAAGTTGTAAAAATGTTTGTATTGTTTTCCGGAAAGTTGTAAAAATGTTTGTATTGTTTTCCGGAAAGTTGTAAAAATGTTTGTATTGTTTTCCGGAAAGTTGTAAAAATGTTTGTATTGTTTTCCGGAAAGTTGTAAAAATGTTTGTATTGTTTTCCGGAAAGTTGTAAAAATGTTTGTATTGTTTTCCGGAAAGTTGTAAAAATGTTTGTATTGTTTTGCGGAAAGTTGTAAAAATGTTTGTATTGTTTTGCGGAAAGTTGTAAAAATGTTTGTATTGTTTTCCGGAAAGTTGTAAAAATGTTTGTATTGTTTTCCGGAAAGTTGTAAAAATGTTTGTATTGTTTTCCGGAAAGTTGTAAAAATGTTTGTATTGTTTTCCGGAAAGTTGTAAAAATGTTTGTATTGTTTTCCGGAAAGTTGTAAAAATGTTTGTATTGTTTTGCGGAAAGTTGTAAAAATGTTTGTATTGTTTTCCGGAAAGTTGTAAAAATGTTTGTATTGTTTTCCGGAAAGTTGTAAAAATGTTTGTATTGTTTTCCGGAAAGTTGTAAAAATGTTTGTATTGTTTTCCGGAAAGTTGTAAAAATGTTTGTATTGTTTTCCGGAAAGTTGTAAAAATGTTTGTATTGTTTTCCGGAAAGTTGTAAAAATGTTTGTATTGTTTTCCGGAAAGTTGTAAAAATGTTTGTATTGTTTTCCGGAAAGTTGTAAAAATGTTTGTATTGTTTTCCGGAAAGTTGTAAAAATGTTTGTATTGTTTTCCGGAAAGTTGTAAAAATGTTTGTATTGTTTTCCGGAAAGTTGTAAAAATGTTTGTATTGTTTTCCGGAAAGTTGTAAAAATGTTTGTATTGTTTTCCGGAAAGTTGTAAAAATGTTTGTATTGTTTTCCGGAAAGTTGTAAAAATGTTTGTATTGTTTTCCGGAAAGTTGTAAAAATGTTTGTATTGTTTTCCGGAAAGTTGTAAAAATGTTTGTATTGTTTTCCGGAAAGTTGTAAAAATGTTTGTATTGTTTTCCGGAAAGTTGTAAAAATGTTTGTATTGTTTTCCGGAAAGTTGTAAAAATGTTTGTATTGTTTTCCGGAAAGTTGTAAAAATGTTTGTATTGTTTTCCGGAAAGTTGTAAAAATGTTTGTATTGTTTTCCGGAAAGTTGTAAAAATGTTTGTATTGTTTTCCGGAAAGTTGTAAAAATGTTTGTATTGTTTTCCGGAAAGTTTCATGTTTTACAATAATTAATTATTTAAAACAAACTTTCTTTCTCTTTCTCTCACATTCTCTATAATTTAAGTGATGTTTTAGAGTAAATCATTAATTCTCTCCTTTCTTTTCCTTTCTCAATAAATAAACCTATTTTTGCGGCACCATGTTTAAAAAGCATTGAAGCAAAAACACAAATATATTTTGAGAGTTGTCATTTGAATTAGTCAAAAAATAGGAGGAAATTGTTAGGATGAGAGGAAACGGGGAGTATCATCACACTTTTCTAAAAGCACAAATTGGTTTTAGAAAATTGTTAGGCTTAAAAATAAATTTGTGTTTTTAGTGAAAAGGCCATCGTAGGGCCAATTGCATGTCAAAAGGGGATTAGGTGATGATTTATTTTTTTGATTTTTTTTATTTTTTTTTTTTGGGGTAAAATTGGATTTTTAAAGAGTGATTATTTGAGTGAGGAGAGGATTTTTAAAAATTAAAAAATATTAAAAAAAAATAATTTTTTTTTGAAAATTTTTACTAAAAAATAAATTTAAAAATCAAAAAATCTTAATTTTAAAATTATTAAGAATTTTATAAAAAAAAATTTTAGAACAAAATGGAAGCGACAAGAACAGACTAGTGCAGATATGCTTAACGATCAGCAACAAGTTATAATGGTTATTATTTAATTAATGTTTTTGTTAATTAAATGTTTTTCCGGAACGATGTTCAAATTTATTTTGTTTTCCGGAAAATGTTTTGTTTGTAAAACAACAAATGTTTTGTTTATAAACAAAAAATGTTTTCAAAACATTTTCCGGAAAACATTTGTTTTGTTTTACAATTTGTAATATTTTTCCGGAAAACAAAAAATAAACTTGAAATACAACCTTAATTACAAATTGTAAAACAAAACACTTGTTTTCCGGAAAATGTTTTGTAGAATGTTTGTCTTATAGTGTTTACAAAACATTTTCCGGAAAACATGTGTTTTACAATTTGTAATATTAATTAAGGTTTTATTTCAAGTTTATTTTTGTTTTCCGGAAAATTATTACAATTTGTAAAATTAAAACTTGTTTTCCGGAAAGTTTTATAAAAAAGTTTTATACTTTTTCTATTTCCTCTTTTTCTCTATTTTATTTATTTTAGATGCAAAACTTAATACGCAGTGACCCTCTCTACTGGGCTCCATTACTGTCACAATTTGCTTCCAACCCTTATTTAATGCATCGTTTACTGCCAGCATTTCTTTCTACCCCTAATATACCAATTACAACATCAATTAATTCCAATTCCCCTTTCACCAATTCCTCCTCTTCTGTTGCCAGTACTTCTTCAACATTATCTACCTCAACAACAACAACAACTTTATCAAATACAGAAACAATTGATGAAAATAAAATTAAAACAATTTCAGGATTAATAAAAAATGAAGAAGATTTAAATATAAAAGAAAAAGAAAAATTAAAAGAAGAAAATGCTTTGAGTTATACTGGAAAACTTGGGAAACGTAAACATGTTTTAAGTGAGGAGAGTGAAGAGATTGTAAAAAAAGTTGCAAAAGAGGAAGTTTAGATTAATAAATAAACTTTAATAAAATGTTTTAATAATTGTAAAACTTTTGTATTTTTTGTATTTTGTATTTTTAATGTGCATTGTATCAAGTTTTTGTTTTATAATGTGAAATACATATGTAGAATAAACAGGCGAAAATACTGTATATAAATTTAAAACCTGGAAACTATTAAACTTTTCCGGAAAAACATTACCGGAAAACATTGAAATAATATAAATCGTGTTCGTAAAAACATTTCCCGAAAAAACTTTTCGAAAACATTAAAACATATTATAAATCAAGTTTATAAAAACATTTTCCGGAAAAGATTATAAATTATGTTTTTCCGGAAAAACATTAAAGTTTATAAAAACATCTTCAGGAAAAACTTTCCGGAAAAACATTAAAGTTTATAAAAACATCTTCCGGAAAAGATTATAAATTATGTTTTTCCGGAAAAACATTAAAACCTTCTAAACATCCTACAAAGCAAAAGTTTATAAAAACATTTTCCGGAAAAGATTATAAATTATGTTTTTCCGGAAAAACATTAAAGTTTATAAAAACATCTTCAGGAAAAACTTTCCGGAAAAACATTAAAGTTTATAAAAACATCTTCCGGAAAAGATTATAAATTATGTTTTTCCGGAAAAACATTAAAGTTTATAAAAACATCTTCCGGAAAAGATTATAAATTATGTTTTTCCGGAAAAACATTAAAACCTTCTAAACATCCTACAAAGCAAAAGTTTATAAAAACATCTTCCGTAAAAACATCTAAACCTTCTAAACATTTTACAAAACAAATAAAATGTACTATAAAAACAACACATTTTATTCTCCTTTATCCCCTTTTGACCTTCTAGAGCTGTTCAATTTCTCATTAATTCAGTTTTAATAAATAATTATTAAATTATATATTTTTATATTATTTCACACATCCTTCGTTTTAATAAAATGCGCGCGGTCACTTTGCTTAATAAAAATATTAAATATTTTTGAATATTACCCTAAACATATGGCAGCAGCTAATAATAATAATACTATATTATTACATCTTAAAAAAGTCGTCCTTCAAAAAAATTATTTTTTTTTTGTACTTTAAAATAAAATTATTAAAAAAATTTTATTTTTTCTAAAATTAAAAAAATATTTTTTTAGTCATTAAACCCATTTTCCCATAATCATCTACCATTTTTTAAAAATAAAATAAAAATAAAAATAAAAAATGAGGTCGAGAAATAAGAGGACAGATTGCGCAATGTTTTAATTGTGTAAATAAATGAGTCAAATAAACAAAAAAAATTATTGTGAATTCTCTTCCTTACAGTTTTTGCTTGTTGTTTTCATTATCGTCTCTTCAAATCAAATAATTAAAAAATTTCCCCAAAAAATTTTTTTTCTCGACGATAGAATAAATTATGATGGTATTTTTGTATTGTGGAATAGTGTCGATTTATGGGCAATTAAAGCACCTTTGCGCTCATTATTCGTCTTGACATTGTTTCTGCACCATATGCTATTAAAACAATTAAAGTAAAAGTCAAGAAATGACAATAGAGAAAAAAAAACATTTTAAATAAACATAAAAAGATTTACGGAAAATATGATAAAACGTCAAATAAGTTTTGTTTAAGTTTCCGGAAAACATTTTTTATAAACTAAACATGTTTGAGGAAGTCTCACAAAACATCAAACAAACATTCCGGAAACATTCAAGTTTTACAAACATTTCAGAAACATCTAAAAACATCCTCTGTATAGTAGACAATTTTAGATGTTTCATAAACATCAGACGAACATTCCGGAAACAGAAAAATTAAAAAATCATTTTCCGGAAAACATCTTCCGTAAAGTTTAATAAAACTGAACATGTTTTAAAGTTTCACAAACATCCAAACATTAAAAAAAACATCTAAAAACACATTTATAACCCAAACATGTTCAAATTGATTTTCCAAAAAACATTACATAAACATATAACTAAAGTTATGACTAACTTTAAAACGCTACTTTATATGAGTAATACGCTTACTTCCATGTCTCGTTCAAATTTTATTCTTATAAAAATTATTAATAATTTTTTTAATTTTTTAAAATTCTTATGAAAAAATTTAAATTATTATTTAAAATATTAATTTTATTAAAAATATTAATTATCAATTCAACACAAAAAATAAATTCTAATGAAAACGAAGGTGTTTTTAAATGTTTTCCGAAAATTCGAGAGAATATTCCGGAAAACATTTATAATTTTAAAAACACTAAAACATGTTTTTAATTCAAGTTTTGGCAACGATACTTTATGGGAGCGATAATATTACTTTAAATAATACTCAAAAAATAAACAAAATTCAACCTTGGGACGGAAATAAATTTTTTGAAAGAAAAAATAATTTGGGTATAATTAATTTATTTTAAAAAAAATTCAAAAAAATATTTTTTAAGGTCTTCTAATAACATTGTTAGCAATTGTTTTGGGCATTGGAATATGTTCGTTATGCGCAACATGTTTAGTCAAACATTATATTACAACAAACGATATTAAAAACTTGAAGAAAAAGAGAGTTGCGAGTGTTCGATATATTCACAAACAAAGCATTACTATTTAAATGACTAAAACATAATGAAAAACTTAAATTCCGGAAAACATTAAAACTTGTTTAAATCATTGTAGAAATGTTTTACAATTTTCCGGAAAACATTTCCGGAAAACCTATTTAAATAAGTCACAATTTACAACTTACCGGAAAACAAGTTCAGATACAAATTACTAAAACCATTTATGTTTTCCGGAAAAAACTAAAACTTTAAAAACACTCCAAACTTTCCGGAAAACAAGTTCAAAAACATTAAAACCATTAAAACATTTACAACTTTCCGGAAAACACCAAGGAACCTGATTAAATAAGTCACAATTTAGCAACTTTCCGGAAAACAAGTTTAAAAACAAATTACTAAAACATTTGTCTTCCGGAAAACACCAAAACTTTAAAAACACAACCCTGAACATTGCTACATAACAAACTTCAAAACATTCAAAACTTTCCGGAAAACAAGTTTATAAACAAACTACTAAAACATTTACAACTTTCCGGAAAACACAAAAACCTTAAACACACAAAAACAAAGTTTTAATTATTTTATTCAACACAACATATATACAATAGGCAGCGACAATACAAAATGTGCGCAAATACAATAATATTTAAGGGGTAGAGAATATTATCACAATACGCGCATCCAATACAAACAACTACATATATATGAGGAATAACAAAGTAATTATGAGTCTAATACATACACAAACAAAATCATGGGGAAGAGAGGGGATATATTAGAGGGAAAAAATATATAAGGGATATGAGAGGGGTTTTTGGATATATTATAGAGGGAAATCTTTGCAAAAAATATATATATCTTTCTGATTTCCTCATTCCTGTTTTTCTCCCTCAGATTTATGTGGATGTGCCAATTTTTGCTCTTCAGACTGTAGATGATTCGCGCTGCCGCCATTCCCAGCTTGCGTCCAACCATTACTAGAAAAACAAGGGGAGGTATTAAAAGGTTTTGGTTTATTCTAGTTTCCGGAAAACATTCAAAAACATTCCGGAAAAACAATGTTTTGTTTATTTATTATTTTCCGAAAAACATTCAAAAACATGTTCAGAATATTAAATTTTAGACAGTGGAAAAACAAGTTTATTTTTTAGTTTCCGGAAAACATTCAAAACACTCCGGAAAAACAAAGGTTTGTTTAGACTGTTATGTCTATTTTGTATTTTCCGGAAAACATTTAAAACATGTCAGAATATTAAAGTTTTTAGACAGAAAACAAGTTTATTTTTATGGTTTCCGGAAAACATTTAGCAAAACATTCCGGAAAAACAAAAGTTTTATTTACTCACCTCTTCCTCCTCGCCTTCTCCCTCTCCCTCATCTTCGCCACCCTCCGTGCTTGCAGGCTTGGACTCATCAGCAGCATCTTCAGCATCAGTTCCCGCCTCCTTTGCCGTTCCTTCCTCTCCAGTCGTCCCTCCAGCACCTCCCTCATCAGCCGCAGATTCAGCCGTCTTTTCTTCACCTTCCCCATCTTTCTTCTCGGCGTCTTCCTTCTTCGAGCCTTCATCCTCCGTTGCGCTCTTATCTGCTCCTTCGGTTGTTTTCGCCTCCGATTCCGCGCCGCCAGCAGCAGAAGCACTAGACTTGGTCCCCGCTTCAGCGTCCCCTTCCTTCCCCTCATCCTCCGATTTTTTGCCTGAGAGAAGGAAGAAAGCAACAATTCCGACAATGCAACACAGAAGCCTTAAAAAATGAAAAAAAAAATTTTTTTTGAAATTTTATTGAGAAAACTCACACAACAACGATAATGACAATGACTATCACCGAACCACTCTTCTCTGTTGGAGCAGGTGTAGTGGTAGTTGTTGTTGAAGGAGATGGAGGCTTGCCAGAAGAAGGCTTAGGAGCAGAATCACTCGTAGATCCCCCCACTGGTGGCGGTTCTGTCTCTGGCTCGCCTGACGGGTCACTTCCCGGTGCGCCTTCTGATGTAGTCTCAGGCCCAGACGTGGTAGAGTTGCCCGAAACTGGTGGCGTTGTCTCTGTATCATTTCCGCCCTGTTAAAATTCAAAATTAAATTAAGATTAGAAAGAAGAAAAGTTAAAATTTACCCCTCCTCCTTGGTTCACTGTCTTATTTGATGGAGGCGGGTCCGTTGGATCCGGAGTTGGCGTCGTTTCTCCTTCAGGCACTTTCGGTTGATCACCATCCCCCTCAGGCTTCTTTGCTGGGTCACCTTCCTTCGGTTGTGGATTCTGCGGCGGCGGCTCGTCTTGTTGAAGTTCTTCGTCAAGATGTTTTCCAAATGCCTTCCTTGCTTTTCCCAGGCCCTTCCTAGCACCAGCAGGTATCACTTTCGGTGGAATTGATGGCATCTTGAAGTTGTCGACCGCAGACTCCGCCTCGCCCATTACTTTTTCGTCTTCAGGGTCCATTTGGGGTCCCTCTGCATGTTCAGCAAGTTCAAGCCCATGTTTGTTCAGGTTGTCGAATGGGAGAGAAACAATCAACGGCAGAAGCAGCAGAAGCGACCAAAGCACCAAAGTCCTTGATGGCGACATTATTGTTGCGTTGTTGTTGTTTGAACGAGCACGTTGAGAGGATGTGAAGAGAGCGTTTTGTTTGACGACTTGTAACAGTTGTGTATGTAGGTTTGAGGGTTTGGAAAACATTGGGCTTTTATATGAAGTTTTGAGGGGTGTTGTTTTGTTGCTTCAAAACATTCACTCTAACTGCAATATCACTATACAAACACATAAACAAAACTTACAAACACAACAAAACAAACAAATGTGTTTTTAATGTTTTCCGGAAAAGTTGTAAAAAAAATCAGCATGTTTTACAATTAACAAGTGTTAGGGTTTTTACAATTTGTTTTAATGTTTTCCGGAAAGTTGTAAATTGTTTACGGAACTCTAAAATGTTTTCCGGAAAATTAAAAATGTTTTCCGGAAAATCTAAATGTTTTCCGGAAAATTTAAATGTTTTCCGGAAAGATTTAAAGTGTTTTCCGGAATGTTTTGCAACTAACAAGTGTTTTTACAATTTCTCTAACATGTTTTCCGGAAAGTTGTATTTTGTTTTAATGTTTTGACTATTGTTGTTTCCGGAATTTCAGCGTATTTTTAATTTGTTTCTCTAGAAAACTTTCTGCAATTAAAACACAACATGTTTTACAAATTTATCTAAGAGTTTAATGTTCATTTTAAAAACAAAAATATAAGTGAAATATAGGAGAGAGAATGTTTTAAAAGACGCGAAATGGTTATTCCCCATAATTTTTAACTTAAAAAAAATTTCAAAAAAATTTCTAAAATTAATTTTTCCTTTACTAATGGAAGCTCTTTAACTTGAAAAATTTTTCCTGATATTTTTAAAAAATATTTATAAAAAATAGGAGAGAGAAAGAGATTCATCAAAAATTATGGCATAAATCTTAATAAAATTGGGATAATACCAAAAAAATAATTTTGAAAAAAAAACAAAATTACAAAAAAAAACAAAATTACAAAAAATATATAGAAATTATATGGCAATTAAAAAATAAATTTAAAAAAATTGAAATTTGCCACAAAAAAAAAAAATTATTTTTATTTTTTCCCTTTTCCTTCTTTATTAGAAGCACTTCTTTTAATATTTTTCTTCTTATTTTTATTGTCATCAGTACTGCTCTGTGGACTCGCACTTGAATGTACACACAATAAGCGTCTCAAAACATTACCAATTCCCCCTCCCCCTCCCCCACCAACTTTTTTTCCTCCTCCAAACATTGTTTTTGTTGATGTTTTTGTTGTTGTTTGTTTCTTTTCTTCTTTTAAATTTATTTGTTTTCCGGAAAACTTTCCGGAACATGTTTGGATTAAATTTAATTGTTGTTCGTGTTCGTGTTGTTGTGTTTGTTGTTGTTCGTGTTGTTGTTGTTTTATTAATTCAACATGTTTTTGCCCAATCGAACATTCTAATGAACTATTTCCGGAAGATGTTGTTATCTCTGTCGACGGGTTTTTTATAAGTTTTTGACCGTCTGACGTAATTATTTGTTGTTGTTGTGTTTGTTGTTGAGGAATAAAATGTTGTTGTTGGTGGTAATTTGTTGAGTTTATTACTGCTGCTTTAAAAGTGAGAGATAAAAAAATAGTATGGGAAAATGAGAGACGGCAGAGAAAATTTTTTTTTATTTTTTTCTTGGCATTTTTTATTTTTTTTTGAAATTTTCGATTTAAAAAATAATTTTTTATATTAAAAAATTTTTTTCTAATTATAACAACCTTTTCCAACAGCAGCAATTAAATTGTTATTATTATTGTTTGCAGCAGCCATAGCATTTGCATAAATTGAAGTTTTTGTAGGAATTAGCATAGATGGAGATATAACTGGAGGTGCTTGAAAAAGAATAAAAATTATATTTTTTTAAAAAGTTTAATGAAAAATTGGAGAAAATGGAGTGGAACGTTGTTTTTTCGGACCATTTTTCAAATATGTCTTTGGAATTGCTTCACAAAAAAATTATAAAAATTAATTCGTATTAGGCGAGAGAACAGAAAAAAAGTCCAAAACCCAAAGAAAAAATCTTTAAAAAATTTCAAAAAAATAAAAAAGAAACAACGGTAATACTGAAGAATACAGACCCGATTTTTTCCTCCCCAATTTGCCCCTTATATTTTTAAAAAATGGTCAGACTTTTTCCTTCCTTCCGTGCAATTTGCCTTTCTAATTTTTGCCTACAATCAAAAAAAAGGATTATTTTTGGTAGTTGACAAGTATAAGTTTGGGAAGACTCATTTTCTTTATTAAAACAGTAAATAAAATATCAAAAATAATCCTTTTTGTTTGATTGTAGGCAAAAATTAGAAAAGCAAATTGGATGGAGGAAAGGAAAAAGTCTGACCATTTTGTAAAAATATAGGGGGAAAATTGGTGAGGAAAAAATCAGGTCTGTATTCTTCAGTATTACCGAAACAACCCTTCACACACTACAAGTCCCAAAAAAATTTAGAAAAAAATATTTAAAAAAAAACCAATCATCAAAGCATCCAAACCACGCGCAGCATTAGTATGTTGCACCCAAGCTGTAGGGTCAATAGGTCTGACAGGCTCCGATTGTGGTGGTCGGAAAATATTATTTGCAGGTGTAAGCACATCTCCACGAGAACAAGTTAATTTTAATTGGCTTTAAGAAAAAAATTTTTTTTATATTTTTTAAAATAAAAAAAAACCCTCGACTTTCAACAGCTTGTCGAACAGCAGTTGAGAGAACATTAACAGCAGCTTCAGGCGTTTCATATTCGTCTAATGAAATTCCATTAATTTCAAGCAAAATAAATCCTTTTTTAATTCGACCGTCCAAAGCTACTAGACTATCTTGAAGAAGAGAAAAAAAATTTCTTTAATTTATTAAAGTGGGGTTTTCAAAAAATTTACGAAAGGATTCGGACGCGCTTGGATCCCTTTATTTTTAAATGTCAAAAAAATACAACAACCCGATCAAAAAGTTTGAATTTTCGAAAGCTCTATTCTTTGGTTAAATGGAATTTTCAAGAAAGAAGGGTTCAAATCCGTTTGAGGATTCTCAAAAAAATTTTTCAAGGGAAAAAGTTCGAATCCGAATGGATCCTTTTATTTTTAAATGTCAAAAAATATAACAATCCGATCAAAAAGTTTGAATTTTCGAAAAATGTAATCCTTGGTTAAGTGGGATTTTCAAAAATTTACAAAAAGGAAGGGTTCAAAACCGTTCAAGGATTTTTATTTTATGAATTATAAAAAATGCTAGTGACCCGATTTTATAATTAAAAACCTCAAAATTTTTCTAAATTAAAAAAATCAAAAAAAAACAAACTTGGAGATACTTCATGAACAACAATTCCATAAAAATAACGATTTCGTTTAACAACAACAGACATTCCAAAAGGACGACGAGTATCCATATTAAATGTTACCTTTAATTTAAAAAATTATCACTAATTTTGGAAAAAATGTACACTTTGGTTAAGTGGGATATTTCAAAAAATTTAAGGGGAAGGGTTCGAACCAGTTTCAGGATTTTTAATTTTAAATTATTGGACAATAAATACAAGACCAGAACTTTTTTTGCAAACCGTCCTCCTTGGTTAAGTGGAATTTTCAAAAATATTCAAGGGTACGGGTTCGACCCCGCTCGGAGATTTTTATTTTTTTAAATTATAAAAATGAATACCGTGATCACATCCACCGACATAGAAACTTCAGTATCGTCAAAAGTAGAAGAAAGAAAGGATGATGGAGGAGAGCGTTGACGTCTATAACGTTTACGTTTTTCACGAGTCCAGTAAGGCTTTGAATTTGCCCCTTTATTGTTATGTTGATTTTGAAGAGCATAACGAGAAGCAAAATGATTTTGTTGAGAAACACTAGTAAAGTCTGTTGTGTATCTGAAAATAGGAAAAGTTTTGAGGAGAAATTCAATTTTGGGACCAAATGTCACGAAAATCATTTTGGGATCAAATGTCTCAAAAAATTTTTGGTACCTAGAAATCTTTGTGACTGAAAATCTCTTCAATTTTTAGCACAAAAATACAGAAAATCAAATTTGAGAACCAAAAAAGAAAATCTGAGCGTGTGGTTAAGTGAGGACAAGAGTCAAAAATAGACCAAGGTCCGAACCCGTTCAGGGAAATTTAATTCTTAAAAATAATTTTAAAAGCAAAACAACAAACTGAGAATCTCCATCGGACAGACTACTAGCAAAATTAGATTCTCCAAACAATTGATTATTTGTTATATTTTCCTCTTCAGGACTGCTGTCCCCTTCAACAAATTTTGAATGTTCCATAATATAGTGAGATGCTGGACGTTTTCCTGCCATCATTGACGCACGAACTCCACAATTCTTTTGTGACTAAAAAAATGTCGGAGTAAAGGAAAAATTGAAAAGAAGAGCCGAAAAATAAAATTTTGGGACCAAATGTCTCAAAATCAATTTTGGGACCAAATGTCTCAAAATCAATTTTGGGACCAAATGTCTCAAAATCAGTTTTGGGACCAAATGTCTCAAAAATCAGTTTTGGGACCAAATGTCTCAAAAATCATTTTGGGACCAAATGTCTCAAAATCAATTTTGGGACCAAATGTCTCAAAATCAATTTTGGGACCAAATGTCTCAAAATCAATTTTGGGACCAAATGTCTCAAAATCAATTTTGGGACCAAATGTCTCAAAATCAATTTTGGGACCAAATGTCTCAAAATCAATTTTGGGACCAAATGTCTCAAAATCAATTTTGGGACCAAATGTCTCAAAATCAATTTTGGGACCAAATGTCTCAAAATCAGTTTTGGGACCAAATGTCTCAAAAATCAGTTTTGGGACCAAATGTCTCAAAAATCATTTTGGGACCAAATGTCTCAAAAATCATTTTGGGACCAAATGTCTCAAAATCTTTTTTGGGATCAAATGTCACCTAAACAATTTTTTCGGTTTCTTCTCAATTTTTCAATGTTTTTAGACTAGATTCTTAATAGTAAAACCTGAAAATGTGTTGGAGCCAAAACTTGTCTTTGAGCAAATCCGTGATGGTGATGTTTCTGATCTATTGGACGCTGAATCGTTCTCCCACAACCATTATCCGACAAAAGAAATAATTCAAAGCGTCCATTTGCACAAGGCTTTAAGCATTCATATTCATCACGAATCTCGGCTTTGACTTCTCTAAAAATTAAAAAAAAATTTCGAAAGAATTTGAGGCTAAATTGAGAAAAAATGAGCAAGAAGAAACACTCAACTCAACCAAAAGAGATGTGGCATATTAGCCATACATTTCTAATTTTAAAGTTTTAATCCGGGATTCGAATTTCCGTATTCGAATTCGAGTTAGTGATTATGTTAGGGATTAGACTGTGTCGAATCCGATTCCTAAAGCGACTCGGTCGAATTTAAAAATAAGGTAAAAGTCAGTTTGTATGACCCCTTTTTTATTTTTGATGACCCGAAAAAACGAAGAAGTGCTTTTTCGACATTCTTGAGGTTGTCAGCAGAGAATCCAAATATTAGTTCAATTTTCATACGTGAATTAGAACAAGTCAGATGCGGCTAAACTGACAGCTCGAATTCAGGTCCGGGATTAGAAATAAATCAAATCTAAACTTATATTCGGATCCGCCACAATCGATTACCTACTGGTCAACCTCAAAAAATAATTAGAAAGCACATCTTGCTTCCTTTTTCTAAAACCAATAAATCAGAAGCTAACCAAATTTTAAAATCAAAAACAAAAATAAAAAAAAAACAAACGCATTTAATTCAGCATCCACAACTTTACAATAATATTTATAGCTTCGTTTAGTTATACAATTCTTAAAATCATACAAAGTAATTTTTGAAGGTGGAACGGGGACTTCTGTTGAATAAGGCATTTTTTGATCATCTACATAATAGTAGACCTGAAAAAATTTGATTTAAAAAAATAGAATGAAAGGGAAATGTACTAAATTTAGTTCAAATTCGATTATTTATTGTTGCTATATGAAAATAAAAAAGGATTCCAACTCGAGGATTCGAACCCTACACATAAAACCGAAACATATCCCACTAAACCAAAGTGACAAATACTCCTCAAATTACTATAAATGACCATAACTTTGTTCAGACAAGACAGATTTAGACGATTTTGGTATCATTCGACTCAGCACTTAAAGCTGAGTCGAATGATATATAATTAGACTATAAATTTAAAAAATTCTTAAAAATTTCAGAAGGAAAGAGGAACCTAAATTGTAACAGATTTTAATCAGATTTGCTCGTCTATTTTCAACTTAACCCCCAAAAAATTATAAATAATATTCATTAACGTATGAAAATGAACAAAATTAAAATGAACACAGGCCAAGGAAAAAAATTATTATTATTTCAAAAAAAACCTTGGTAGTCAAAGGCTCATGTTCTTCTTCAATATTTTCAACATTTTCAGTCTCCATTTTATTTTCTTCTTCCTTTTTTAAAGATGAAATATTTTCTGAATTATTATTCTCTTTATTTTCCATTATTTAAATAATTAATTTTAAAATCTAAAAAAACAAATTTTTTAATTAAGCAATCACACAATAATGAGAGTCTTAAGAAAGGGAAATAATCACTCTATTGATTTTAGACTGTGTTAAGACTAAAAAACAATCAATTTTTGACGTTTGTTTATTCAAGCCATTTTTTCAAAGCGCGTCTTTTTTTGAAAAAATATTTTTGGCATTTTATATTTTAGATGACACTAGAGTCTCAAATTGGCAATCCGAGAGAATTGGGGCTCCTGGGGTCCTCGAGTCATATTTTTGGCCATAACTTTTTCAATCCTTAATCGATTTGGATAATTAATATATCAATCGAAAGCTATTGATGTAAGGATTATTTTATCTAATAGGATTGATTTGATCAGATCAACATAAAAAAAGTTACAGCCAAATAAGAATCAAAAATTACGATTGCGCGCACTTATTTGCCTGTAACTTTTTGTAGGATGTTCTGATCAAATCAATCTAGTTGGCAAAAATAATCCACACATCCAAAGCTTTCGAATGATATGAGAATTACTCGAATCGGAGGAAATACATGAAAGTTATGGCCCAAAATACGGCCTGAATCGGTGATACTGAATCCTTCTTTTCTCAGTTTATAGACAATAGAGTCTGGTTACGGTACATTTCTGTTCGAAAAAAGTTTTGGTATAAAAGCCGACTTTAAAATGCTATAAAAGCCTTCTACTTTCGTCATTCTACACCAATCAACATAATTTCTTCCTCAAGCAAGTCTTCAAGCAACTCTACGAACAACAACAAAACATCAAGGCGTCATGCTCTTCTGTTTCGACAACGGATCTGGAACGAAAAAGGCTTCGACAGCAACTCTACGTTCGGCTACCACCATCTTGCCGATGTTCTTTGCTTCGACTCTCTTCGTTTTTGTGCTGCTTGGACAGGTCAACAGTGAGGAGGTTGGATTCTTCAATCACACTCTGAAGGATGGTCAAGTTACGCTTCGCAATTATTCCACGGCTGTCGAAAAAGGAGACGTCTACAACCTTACCAAGTACACGAATCTTCCTGGGTCCTGTGATGTTGAATTCAATAGAAAAGGAAACATGTGAGTTTCTACAATGTTATTGGATTTTTAAACAATTTTCATTCTTTTCAGTGTGCTCTACTACAGCAAAAACGGAAAGAATATAAAGAAGCTGCACTGTGGACCTGCTTACCAAACATCCGAACATGATCAAGTTCAGGACTGGAGTGAAGATAGAACCTGAGGACTGCCTAAAAGAGTGTTCAAGTTATAATATCCCTTTTGATGGTGCCGCTGATAATACGTTAGTTTATTTCCTACATAATTTGATAATTGTCTTATTTGTTTTTAGCCTTCCCTTCGCCTACAGCTCAACAGAGAACAATAACATCACGGAACTCAAGGACGGTTCGCGCTATGGGAAAGGACAGAAATGTGAACCTATGAGGTGGTGTAAGGTTAATTGCATGGAATGGACTTCTCTCGAGATTGCTTGGAACAAATGTATCATGAGAGGCGATTACCATACCTTTGCTCACACCCATCCAAGTGAGAATAAAATTCTTTTAATTGTTTTAATGTGTTTTTTAGTTGGCGAGACACTGGCAGAATGGTTTATAAAGGATCTTGAAGATTTCAATGAATTTGGTCTGACGATAAAGGAAGGCGGCTTATTCATGGATTTGAAAGGAAAACCGAGCAGGAATTTGACGTATAATCTGACCGATAAACGAAATCATCCATTCTGCGTTCCTGAAGGAAAAGGCTTTATCAAACCCTCGAATTGGAAAATCATTGGGACGAATCCAGCTCCAGAATATGGTCATCTGCTTGTCTTCTATATGCTTCCGCAGAGCGTTTCTCGAATTTACAGCAAAGGCGAAATCACAGACAAATCTCCTGATGGTCCAAAATGTGAAGAACTCTACATTGAATTTGTAAGGAATTTTGAAATTTTCTTGTGAAAGCCCTTCAAAATTTTCTTTTTATTCAGGACAAGGACCACTACAAACTTTTGTCTGTTGGCGATCCACCGCCAACTACAACGACAACAACAACTACTACAACCACCACTACAACCAGTTCAACGGCCACCACATCAACACCGACTACTGTAAAGACGACACGAACAACGACAACAACGGAAAAACCTAAACCTCAGGATTCTTTTCCTTGGCTTATTGTTATTTTTGTTGGAATTTTTGTTATTGGTATTCTCGCTGGTGGAGGTATGGTCTTTGTCTTGATGAAGGTTTGTTTGTGATTACAGAGTGATTATAGATTATTTTCTTTTATTTTCAGGCTAAGAAGGCTGATCGGGAGAAGGACACGACTACGGTGAATTCACTAATGGCAGCCACGGAGACTTCAAAGATGGAGGAGGACAAATCGAAAATGGGCGGGAAATCGGAGGAGGACAAAGCAAAGATGGAGGAGAAGTCGAAGATGGGGGAGAAATCGAAAGTGGCGACCACTGCGAATTCGATGATGGAGACCAACTCGAAAATGGAGGAGGAGGACAAGTCGAAGAGCAGCCAGCAGGAATGATGAGAGGACAATAAAAGAAGCTATAAGTGTTCCAGAGAAGAAAAAAGATGTGTAATTGTTGAAGAGAAAGTTCAAAATAATAATTGTTGTTGTTGTTTTCCCTCAAAAATATATTTGTTCCTATTTTCCTATATTGCTCTTATACCCCTATATAATTAGCCAAACATTTTGTTGTATTTGTTTCCCTCTAAAACCTATATTTGTAGCATTCAATATACCGTATTTATTCTAATAAAATGGCCCCTCTAATAGAATGGCCCCTCCAATAGAATGGCCCCTTTTGGGGGGTATCGAAAAATAGAGTGGCCACCTCCATTAGAATGGCCCCTCCAATAGAATGGCCCTTTTAACTACAAAACATATACCTAATACATTTCTTCATTTTCTTATTACCTGTTAAATAGTACTCTTTAGTTAGGATAATCATAATATTTTTAAGCAAATCTGGAGTCACGAAAGGGAGATTAAGAGGGATATCAGGGTATTTGAGAGGATTAGAAGTGATATTACGAAATTACAAGTATTTACTGAAGATAACTACTACGTATTAAGGAATTAAGAGAATTAAGGTTAGATATTCATGGATTGGATAGATTAGATTTATCAGAGAACTTGCTGGAATACATACGATTTACAGGAATAATGATAGATTTGGTGAGAATGATTGATTTGGTGAGACTCATTAATCCTTCGATATCATCCAAATTCATTAATATCCCTCCGAATCTCTTCCGATTCCAATATATTACGTCCAAATAACAAGATCCCACGAACTTTTAGGAGCCAACAGTAACAAAAATTCTGATTTTGTGGCACCGAAGTACATAAAAGTTGCCCTTTTGCCCAGTAGGCAAAAGACTTTTATGTTTTATAGTGTTACGCTAAGGTAGATTCGCTAACCAAAGTCGAAAATATAGAATTTTACAAGAAAAATCAATTAAATTTCGAAGTCGATTTCGAAGTCCAATCTCAGATTATTACCTATGAAAAATAGAGTGGCCACCTCCATTAGAATGGCCCCTCCAATAGAATGGCCCCTTTTGGGGGGTATCGAAAAATAGAGTGGCGGCCATTCTATTAGAATAAATACGGTATGTTTGTTTGTATTGTTGTGATTGTAAAATAAATTGTTGTGTTTGTAGAAAAGGCTTGAGTAATATAAACATTAAACATATCCTAAAACATTTAAAACTGAACTGAAAACATCAAATAAAAATATTAAAAACATTGAATGCACGTGTTTAAAAAGAATCATAGAAAAAAAATATTTTTATTAAATTAAATTGCAACATTAAAATTAAAAATGCATAATAAATAAAGAGTAAATGCTTAAAAAGCAACAAAATAAAATCAAATAAAAAATGATTTATATTAAAAATATGTAGAAAATGACCAGTCATTTTTAATTGCTTGAGAAAAAATAAGGGCAATCCCGGAGAATCGTGGTCCCTGCGGAAAAAAATCTTAAAAATAAGAAAAAGGATTTTTCTAGGGTAAGAAATTATGCTGATTACGAATCTGAACTCGGATTTTGAAAAAGTCGAACCCGAACCACAAAAAACAAACAACGTAGACCTATGTTTTTTGTGGCATAACCTCGCCCGATCTTGATCAATCACGGTAATTTTGATGTCATTCGACTCAGCTCATCGAGCTCTTTCGAATGATATGTTATTTGACCAATTTGCGCTCTGTAAATTTTTTCCAAAATATCAAATGTTCGAATTTCGGGTTCGGGATTCGACTTTTTCAAAATCCGAGTTCAGATTCGTAATCAGCATAATTTTTTACCCTAGAAAAATCCTTTTTCTTATTCTTAAGATTTTTTTCCGCAGGGACCACGATTCTCCGGGATTGCCAAAATAAGGAAGTAGGCGGGGCCCAAAATTTTTTTTGTTTCCGGAAGCCTCCCATAAATTTTTTTCTTGAGTTTCATTCGATTTTGTATCTTTTCTGATCACTAAAAACAATTTTAAAATGTTTAAAAAATAAAGGGCACTGAGCGGGGTCGAACCCGCGACCCCCTCGAACACTAATTTCCGCTTAAATTTATTTTTCTTAGGATTTTAAACCATTAAAAATTTGAATTTTTATTTCTTGTTACTTCTTAGCTTATTAAAAATAATTTTTTATCTTTTAAAAAATTCCGTGCCCCGAGCGGGTTCGAACCCGAGACCCTCCTTAATCAGGGAGATCACCCATAAAATTTTCCTAATTTTTAATTAAAAAATTTTCTGCTGATAAAATTTCTACCCAAAAAGTATTCTAAATATTCTCCCTCCACTTCCCCATCAAAAATAATAACAAAAAATACACCTGACATTAGATACAGAAAAAAATAAAAATAATTATTCCAAATCTAAACTAGCCATTCTATTAATTGTATTATTTTCTTCGCTTTTATTTTCTTCAATATTTTTATTTTCGTTTCTTTTTGACGTTTCCATGCTAAAAATTAATTTTTAAAAATTAAAAAAATTTATTCCACATCTTAAAAAATTCCGGGCCCCGAGCGGGGTCGAACCCACGACCCCATTTTGATCCATCATCCACGTTAAAAAGTTTTAAGTATTGTTTTTGATAGAATCTAAACTGAAATATACATTTTTGTAACGTTTTTAATCATCAAAAACAATTTTCCACGTCTTAAAAAATTCCGGGCCCCGAGCGGGGTCGAACCCACGACCCCTTTTTGATCCATCATCCACGTTAAAAAGTTTTAAGTATTGTTTTTGATAGAATCTAAACTGAAATATACATTTTTGTAACGTTTTTAATCATCAAAAACAATTTTCCACGTCTTAAAAAATTCCGGGCCCCGAGCGGGGTCGAACCCACGACCCCTTTTTGATCCATCATCCACGTTAAAAAGTTTTAAGTATTGTTTTTGATAGAATCTAAACTGAAATATACATTTTTGTAACGTTTTTAATCATCAAAAACAATTTTCCACGTCTTAAAAAATTCCGGGCCCCGAGCGGGATCGAACCCACGACCCCCTTTTAATCCATTATCCCTCTTTTTATTTCTAATTTTTTTACCTTATTATTTTCTCTTTCCCAACATTTTCACCATTATTATTTTCCATTAATCTTGTCCTCTCATTAATTATTTTATTTTTAACTTCTTCATCATTTTTTAAATTTAATATTATTCCTCCATTAGTTTTTCCATTTTTAAATTTTTCTTCTCCTCCATTTTCTTTAATTATTGTTGTTCCATTACTTGAATTTATTAAAGTTGCTGTTGATGTTCTTTTTATTGGTGGAATAGTTAGAGGTATCATTCTTCCATAACAGGTCAAAAGAAGTGCCAAATTTAAGGAAATAACTCCCATTTCCATTAACCAAGCACTTTGAGGGCCATAAGCGGAATATAAAACACTGAAAGTTAAAATATAGTCGAAATTCGTATAGCATTTTATTGTAAACTTGCCAGAAAACATGGGAAAAATCAGAATTGTTTTTAAACATTTTAGGAAGACTAGAAAATAAGAGGGATTTGAATCTTAAACCCCTCTATACCTATAAACCTAACACGTACCCACTTAACCATGGAGTGGGTAAAAAAACAAAATTTTGCTTACAACCTATTTTACATTAATATTTTTTATACTACATTATGGCTCATTCGAAAAAAGCTTAACGATAATCATCGTTAGCTAAGTGGGATAAGTCAAGAGAGGGGGTCGCAGGTTCGAACCCGGTCAGGGCCCATATTTTTTTAACCTTATAATTTTAATCAGAGACATCGTTTTTAGTATTTTTGATGATTAACGAAATTTAAAAAAATTTTTAATCCAAAAAAAGTACCTAATAACAACAGGTCCAACCATTCTAGCTGCCCCACCAGCCATTTGTAACAATCCTTGTTGAAATCCTTGTCTTCGAGGACCAATAATTTTTGAAAATAAAGTATTTAAAGAAACATTGAGACTTGGAAAAGCTAGTCCAATAAATAAAATATAGCAAATATAAAAATAAAATGGATTTATTGAACGGACAGAATTGCACCAAGAAAATTTTGAAGTATCGCACCCAACGTGTTGTATTTCTTCATTACTACCATCATCGTCTATATCGGTGCTATTAAATGGATAATCTGAAATTTTTTTAATGAAAAGTGGAAATAAAATAAATATTTAAAAATATTAAATAGAAAATTTTATTTAAAATTTTTTTTGACTAAATTAAAAAGGAAAATTATGGGGCAAGAGGGATCGCAGGTTCGAACCCGCTCGGCGCCCGGGATTTTTTAAAAGGTAGAAAATTGTTTTTAATAAGCTAAGAAGTAACAAGAAATAAAAATTGCAATTTTTAATTGTTTAAAATCCAAGGAAAAATAAATTTAAGCGTAAATCGTGTTCAAAGGGGTCGCAGGTTCGAACCCGCTCGGGGCCCATATTTTTTAAAACATTTTTAAATTATTTTCTAATGTTGAAAAAAGTTAAAAAATGTAAGTTTAAATTTTGTCAAAAACAACAATTTAGACTTTTATAAAAATATTTTAAATTGTAGGCTAAATTAAAAAGGAAAATTATAGGGTGAGAGGGGTCGTGGGTTCGAACCCGCTCGACGCCCATATTTTTTAAAATATTTTTAAATTATCAAAAATAATTGAAAAAAGTTTTAAAAATATATAAAAAAATAAAAAACAAACCTTCACTAGAATATGTTGTAAGATGTCCAGGTAAAAACGGATAAGAATAAGTTAATATATGAAATAGTAATAAAGCGAATAATGAGGTAATTACATTGCAACGTTCATGAAGACTTAAAAAAATTTTTTTTAATTATTTAAGACTTGCTAAAAATATAAAGTGAGGTACTTCAAGCATTCTTATAAGTTTAAGAAAGAAAAAAATTCCGGGCCCCGAGCGGGTTCGAACCCACGACCCCCAAGGAGGCCATAAAGGCTTAAAACGTTTGTAAAATTACTTTAAGAAATAAAAAAACCACAGAAAATAAGGTGGTTCGCACATTTTTAAAAGTCTAAGAAAGAAAAAAATTCCGGGCCCTGAGCGGGTTCGAACCCACGACCCCCCAAAAATAAAAAAAATAAACAAACAATCTATCAAATCTAAACATAATGAAGCCAACATAAATTAAAAAAGCTAGAAGCGACATTATTGCTTGCTAGAAAAAAATATTTTAGAAAATTTAAACAAATTAAATTAACCGCTGCAGAAAAATATTTAACAGATTCAGTCCGTGTCCATGCAAATAAAACCATTGCTAAAGAAGCGCCTAACCTAAAAAGAAAAAAATTTTTTTATTTAAAAAATAAAATAAACATACGTTTCCAAATTTGTATTTATAAACATTTGTGTAAAACGAGTAAAATAACACAAAAATAATGCTCTTTTGTCAATTTTTGGTAAAGCTGGTTCATTACGATTAATTTGACTTCTCTGAAAAATTTAAAAAAATAAAAATTAAAAAAAAAATTGTAAAAAAATTTTAAAAACGTTTTAATAATGTCTAATAATATTTTTTCAAATATTTATGCCAAAAGATTTGAGTTAAAAAATTCCAGGCCTCGAACGGGTTCGAACCTCCGACCCCCAAAATATGATTTTTTGGGAAAAAAAAGAATAATAAAACATTAAAATCTATGGTAAAAAATTAAAAAACGTTTTAATAAAGTCTAAAAATGTTTTTATAAATATTTATGCCAAAAAATTTAAGCTAAAAAAGTCCCGGCCTCGAACGGGTTCGAACCTGCGACCCCCTCCCCCAGATGTGAGTTATAGCCATTTCCGATTAAATTAAAAATTTACACACAAAAAACAAACCGAACTCATTACTCCAGCATAAACTTCACGAAAATAGGTAAAAATACAAAAAGCATTAACTGCATTCATTATACAAGCCATTAATGCTGGGGCAGTGTACATTGAAAGCATTAAACCAGAAATAAAAATATTTGGGCCAGGGTAACCAATTGGAGTAAAAAGTAGTTGAAAAGCTTAAAAATAAATTAAAATGGAAAAAATTTAAAGAAAATTAAATTTCTAAACAATTATTTGCAATTTAGCAAGAATAAAAAATTCAGGCCCCGAGCGGGTTCGAACCTGCGACCTAGATTTTTTGGAAAAAAATAATAAAATTAAAATTTATTGGTAAAAATTTAAAAAACGTTTTAATAATGTCCAAAAATATTTTTATAAATATTTATGCCAAAAAAATCATCGTTAAAAAAATTTAGGCGCCGAGCGGGTTCGAACCCACGACCCCCTAAACAATCATTTTTAAAATCAAATATCCCACAAACAATAAATAAAAAATAAAAGTAAAATAAAAAATAAACTAAACCTGGCCCCATAGTCATACCCAAAGCCACACCACCAGTTACCAACGCAATAGCACGTGAACGATCGCGTTGGGTGCTGGCGCTAGAAGCATATGCTTTCAACAAACTTATGTTACCTTTAAAAAAATTATTTCTCAAACAAAAATTATTTTTAAATTTAATAACAAAATTGGAAGTCAGAAAAATCCCAAAAAATTTTTAGAAAAAAATACTTGAGCCAATCCCCGTCACAAAACGTCCAATAAGCAACGCATATTTACGCTCTTCAATAGGAAATAGATGAACACACAAATACAAAGCATTTCCTAAAAATGCAAGAAAAATGCCAATATACAATAAATGACGAATCTGAATTTGAAAAAATTTAAAAAATTTTTTAAAAGGAAAAAAACCTTTTTTAGTCTATTAGATAAATAACCAACAATAGGGGAAGCAATCATTTGACCAAGTGAATAACTAGCAACAATATACCCGTAAAAATTTTCTGAGGCGGAAGAGTCCATCTTTAAAAATGTTTTTTTAGATTTATTAAAAATATTTTAAAAATATTTAGAAAAATTAAATGAGTTGGGAAAAATAAGGTCGAGTTTATCCCACTTAACCACAGTATTAACAAAAACAATTTAAGGAAAAGAAATTGTAATTAACCCACTTAACCACAGAAGCATCCATGGACTAGAGATAGAGATTTTTGAAAAGCCTGGACCTGTTTGTGGACTCTGAGTTTGATTTATTGACCAGGGCCTGTACTCAGGAAAAACCCAAGAAGGTCAAAAATGCCTGGGCCTGGACTCTGGGTACAGAAAAAACCCCAGGCCTTGGTCCAGGCCCAGCTCGATCTCTGGGACTCAAATCGCTTTAGAAAATCAACTAAATATCCAAAAATGATAAATATGCTCCAAAAAGATTCGAACTCAATACGTTTGGTCTAACCCTTATAAGAACAGGTGAATTTAACCAACTTAACCACAAAAAACGAAATCACGTAAAACTTGTTAACCTAGTGGAAAATGGAAATAAAAACCCCGAAAAATTAATTTAAAAATTAAAGAAATTCCAAACAAACAATTTGTAAATATTGCCGCATAGAAGAAAAATAAAGAGAAAATTGTACAGCAGAACAAAAAGTCAAAAATGTACAAATATATAGAGAACGCCAATCAGAATGTTGGGAAGAATTGATTGAAGAATTAATTGAAGAATTTGTTGGTGTTGGAATTATTGTTGTTGTTGGTGGTAAAGGATTTAAATATTTTTTGAATGATTTTTGCTTAAAAATAAAAAATTTTTAAAAATTAAAAAAAATTTTTTAATGCCAAAAAAATTTTTTTATAAAATTTAGGTCATTGGGTCTTCAAAAAATTTTTTTTGGAAGTCTTAAAGTGTCTAAAATATTTCTAAAAATTTTTCAGAATTTTTTAAAATATCAAAAAACCCAAAATCCACCGAAAGGACTCGAACCATACACCTAAAAGTCGATAAAATCGAATTAATTACCGACTTAACCACAAATACCATTAAAGAGAGAATGACCCAAAAAATAAAAAAATTTTTCTGACAAATCCCAATTAATTAAAAAAGAATACCGATTGATTTCTATCCAATAATGGAGAAGAAGCATTTAAATTATTATCCATTTCTGTTGGCCTTTTCGTTGTATTAGGTTGGAAATCAATCTAAAAATTTGAAAATTAAAAAATAATTAAAAAGGGGATCAAATGTCACTTTTACTCCAAAACCGAGAAATAAATAAAATTTAAAAAAAACCTGATAGAATTAATAAAAAGAAAAAAAAAGTAAAGGAAAAAATTAAAATTTGAAGCGATAAAGGTAAAAAACTGTGATAATTTAACCAAAAAATGTCAATTTTCGAAGGTTTTTCGGCCTTAACATTTTTTCAAAGTTACCCAAAATTATGGTCTAAACAGTTTTTAATAGGCAATTTCAAGCTCTATCGAATGATACCAAAAGAATTTTTAAAAGTTGACTCATTAAAAAGTTGTGGGGGTAAAAGTTGAGACGGTCAATGTACTCTGTTGTTTCAGGGGGAAAATTTTTGATTCAAAAAATAAAATAGAAAAAGATTAGGAAAAAAAGGAAAATAAACAAAAAAATCCTAAAATGTCCCTAAAAATAATTTCCCTTAAAACAAATTATTTTTCACGAAAAAATGAATAAAATACAAAGACAAATTGTTAAAAAAAAGGAATTTTATCAAATTAAAGGAAAAATTATTAATAAATTTTTACATTAATTTTATCAATAATTTGTAATAAAAATAAGGAAAATAATTATAATTTAATATGGAATTATTTTGAAACCCCAAAACTGATTAGAGATCAGGAAATTAGAGAAATTATTTCTCACCGTTGCCTAACTTACCAGATCGGACACTTTTTGGGCTTAAAATTTTTTCGTCTTATCCTATTTCCTGTCAACTTTTATAATTGTAGAGTGGATCGGGGATGCCTAAACCTTACTCTAAACCCCCAAAACTGGTTAAATATCAGGATATTCGATTTTTTCTCATCACCGTTGCATAACTTAACAGATCGGACACTTTTAGGCTTAAAATTTTTTTTCGTTTAATCCAATTTCCCGTCGACCTGTCTGACCGTCGTGAGTATCGGGGGTGCCTAAAGCCTTACTCTAACCCCCTACCCAGACTCAAAAATAAATTTAAAAAATAAAAAAACACCTAACCTTATCTTCCCTTATATTGCCCTCATTTTCATTCTTCACCATTTTCTCATTTTTCCCATTTGTTTTGTCTGTCTTGTTCAAAAGTTTATTATCATCCTCCGCTTTATTAGAAATAGAAGAGGAAGAAGACTCTTCATTTAATGATGAAATAGAATTATTGTCGTTGCCGTTGTCATTATTCTCCGTCGATTTTAGATGTGTGGTGTCCATTTTATTTGGTTTTTTAATTAAAACCCTAAAAATGAGGCTAGAAAAAAATTTTTTTAGATAAATAAGTGGCAGAAAAACATAGAAAAATAAATTAGAATAAGAATTTAAAAGAAAAAAGAATAAAAACCGCCGAAGGGGTTCGAACCCTGACCCCTTCTCCTGTTGTAGTCAAAAAGACACGCACTTAGCCACGTGTATTATTTTGAGAACAACTAGGTTAGTGGAGGAGTAGAGAAAAAATATAAAAAGAGGAATTTAGGACAAAATAAAATTAAAACCCCGACGTTGTTCGAACCCTACCCCCCACCTCCCTGTAGTCAAAAATACATCCACTCAACCACACCCACCCTATTTCTTAATAATTTTAGGAAATGTTGGAAAATGTGATCTTTAAATTTTTAAGAAATAAAATTCAAAGTACATATCTAAATCAACTAGTTTTAGCTTTAAAATTAGCAAGAAAATACGATTATTGTTTGTTCAGTAAAATAATCCTTTCAATTTTTAGCTTTCGCAATTTTTGCTTAAAAAAGAATTAGAGAAGAATAGCATCAACTTAACAAATATTGATTAAAAAGAAGTTAAAGTTTGAAGATTAAAAAAGAGAATCAAGGAAAATCAAGAGTTGAATTAATTTTAAACAAAAAAGTACACCAAAGACAGAACGCCAAAAATTAATTAAAATTTGAAATTTTTTAGAAGGCCGAGGCAAAGAAAAAGGCATTTTGCCGTCGTTCAATTTTAACAAGAATCATATTTTTATACTTTTGTATTATTAAGAAGTCATTTTTGACAAAAGATTGCATTGGGAATGAAGAAATGCGATTTTGTCTCTCCTTCTTTTGAATACTATTTTTGTCGCAAAACGCTTTTTAAGTGAACGCGCATTAAACAGAAAATTATAACCAACAAAAATTTAATAAAAAATAATCTAAAAATTAAAATTATTTTTAAAATCAAAGATATATGAGTAAAAAAAGAATTAATAAATCCCTATTTATAAAATAAAAGAAATATAGAAATACATATATATGACGAAACAGTTGGTAAGCAGTTAAGCTTCAATATAAAAAAAGCTTAGCGTTACTAAGAGGAAATAATTTTTTTAAAAAAGAGAAGCGAAGAAAATGTTTAGGAAAAAAAAGGTTAGAGAGAAAGCTTGCGAAAAGTCAAAAAAATATCTAAAAAAATTTGCGGATTTTTTAAAATTGCGGATGTCCGCAAATAAACTTGCGGACAAAAAATTTATTTTTGCGGACAAAAAAATTTTTTCAACGATCTAATCAAATAAAAAAATAAAAAACACAAAACAACCTTTATATTATCTTCACATTTTTAACAATATTTTTTTTTTAATTTTTAGAGAAACTTTATATTTTTTATTAGCCAGTAACTAATTTCTCTTGAATCGATAATTGGGTCTTTGCCAAATTCGCCAATAAGGAAACCATCAAATAATCACGCAAAGAATGCTTAGAAAGACTTTCGAGACGAGCTGGAGGTAATTGGGTATTTGCCAATTCAACAATCTGTGGGGGAAAATGGAGTTGGAAAAATTATAAAAAAATGCGGACAAAATTTGCGGACAAAAATTATTTTTAATGGATTGCGAGCAGGGTTGCATGTGAATTTTGTTAACAATTTTTAGGATAAAATTCTCAATAAAAATTGTCAAAAAGAGTGTCAAACCCTCCAACAAATCTTGTCCGCAAACTTATTCTCAAATATGCGGACGTTGAAATTTGTCCGCAAATATTTTTGCGGACAATCAAATTTTTTCTCAAAAAATTGTCTCCAATTTTGTCCGCAAAACCAAAAAAACATTTTTAAAAATTTCAAAAAAAACCTCCATCAATTTTCTCCCAACTTCAGGATTTGGATTTTCCTCTTTTCCATTTAACACATTTTTAACATAACGCATTATACGCTCTAACCATGTCAATATATTCTCTGTACATTCTAATAATTGTTCCTGTTCATCTCCCAATTCAATTTCACGACGTTCCGAGTCTATTCCTCTCTAAAAATTTTTTATAAAAATTAAAAAAAAAAGTATTTTTTCCAAAAATGAGGGAATTAAGCAAAATATGCACTTTTGGTTAAGTGCAAGTGTGCTAGGTTTGCAACTAAAAGGGTGTAGGGTTCGACCCCGCTCGGGAAAACTAATTAAATTAAAGTTTTCAGTAAATTTTTAATTTATAAAAAATATTTTTTAAACATTTTCCCCTCAAAAATAGGGAAATTAGAATTCTTGGTTAAGTGCAAATGTGTTAGATTTAGTGCCTAAAGGGGTGCAGGGTTCGACCCCGCTCGTGGAAAATTAATTAAATTAAGGCTTTTTTAGGTTAATAAAAATTGTAAAAACTAAAAAACTTAAAATAAAATTTAAAAAAATATTTTTTTAATAATAAAAAACCGTAATAAAATTGAGAGCAACAGCCTCCCCCAAAAAAGCATCCATTTCCACATTTAGAGGGCAAAAAGCACCATCACGCCTTAATAAAAATTTTTTTAGAAAATTTAATTAAAAAATAAAACTAATCAAACATAGTAAAAGCTTTAACAGGCAAACGATTTGCTGTCGAACCAGAAAAAGACAAGTCCATAGTAAGCAAAATAACAGGTGGAAGTTCTTTTTTAGTTGCTTCGCGAGCCATTAACTAAATAAAAATAAAAAAATTAAATAAATTTCTATCTAAAAAATCAATAGGACAAAATAAAAAATAAGGACGAAATTTGAAAAAAAATATTTTCCACAAGTATATATCCGCAAATAAAGATCCCAACTTTCATCCCGGCCTCTCAAGGGATGAAAGCTGCCCAAGGAGGGCAACTTATCCGCTATGCACAAATAAAAATTTTTATTTTTCGAAGAAAAACGTTATCGAAAAAGGAAAGAACGATTAAAGAAAATAGCTTTAAAAAATATAAAAAAATATTAACCTGGCTATAATATGTATTGAAATGAAAACACGAATCAGGCAAATCTGGAACAGTAAAGAACCTAAAGAAGAAAATAAAATTTTCAAAAAAATTCTCAAAAAATTTCCAACAAACCATCCAACAATTTGTTCTGTAGGAGAAGAACGTTTACACATTTGCCACATTGAACGATTAAAGTTATCATTAATTTCAGGATTGTCTATTACAGCATCAGAAAATGGAATAGCATAACAATTAGTTGCCTATTTTGAATAAAAAATTAATTTAAAATTTGTAAAAAATTTTAGAGAAAAATTGTTAAAAAGTCTTCCTTTCCTGACCCCAAAAATTAAAAAAGGAACGTGTTTAGGGAGCATTCAGCCTAGAAAATTTATTCAATAAGAGGACCATTCGAACTGAATATTAGAGATGGGTCCTTACAACCCCTATAAGGTCCTCAAAGACGGGGATACCGGGAAATAACAAGTCGCTGACAGGGGATGCTCCAAAAACAGGAGATGTCTTGGAAAGACAAAGGCCCCAAAGCCAGGGGATGCTCCAAATTAGTTTCTGTCATCGCATTTGCCCGAAAACAGTTGGAAAGGGCTGCGTATTGAAAAAGGCCCCTTGTTATCGAAAAGAGCCTCTTTTTAGCGTTTTGACCACGAATTTATTGAACTCTTGGACAACCAAAAAAATAAATTTAAAAGAACCCGACTTAAAATTAAGAAAAATTAAAAAAAAACCTGAACAACATTTTTCTCATAAAATCCAAGTAAAGTCCCCAAAGCACGACTTTCCACTCTTTCTTGGCGTTGAGCAGACATTGTAGTTGTTGAGACAGTTTTTCCAATATTTGAAGAAGATTTGCGTTCATAAGCATCAATAATAGACATATAAACAACTGGGTGAACTTTAACAGTTAGGTCAATTGAAGGAGCCATTTTTCTTAAATATTATTTTTTATCTGAAAAAAATAATAATTAATCTAAATCCTGCTAATTTTTCCTCATTTTTAACAATTAAAAAATTTTATGGACGATTTCGGCGCACTCCTATAAGGCGCTAAACACGCCAAGTCATTTTGCGCCGAAACGACAAGCATATAATTTAAATAAATTTGGTGGTTAAGTGGGTTCGTTGACAATTAAATTTTTTAAATTAATTAAAGTATGCAGGTTCGAACACTTGACGGTCAGAAAATTTTTAAAAATAAAATTTTAAATTTAAAAACACTTTAAAACTGATTTAAATTGTTAAAAATGAGAAATTTTTGGAATTTGAATTTAAATAAAAAAAAAATAAATAAAAATATTGAAAATGTGCTGAACAAATAATTTAAAATATTTTTTTAAATTAATATTTTTTATACATTTTAAACAAATTAAATAATAGCGAATTAAAAATTTTTTTTAATTTTGACATTAAAAGTCAAAAAAAATTAAAATTAGGGAAAGAGGAGGCAGAAAAGATGTTTTATTAAATTTGCGGACATAACTTTCGGACAACTAGACTTTCAAATAATTAGAGCTATTTTACAAAAATCCGCAAATTTAAAAAATCTTTCCTATATAATCTATTGACCTTGTCATAAAATTAAAATAAAAATCAAACAAAAAAAACAAGAAAAAGGGAAATAGGCTCTGGTATAGGCTAATAACGCGCGCGACGACGTTTTCAAAAGAAAGTCATTGACTTATAAACTTCTCGGTAGGATTCATAAACTATACCAGAACCAAAAAGTACTAGGAGGACTGTCTAAAGCAAATAAGAGAGGGTGTAAGTCTTAAAAAAAAATAAATTTTTTTTAAATTAATATTGAGCGTCATTAAAATAAGGAGAAGGGGAAAGATTGCCTTCTTTCTTCCTTTTTAAATTTAAATTAGTTTAAAAAACCTTTAATATTTCAAGGCTTTTCTTGATGTAATTGAATTATAAATTCTTCCAATTTTTCTTGAATAAAACGAACTTGTGCTTAAAAATAATTTTAATTTTAGGAAAAAATTAATAAAAAAAACCCAATTCTTCAGCCAATTCAACTTGTCTACCAGTCAAATATTGCTTCTTTTTTTCATTATCTTGAGACCAGTCATTTAAAATTTCCTCAAAAAATTTAATTTTAATATTTAATTTAAAGGAAAATTTTTTGATGAACATATAATGAATCCATCCCGTAGGTTCAGGGAGTAAAGAAAAAGAGAACCCTTAGAAAAGGTGATGCTAACAGAAGAATTATTTTCTTCATTAATATTTTCATCGTCTATATCGGTGCTATTAAATGGATAATCTGAAATTTTTTTAAATGAAAAGTGGAAATAAAATAAAAATTTAAAAATATTTATAACTAAAAAATTATTTTTAAAAATTTTTTGGCTAAATTAAAAAGGAAAATGATAAGTTAAGAGGGGTCGCAGGTTCGAACCCGCTCGGTGCCCATATTTTTTGAAACATTTTTAAATTATTTTTAATGTTCAAAAAAGTTACAAAATGTAAGCTTAAGTTCAGATTTTGTCAAAAACAACAATTTAGACTTTTATAAAAATATTTTAAATTGTAGGCTAAATTAAAAATCAAAATTGTGTTAAGGGGGGTCGTGGGTTCGAACCCGCTCAGGGCCCATATTTTTTAAAACATTTTTAAATTATCAAAAACTCAAAAATAATTAAAACAAAGTTAGAAATAATATTAAACAATTAGAAAACAAACCTTCACTAGAATATGTTGTAAGATGTCCAGGTAGAAACGGATAAGAATAAGTCAATACATGAAATAGTAATAAAGCAAATAATGAGGTAGCTACATTGCAACGTTCATGAAGACTTAAAAAAATTTTTTTTAATTATTTAAGACTTGCTAAAAATATAAAGTGAGGTACTTCAAGCATTCTTATAAGTTCAAGGAAGAAAAAAATTCCGGGCCCTGGGCGGGTTCGAACCCACGACCCCCCAGGAACGGTCATAAAGGCTTATAAACGTTTGTAAAATTATTTTAAGAAATAGAAACCCACAGAAAATAAAATTGTTCGAACATTCTTATAAGCTAACGAAAGAAAAGGAAGAAAAAAATTCCCGTCCCCGAACGGGTTCGAACCTGCGACCCCCCTCTCCCCTCAAAAAATTAAGAAAATAAACATACAATCTATCAAATCTAAACATAATGAAGCCAACATAAATTAAAAACGCTAGAAGAGACATTATTGCTTGCTAAAAACAAAAAAAAATATTTTTAAAGGTTCAAAAAAACTAACCGCTGCAGAAAAATATTTGACAGATTCAGTACGTGTCCATGCAAATAAAACCATTGCTAAAGAAGCACCCAAACTGAAAAAAATTTTTTTTTAATTTTTTTATAAAAATGTCAAACGTTTCTAAATTTGTATTTATAAACATTTGTGTAAAACGAGTAAAATAACACAAAAACAATGCTCTCTTGTCAATTTTTGGTAAAGCTGGCTCATTACGATTAATTTGACTTCTCTGAAAAAAATAATAAAATTTAAAAAAAATTGTAAAAAAAATTTTAAAAACGTTTTAACAATTTCTAATAATATTTTTATAAATATTTATTCCAAAAAATCTGAATTAAAAAATTCCCGGCACCGAACAGGTTCGAACCTGCGACCCCAAAAATGCGTGTCCGGACAAAATATCGAATCGTTAAAATATGGAATAGGCTAAAAAAGGGTTAAAATCTCGAATCGGGTAAAAAGGGGTTAAAATCGCGAATAGGCTAAAAAGGGGTTAAAATATGGAATCGTTAAAATATGGAATGGTAAAAATGTCGACACGGCCAAAATTGGTCAAAATGTCGAATTTTTTAAAAATGGCGCCAAAACTAGAATCCGGACGGTACCGTAATACCGATGGTATTTTTCGGTATTCCGTGTCGGTTGTACGGTACGGAATGCCTTCCGATAAAATTTAAAAGCTGATCGGTGTTTTTCGGTATTCCATACCGTATACGGTAAGGTCAAACTTTAGGTCTTAACTAAAAACTAATGCACACCACTATAATTTTTCCATATCAGGATCGCGTTATGTTTTCCGGATCCGTACGATCATGCCGGACCGGATCCGGTGTCGATTATGCTTAATTTATCCGGTCCGGTTTTACTCCGTAAAATACACTGAACTCGGGCAGAAAAGATTGCGCCGGACTACGACTTATCAATCAACTTATCATCAATAAGTTGATAAGTTGATAAAATTATCAATAATCAATGTATGGCACTCATCTGACCCTTTTTTAAAAGAATTCGACATTTTGACCGATTTTGGCCGTGTCGACATTTTTACCATTCCATATTTTAACGATTCCATATTTTAACCCTTTTTTACCCGATTCGATATTTTAACGTTTCCATATTTTAACGATTCGGTATTTTAACCCCTTTTTAGCCTTTTCGCGATTTTAACCATTCCATATTTTAACGATTCCATATTTTGTACCGGAGCCCAAAAATGTGGTTTGTTGGAAAAAATAATATAAATAAAATTAAAATCTAGGTTAAATAAATTAAAAAAACGTTTTAATAAAGTCTAAAAATGTTTTTATAAATATTTATTCCAAAAAATTTGAGTTAAAAAATTCCCGGCCCCAAACGGGTTCGAACCTGCGACCCCCTCCCCCAAATAAGTTTTGGCCATTTGCGATTAAATTAAAAATTTACACAAAAAACAAACCGAACTCATTACTCCAGCATAAACTTCACGGAAATAGGCAAAAATACAGAAAGCATTAACTGCATTCATTATACAAGCCATTAATGCTGGGGCAGTGTACATTGAAAGCATTAAACCAGAAATAAAAATATTTGGGCCAGGATAACCAATTGGTGTAAAAAGAAGTTGAAAAGCTTAAAAATAAAATAAAAATGGAAAAAATTCAAAGAAAATTGAATTTTTAAACAATTATTTGAAATTTAGAAAGAATAAAAAAAATTCCGGCCCCAAGCGGGGTCGAACCCGCAACCCCCAAAATGAGATTTTTTGGAAAAAAATAATAAAATTAATTGGTAAAAATTTAAAAAACGTTTTAATAATGTCCAAAAATATTTTTATAAATATTTATGCCAAAAAATCCGAGTTAAAAAATTCCGGGACCCGAGCGGGTTCGAACCCACGACCCCCCAAACAATCATTTTTAAAAGCCAAATACCCACAAACAAAAGACAGAAAATAAAAGCAGAATAAAAACAAAACTAAACCTGGCCCCATAGTCATGCCCAAAGCCACACCACCAGTTACCAACGCAATAGCACGTGAACGATCCCGTTGGGTGCTGGCACTAGAGGCATATGCTTTCAACAGACTTATGTTACCTTTAAAAAATTTTTTTTCTCAAAATCAAGAAATATATTTTAAATTTAATAACAGAATCGAAAAAGTCGAAAAAAATTTTTAGAAAAATTTAAAAAAATACTTGAGCCAATCCCCGTCACAAAACGTCCAATAAGTAGCGCATATTTACGCTCTTCAATAGGGAATAAATGCACACACAAATACAAGGCATTTCCCAAAAATGCAAGAAAAATGCCAATATACAATAAATGACGAATCTAAATTTAAAAAAAATTAAAAAAAATTTTAAAAGGAAAAAAACCTTTTTTAGTCTATTAGATAAATAACCAACAATAGGGGAAGCAATCATTTGACCAAGTGAATAACTAGCAACAATATACCCGTAAAAATTTTCTGAGGCGGAAGAATCCATCTGTAAAAATATGTTTTTTTAATTTATTAAAAATATTTGGAAAAATAAAGTGAGTTGGAAAAATACGGTTGAAATTATCCCACTTAACCACAAATAAAAAAATAATTTAAAGAAAAGAAATTCCTCCATGGGATTCCATGGGACTTCCCTCCACGGGATTCGAACCCTATAATTTAAATAAAAAATCCTCTTGAAAACAACATCAGTAACCACTTAACCACAAAACCACTTAAAAAGCCTACATATTTAAGGGTGTTAAATAAACAAAGAAAATTGGTTCCACTAACATTACATTTTAAATATATAATTCACGATAAAACATGAGTTATCCCACTTAACCACAGAAGCATCTAATTGACTCAACCCTATTTAAACAATCAAATAAACATCCAAAAATAAATTTACTCCAAAAAAGATTCGAACCCAATACCTTCAGTCTAACCCTCAAAAACAGGTGAATTTAACCCACTTAACCAAAAGCGCAATTACCGAGAACTTGTTAACCTAGTGGAATATTGAAATAGAACCCCTTGAAAATTAATTTAAAAATTAAAAATTTTAAAACAAACAATTTGTAAATATTGCCGCATAGAAGAAAAATAAAGAGAAAATTGCACAGCAGAACAAAAAGTCAAAAATGTACAAATATATAAAGAACGCCAATCAGAATGTTGAGAAGAATCGATGGAAGAATTAATTGAAGAATTTGTAGGTGTTGGAATTATTGTTGTTGTTGGTAGTGGTGAAGGATTTAAATATTTTTTGAATGATTTTTGCTTAAAAAATAAAAAATTTTTTAAAAAATTTTTAAATTTTATTTTTAATGTCAAAAATGTCAAAAAAATTTTTTTTATAAAATTTATGTCATTGGGGAAATCTTCCAAAAAAAATTTTTGGAGGTCTTAAAGTGTCTAAAATATTTCTAAAAATTTTTCAGAATTTTTTAAAATATTAAAAACCCCAAAATCAGTCAAAAGGACTCGAACCATACACCTAAAAGTCGATAAAATCAAACCAACTACCGACTTAACCACAAATAACATTAAATAGAGAATGACCCAAAAAATAAAAAAAATCTTGAAAAATTAATTAAAAAAACAATACCGATTGATTTCTATCCAATAATGGAGAAGAAGCATTTAAATTATTATCCATTTCTGTTGGCCTTTTCGTTGTATTAGGTTGAAAATCAATCTAAAAATTTAAAAAATAATTGAAAAAATCGAATTAAATTTAAAAATAAAAATGGGATCAAATTTCACTTTGGGATCAAATGTCACTCTTACTCTACAACCGACAAACAAATAAAAATTTAAAAATAAACCTGATAGAATTAATAAATCGAAAGAAAAGTAAAGGAAAAAAATTAAAAAATTAAAAGGTAAAGGTAAAAATCTGAGTCAATTTAATCAAAAAATGCCAATTTTCGAAGGTTCTTCGCCTTAACATTTTTTCCAAGTTACCCAAAATTTAGTTCTAAACGGTTTTTAATAGCCAATTTCAAGCTCTATCGAATGATACCAAAAGAATTTTGAAAAGTTGACTCATTCAAAAGTTGTGGGGGTAAAAGTGAAGACGGTCACGGACCCTGTTGTTCAGGGGGAAAAAATTTTTTGATTCAAAAAATAAAATAGAAATGGACTAGGAAAAAAGAAAAATAAACAAAAAAAATCCTAAAATGTCCCTAAAAATAATTTCCCTTAAAACAAATTATTTTTCTCGAAAAAATGAATAAAATACAAAGACAAATTGTTAAAAAAAGGAATTTTATCAAATTAAAGGAAAAATTATTAATAAATTTTTACATTAATTTTATCAATAATTTGTAATAAAAATAAGGAAAATAATTATAATTTAGTATGGAATTATTTTGAAACCCCAAAACTGATTAGAGATCAGGAAATTAGAGAAATTATTTCTCACCGTTGCCTAACTTACCAGATCGGACACTTTTAGGCTTAAAATTTTTTTTCGTTTAATCCAATTTCCCGTCGACCTGTCTGACCGTCGTGAGTATCGGTGGTGCCTAAAGCCTTACTCTAACCCCCTACCCAGACTCAAAAATAAATTTAAAAAATAAAAAAACAACTAACCTTATCTTCCCTTAAATTGCCCTCATTTTCATTCTTCACCATTTTCTCATTTTTCCCATTTGTTTTGTCTGTCTTGTTCAAAAGTTTATTATCATCCTCCGCTTTATTAGAAATAGAAGAGGAAGAAGACTCTTCATTTAATGATGAAATAGAATTATTGTCGTTGTTGTCATCTTTTTCCGTCGATTTTAGATGTGTGGTGTCCATTTTATTTGACTTTTTTAAACTAAAACCCTAAAAATGAGGCTAAAAAATTTTTTTAGATAAATAAGTGGCAGAAAAACATAGAAAAATAAATTAGGGTAATATTCAATTTCGTTCCCCCCTCCTTTTTTCCATCCTCAAAGTATTAAAAAATGGTCAGTCTGACTTAAGTTATAGAACTCGTCGAGCTGAGTCAAATGACACCAAAATCAAAAAAATCCGACTTGATTTGACCGAAATACAGACCCCTGAAAATTGAACAACCATAGGGGCGAAAAACCAAAAGGACGAAAAAGTATACGAATGATAGCTCATTCGAAAGAGCTCGACGAGCTGAGTCGAATGACACCGAAATCGACGTAATCAGACGAGTTTTGACAAAGTTATGACATAAGGTTGCCGACTCCGGTAATTGAACAACCCTCTGTGGTTGTTCAATTTTCAGGGGTCTGTTTTTCGGTCAAATCAAGTCGGATTTTTTTGATTTTGGTGTCATTCGACTCAGCTCGACGAGCTCTTTCGAATGAGCTATCATTTGGGTAAACTTTTTTTATTTCGAAAAATCACCCCCATGGTTGTTCAATTTTCAGGGGTCTGTATTTCGGTCAAATCAAGTCGGATTTTTTTGATTTTGGTGTCATTCGACTCAGCTCGACGAGCTCTTTCGAATGAGCTATCATTCGTATACTTTTTCGTCCTTTTGGTTTTTCGCCCCTATGGTTGTTCAATTTTCAGGGGTCTGTATTTCGGTCAAATCAATTGATTTTGGTGTCATTCGACTCAGCTCGTCGAGTTCTATAACTTAAGTCAGACTGACCATTTTTTAATACTTTGAGGATGGAAAAAAGGAGGGGGGAACGAAATTGAATATTACCTAAATTAGAATAAGAATTTAAAAGAAAAAAGAATGAAAAACCCCAAAGGGGTTCGAACCCCGACCCCCTTCCGATGTTGTAGTCAAAAAGACACGCACTTAGCCACACCAATCATATTTTTAAGAACAACTAGGTTAGTGGAGGAGTAGAGAAAAAATATAAAAAGAGGAATTTAGGACAAAATAAAATTAAAACCCCGACGTTGTTCGAACCCTACCCCCACCTCCCTGTAGTCTAAAACACATCCACTTAGCCAAACCCACTCTATTTCTTAATAATTTTAGGAAACGTTGGAAAATGAGATCTTTAAATTTTTAAGAAATAAAATTCAAAGTACATATTTAAATCAACTAGTTTTAGCTTTAAAATTAGCAAGAAAAAACGCTTATTGTTTGTTCAGTAAAATAATCCTTTCAATTTTAGCTTTCGCAATTTTTGCTAAAAAAATTAGAGAAGAATAGCTTCAACTTAAAAAAATATTGATTAAAAAAGAGGCTAAAGTTTGAAGATTAAAGAAGAGAAAATGAAGAAAAAAATTATGAAATTAAGGAAAAATCACGGAAAATCAAGGAGTTTAATTATTTTTAAACCAAAAAAGTACACAAAGACGGAACGCCAAAAATTATTTAAAAATTTGAAATTTTCTTAAAAGGCTGTAACAAAGAAAGAAATTTTTTCGCCGTTCAATTTTGGCAAAAATAACACATTTCTTTTAATTTTGTATTATTAAGAAGGAAATTTCATTTTTGTATTAATCAGAAAATTATTAAAATAAGGTTAGAGAGAAAGCTTACGAACACAAATTCAATAAAAAAATTAAAAATAAAATTTAAAAAATTTAAAAATTATTTTTAAAATTAAAGATATATGAAGGTAAAATTCCGTCATATCACCCGGAAACCGATTCGGACAAATGATATGTCATTCGAAAGATCTCGCCGAGCTGAGTCGAACGGCACCAAAATTAGCTGGGGGACTCACCTATGGGCCGAGATATTGGTCCTCGAAAATCGAAAAACCATAGGGGGGACCAAGCACTTTTTTGGGGTAAAAAATTCGAATATGCAAATAATAGCTCATTCGAAAGAGCTCGTCGAGCTGAGTCGAATGACACCAAAATCAACGAAAACTTACTTGATTTGACAAAGTTATGACAGTTTGTTTTAGCTCCGTACCTATGGTCTCCGTTGAAATTTTACTGCTGCGGAGAAAGCCAGGCATACCCACCTCATCGATGATAGGAATAGGATTAAGTTACTAGCCCAGAACCCAGCGACCGTAGACTCCCCGCGAGGCGCGTGCCGCAAAACTCCGCGCGAAGCGCGGAGTTTTGCACAAGCGCCTCGCCGACGCCCCATAGGTTTATGTTGACCATTTTGAACCTGTTTATCTTGGCTCAGAATCAAGATCTCGAGCTGATTTTGATGTCATTCGACTCAGCTCGACGAGCTCTTTCGAATAAGCTATTATTTGCATATTCGAATTTTTTACCCCAAAAAAGTGCTTGGTCCCCCCTATGGTTTTTCGATTTTCGAGGACCAATATCTCGGCCCATAGGTGAGTCCCCCAGCTAATTTTGGTGCCGTTCGACTCAGCTCGGCGAGATCTTTCGAATGACATATCATTTGTCCGAATCGGTTTCCGGGTGATATGACGGAATTTTTCCTATATGAATAATAAAAGAATTAATAAATCCCTATTTATAAAATAAAAGAAATAAAAAAATATGACGAAACAGTTGGTAAGCAGTTAAGCTTCAATATAAAAAAAGCGTTACTAAGAGGAAATAATTTTTTAAAAAAAGAGGAGCAAAGAAAATGTTTAGGAAAAAAAGGTTAGAGAGAAAGCTTGCGAAAAAGTCAAAAAAAATATTTTGAAAAAATTTGCGGATTTTTAAAAATTGCGGATGTCCGCAAATTAACTTGCGGACAAAAAAATTTTTTTCCAAGATATAATCAAATAAAAAACTTAAAACACAAAACAACCTTTATTTGTATCTTCACATTTTTAACAATATTTTAATAATTTTTAGAGAAACTTTATATTTTTTATTAGCCAGTAACTAATTTCTCTTGAATCGATAATTGGGTCTTTGCCAAATTCGCCAATAAGGAAACCATCAAATAATCACGCAAAGAATGCTTTGAAAGACTTTCGAGACGAGCTGGAGGTAATTGAGTATTTGCCAATTCAACAATCTGTGGGGGAAAATAAAGGATTATAAAAATGCTGAAAAAAGTATCAGAAATTTTGTCTGCCTTTTGAGTAGAAAATTCTAACCCGAAAAGTGACATATGGAAAAAGTTGTGGACAAAATTGACAAAACCCCTTAACTAACTTTGTCCGCAAATTTTTTGCGGACGATCAAATTTATTTTCGAAAATTGTGATTAAAATTTTGTCCGCAAATCCAAAAAAACATTTAAAAAATGAAAAAAACCTCCATCAATTTTCTCCCAACTTCAGGATTAGGATTTTCCTCTTTTCCATTTAACACATTTTTAACATAACGCATAATACGCTCTAACCAGGTCAAAATATTTTCTGTACATTCTAATAATTGTTCCTGTTCATCTCCCAATTCAATTTCACGACGTTCCGAGTCTATTCCTCTCTAAAAAATTTTTTATAAAAATTTAAAAAATATTTTCTCCAAAAATGATGGAATTAAGCAAAATATGCACTCTTGGTTAAGTGCAAGTGTGCTAGGTTTGCAACTAAAGGGGTGCAGGGTTCGACCCCGCTCGGGGAAAATTGATTAATTTAAGGCTTTTTTAGGTTATTAAAAATTGTAAAAACTAAAATACTTAAAATAAAATTTTAAAAATAATTTTTTAATAATAAAAAACCGTAATAAAATTAAGAGCAACAGCCTCTCCCAAAAAAGCATCCATTTCCACATTTAGAGGGCAAAAAGCACCATCACGCCTTAAAATTTTTTTTTATTTTTTAATTAAAAAATAAAAATAATCAGACATAGTAAAAGCTTTAACAGGCAAACGATTAGCTGTTGAACCAGAAAAAGACAAATTCATAGTAAGCAAAATAACAGGTGGAAGTTCTTTTTTAGTTGCTTCACGAGCCATTAACTTGAAAAAAATAAAAAATTAAATAAATTTCTATTTAAAAAAGACAATAGGACAAAAAAAAATGAGGACAAAATTTTGAAAAAAAGCTATCACAAGTAATCGCAAATAAAGTTTCGCAATTTTCACCCACCCTAAAAAACGTACCCAAGGAGGGAGAAGAATGCCCCACCCCAGTCCCATCGAAATCCTTTTCTGCTCCCTAAAATGGAAAATAAAATTTTTTGGGAAATAATTATTAAATGAAAAATTAATTTTCGCTAGCAGTACAAGTCCGTAATTATTACCATAAATACAAAATTCCGCAAGGATATGTCCAAGGAGAGCTATGTAATAGGGCCAAACCGCCCTTACTTTTCGTTGAGAAAAATAATGAAAAATTTTAGGAAAATAAAAAAAGTGCAAAATCTTCGCTTGCGGAAAAGTCCGTAATTACTATCCGCAAATAAAATTTTTTTATTTTCAAAGAAAAATGTTATCAAAAAAGGAAGGAACAATGAAGATAAAGACTCGCAAGAAAATAGCTTTTAAAAAATAGAAAAAATATTTAACCTGGCTATAATATGTATTGAAATGAAAACACGAATCAGGCAAATCTGGAACAGTAAAGAACCTAAAGAAGAGAAAATTTTTTTCTCAAAAAAAATTTTTTTTTTGAGAAAAAAAATTTTCAAACGAACCATCCAACAATTTGTTCTGTAGGAGAAGAACGTTTACACATTTGCCACATTGAACGATTAAAATTATCATTAATTTCAGGATTGTCTATTACAGCATCAGAAAATGGAATAGCGTAACAATTGGTTGCCTGTATTTTTAATGAAAAATTTTCAAAAATAGAAAAATTTGAAAGAAAATTTTGAAAGAAATTGTTAAAGTTTTCCTTTCCTAAATCCAAAAAATTAAAAAAAGAACATGTTTAGACCCGGAAATCCTTTTAATTAAAAGACCATCCGAACTGAATATTAGAGATGGCCTACAACCCCCATAAAGTCTTCAAGGACGGGGATATCGGGATATAATAAGTCGCTGACAGGGGATGC